ATAGAATAAGGATTGATAGACTGTGATCAATGCAATGCAATCCTCGCCGTACTTTGGACAATGCGATTGAATTCATCTGTGTGATGTCCGGGAATGGTCCGAGATTACAATTCAAATATGAAGATCTTAACATTTCATTTCGTTATTCGCTTTGGAATGTTGTCAAAAGATTCCTCGAAATTGGGCCTGGGAATTAAAATTCTCATCGAACTTTATTTACTTACATGATGGGAAGCTTGGCACAAGGTACGTTCTTCAGTCAGTAGATCTAGCTGGGGTTCGGATATTGTGTGCTTTGGTATTGCTTCTTGGCCATGCGACGGTCAGGCCAACCATTTTGCCTACCCTCAAAGCACACGTCAATGTGAACACCGAAAACTAAGGGGAAGTAAGTATGATGTATTATGCCAACTAGTTATCTAGTGAAGACTACCTAGGTAGATAATGGAAGGTCGAGCTGACGTCAGCCAGACGTCGCTGACAGTCACAGTAACTTAAGCCTCGGAGTAGCATGTCCTAAGCCAATACGTCGACCATCTTTAGCAATCGGACCGTCACGTCTATACAATATTGGCCGCTGTAATCGAGTCTGTTTCACATGTTTTGGATCGGAGCAACACTGCCATCTATCATTTTTAATTTGCGCAGGCCGAATTCCTAACTTTTCAATGCTATATCCATTGGTAATCTGGCACCTGTATGTATTCTAAATCAGGGCTAACCAGTGGAACTGACCAACTGGCCTAGTATTTGAGACTGGTTCCAGACATTTTATGTTTGAGGTCAGTTATATTTCCAACAAGATCAGCACCCCAGCAGCTTATTTACTCGTGTCGTTCCCTGGAAATGGGAATTTAGAATGGACTGAAAAAGTAGCCATGTATTTTTGTTATTGTCTCGAGAATTGCGAGGTTGATCTTGTGAGCCGTGGTTGCCAGGATGAATACTTCACCAGGAAAGGAAAGGTTATATATCGGCCAGGGGCACATGATTCAACCGACCAGGGGTTTTCCCAAGCCAAGAACACAAAAAGGGATTCGGTTGTCTAAATCCATGGATTTATCCTTTCTATCACACCATTATTCAAGTTCAGAATATTTGATTGGAACTTCAATTCAACTCACCGTAAGCCCCGCTCCCAGAAACGCGGGGAAGAACGGAGGCGAAGGACCGAAGCCCAAAAACCAGCCACAGGCACACAGCCTTAGGCTTCGGCGGAGGCACTGGATAAAACGACTGGCCAATCGAGAAGAGGGGATCGTCGCGCCAAGCCAGACTCGGAGGGGCAGGGCGGCCTTTCGTATTCTTAAATTGTAAGTTGATACAACGTCAAGCTACCACATCGTCGGAGACAGCGGGGTAGCGCGACGTTAGTCAACTAGTTATGAACAGTGAGTGGATGACCTCGGGATATATCGTAGATGGGTAGATCGTGGCTGGTCCACTTGATCAAATATGTATCCTACTCGGTGTGGGGACGCTGGTGTGCCATGCAATCCGGACGCAAGGGATTGAACAGGAAAAAAAAACACGACCCTTGCTGGGTGGACTAATAATGCAAGATCAAATCATTCCATGTAAACATGACTTCATTCTTAGACTTGGCTTGGATATGTAAATGAGTTACATATCTCGGCTAACGGATCAGACAGCAAGCAACATGATTTCCCTTGCACGGGAAATGTATGCAACATGACAGATCGGCTGTCGCCCGTGTATTGCGATCGGCGTTGAGTTTCCGCGGTATTGGGCATAATTGGCATAAACCGAACATTCTGTCGCGTGACTCGTGTTTTGCTGGTGAGAAATGCTCCACGGAATACCTATCACTGCCGTGATTTGTCACTTTCTAGAGCCGGGCATGAAGTTCAGTTGTGAAAACTGTGGATAGACTGCTATTATTGTCAGTAGTGTTCTGATAATTTGGTCTGGGGAATCCACGGCGCGAATTCCTGTAGCGAGCAATATTCAGCTCACCCTTTGTGAAGGGTTATGCGTTGACTATGTGCACATCGGTATCATTGCTGCCCGCCAGCTCTTGGCTCCTGTGCTGTCAGTAACGCCAAGCAGTGGAGGATGCTCCCCTTCTTGTGGTCAGACACCAGCCAGCGGCCGAAATGCTCGCGATCCATCCTTAGTGAATCCGAATTTCTCGGCGTCCTGTGTACTTCCTGCGGGGTTAGCCCTTGTGGAGACATCTCTGCCAAGTGGGCATGTTGTATGCAGGGAAGCACTGTGCCATAAGTCTGGTGGTCCTGTGCAGCAGAGTCCGATGTATTTAAAAGCAGGGACCGGCCGAATCATGGCCAGAATGTGGTATTTTATTCCGAAGATCTTCAGTACTATCGCTATTGTGTGCGTGTACTTCTGTCAGAAGATCTGAGTGCCTCCAATCGATATGCATTTAGTTCAGAGTTTTGTCTTGTCGTGCCTGGCGGCAACTAGTCTAGCTCTACCTAGCAATGAGGGCACAAAGCACCAACAAAGCAAGGCGCGCAGTGCGGGTTACTCTCTTAAAGAGCCTCCCCTGACAACGCCATGGACTGACAAAGTCGGAACAAACCCATGGCCCGAGTATCCGCGGCCCTTGCTGCAGCGCTCTGAATGGAAGAACCTCAACGGAGTGTGGAAGTATGAAAGTGCTCCAAGTCTCGATGCTCTTCAGCAGCCACCTTTCGGGCAAGAACTTGCACAGGATGTTTTGATTCCGTCGTGTCTTGAGAGTGGATTGTCCGGTAAGTATTTCTCGGCTTGCTGCGTTATCATCAAATAATTAACAAATATTCGCAGGAATCCAAACCGATTCGGCCTTGTACTCTTGGTTTTCAACATCCTTCGAAGTATCTTCTTCTTGGAAGGGTGAGCAGGCAGTACTCAATTTCGGGGCGGTAGACTATGAAGCCACAGTCTTTGTCAATGGTAAAAAGGCAGGATTCCACCGTGGCGGATACTTCCGCTTCGCGTTGGACGTGACTGAATACCTGAAGTTTGATCAGCAGAATGAGCTGTGAGCATCCCGGATTCACAACACACCCGATATGCTTATCTGACTTTGAATACAGACTTGTATTTGTACATGATCCTACTGACAGTGGTGACTATGTTATCCCCATTGGAAAACAGACCCTGAGACCCAGTCACATCTTTTATACCCCGTGTAGTGGTATATGGCAAACTGTTTGGCTTGAGGCTGCCCCGTCCAACCACATTACCCAACTCGATCTTGACGCAAACATGGATGGTCAAGGTAAGTGTCTAGTGTCAGTTTATGAAAATCTCTTCTTGATTCTGACTGTATGCAGTAAACATCACTGTACACAGCTCCGCCCAGGAGACATCCGCCCAGGCCGAGGTCACTGTCCACAAAGATGGTAAGACTGTTGCAACCCACAAAGGTCCCACCAATGAGCCATTCCAATTCACTGTATCTTCGCCTAAACTCTGGTCGCCGGACTCGCCTGACTTGTACAACGTGACTGTCAAACTCGGTAAAGATGAAGTGGAGAGCTATATTGGCTTCCGTACAATCTCCCGGGGTAAGATTGACGGGATCGAGCGGCCCTTGCTCAATGGAGAATTTATCTTCATGTTCGGTACCTTGGATCAAGGGTATTGGCCCGATGGTCTGTACACGCCCCCCAGTAAGGAGGCGATGGTGTACGATTTGGAGATGCTAAAGAAGTTGGGATTCAACATGGTCCGCAAACATGTGAGTGTCGCGGTGTCACATCATATCCCAAGGTTTCTCGTGCTTACACCGTGGAATGCAGATCAAAGTCGAAACCGATCTGTTCTATCAAGCATGCGACGAGCTAGGCCTGCTTGTAATTCAAGACATGCCTTCCCTGCGCCCGCTGCAGTCCAGAAGGGACGCAAACGGCAACTCGGTTACTATTCTACCGGACGAAAAGCAGCAGGCTGAGTTTGATCGCCAACTGGACGTGTTGGTTAACCAGTTCAAGAGCTTCCCCAGTATTGTAACTTGGGTAAGTGAAGGTGTTCGGTGAAAGCAAGCGATATTCTGACAGCAACCACTATCTATAGGTCATTTACAACGAAGCTTGGGGCCAGATCACAGAATACTACCCTGAGTTCGAGCTGACCGAGCGGGTTAGACAGCTGGATCCCACTCGGCTTGTGGACTCGACGAGCGGTTGGGACGACCACGGTGCTGGAGACTTTAGTGTATGCACTCTTCCAACGTTAGGTTCCTCTGTGGTTGAACCACGTGGCTAATGAACATGTCTTAGGACAACCACCACTACGCAAACCCGCAATGCGGCACTCCCTTCTATTCCACACCCTCGAGCCCACACGACGCCACTCGGATTGGGTTCCAAGGTGAATTTGGCGGCATCGGGACCAATGTATCCATTGAGCATCTCTGGAACAACCAGGCAGCCATCGACACTATTGACCAAACATATGAAATCGACATTACCATTGAGGCATGGAATTATCGCAGTCACCGGCTCCTAAACGAGCTCGAGGATCAGGTCCGCCTGTTTGCATGCAGTGGGGGTGTCTGGACGCAGACGACTGATGTCGAGGGTGAGATCAACGGCCTGATTACGTATGACCGCCGCGTGGAAAGAGTCGACGTGAAGCAGTGGCAGGCAGACATTAAGGCTCTCTATGATGCTGCCGCCGCACGGAGCAAAACGACTGGGGAAAGCTCATAATGTATTTAGTGGACAGACGACGCCATCCGAGGCTATCTGGATGATTGTGATGAGTATGAAGTATATAATCTTATATCGGCTCATTGTCCCGAAATGGAAAATTGTGTTATCATAAATGATCTATCGTGACTGTTGATAAGCCTCGGAGCTCAAGATCAGCACTTTCTTCAAACGCCCCTGTTTCACAATTTCCATTAGGAGCATCTTGACTGACTGATGGTATTTTCAACAGCCGTGGGGCCGCTGTCACCATCAAATCTCCCCGGTAATCAAATTAGATCAAGTTTCATCGATGTATACATACAATCCGATGATATATCATACCCCAAATGGCGTGTCACGCCACAAATGCCTCTCAGTTTCAAGTTCCTCCTCATATGTATCTTTGAATGCATCACTAATGACAGACTGCATTTCCGGGGGTGGCTGTGCGCCATAAAAAAGCTTTGTAAACTCCCAGTACTCAGGATAGAAGCCGGCGCATTCCCAGTCCACAATTCCAGACAGACGCCCATGGTCAATTAGAATATTGGTGGGATGTAGGTCGGCATGGGTGAACACAGACCGGTACGTACGCGCGTGGATGGTCGCAACATTGTCCCTTGTGTCGCTGTGCACGTATTTATGGATGAGAAAGGAATTGAATTCAGAAATATGGTGAAATGGACCACATATGCCGGAGGGGAAACGGTAATCAAATAGCGGGCCGCCGTGACTGTCACCCAAGAAGTACGGGGTCTGGTTCGGAATAGAACGTATCTGTGACAAGGCACTTTTCAAATCTTTGGATAGTTGCTTGCGCTCCGAGTACGAGAGTCGATGGAAAACAGCATCCAGCGTTTGTCCGGAGAGGGCCGTCATGATAATAACGCGGTGCGTGCCCTGGTAGTCATCTACCCAAAGGGGCGCGGGGATTGAGGTATATCGTTCCACAAGCTTTAGTGCTTCTCCTTCATTGGGAGAGCGGGTGCATTCTTTTGCGTACAGTCCGAACGGCAACTGGTGCACGAGACCAGTGAAAGACCGCGGGTAGAGATGCGTGCCTAGTTTTAAGAGCACACTGTAACACTGGACACGTATCAAGTGAGGTACGAGATGCCAGAACGAGCGTAATATCTTCTGAGTAATTATGTTCAAGTTGACTATGCCGAGGGACCAAATTAGCGTTGATGTTCTATAATAGGGTTATGTGTACCATACACAACGGGGGCGAGGGCCAACCCTCGGCGATTCGTTCTTCGACATGGAATAAATGCATGGAAGCTGCAATGCGGTGATGCGTTCGTAACAGGAATGGGTCTGGAAGAGGCTGATTGGGGTCATGGCTCTCCATGGTGAACATTTGCATTAGTGAGTCCCAGTGGCTGCCATCGCTAAGAAAAAGTGAACCACAAGGCTCAGGCAAAAGTCTAGACACAAAATACTGGCACTAAGTCAGTAGGAAGTAATGTGGAGAAGGTAAAATTCGAGAAGTACTAACATAAACTTTGCTGGCGGTTTTGACCTTGGTCTCGGTCTCATCATTCCACTGGTCCCTGGTAGAAGTTGGTGGAAAGATTCGGAGGTGTCCATTTCGAAAAGCCAAATGAACGCTAGGAGAGAGTAATAATAGATTTTTGAGTCGGGATTCCAGTTTGTTAGTCTGCAAAATGGTCTGAAGCTCGGATGTTCTGGCAGGGGTCAAAAATGCTTGCAAAAGAAGATAAAGAGGACCCTGTAGTATTTTGGCAGTTTAGTTGGATTTCTGATTCTCAGCCTTGGCTTGTGGTTGCCCGATAAACACGTACCTGCGGATCCATGTCACTGTCATCGAAAAGGCTTGGTGGGATGACCCAGACATGATCGAACCGAACGGATACGTTGGGGTCCGATGGCTTCTGTTTCAGCATGAAGCAATGCGAATTGTCTCGAGCTTCAACGATTATGGATTCGTGAGATGAGACTGAGTCTCGTCTGGCCACTGATTTTATGGTTAGCGAGTACGCGGCAGCCATTGTGGACGCTTGGTCTCGACTAACACTTTGTGACCAGTCGCTTCCAGTCAATTTTCAACTCATTCAGGGCTTGCTCTAGAGAACAAGAGGAGTCATTGTGAATCCTTCCCCAGACATAGCAAGCAGCGTATTCTGGATCAACGGCTTCGTCCAGAAAAGCTCTCCAGATCGAGTGCTCGGTGGGTGTGAGCCGGGCGGATTCAATCAGCCGGAGAGTTGTGTGATACGTAACTAGTGGAGCCATTATTAATGAGTGAAGGATGTCTAGATCATAATGTACGATGATTTATTGTAGTTTACTTCTCTGCTGTCGACGATGGGGGAGACGGGGATGGGGTTAAAGAGCCAATGATGGGGGTTGGGGAAATGTGGACCTCTGAAATCTGATGGCCTGAGGCATTCTGTTGTGGTGGCCTTAGGCACATATTCATGCCTCAGGCATCAATCCCTCGTAGCTACCTAATCTGGCAGATCATAGCAATCAACTCTCTCCCTTCTCTCTTTCTGGCCCTACAATCTCGTAGCTGCCTAACAATATCAGCTCTGTGCAGTGAGCACACCAATGTGTCACCTTTCATTATTTATTTGATAAATTAAATAATTAAGAATAGTACTTTTATAATAAATAGAAAGTAGCCTTAATTAAGAGAAGTCTTCGCGTAGTATTATCGTTCTTAAATGGATACGCGGCAATCTCGAGTATCAGCCCTGTGTGAGAAGATCGTCTACCGCGGCTGTCTTTTTTTGAACGTCCGAGATTAAGGAGTTAACAAGATAAAAGGAATCCTCTCTGATCTATCATTTTGGAGAATGAGAAGATGAATAGGACGGGCGTCAAGATTTCTTGGCCTCTTTTGTTGAGTGAAGAATTTTCAGCTAATAATATTTTCAACCTATATTGATCATGCCATACCCACCAGCCGTTTAGCCCGATCAGGCCATATACCATCACATCACACGACACCAGTTCGTGGTTTAATAGATTTAACTACGGAGTAGGATCTACCTTGATATGCATGTGTTTGCTGACTTTTCCACGCTATTGCCCGTTAGCTTCGATTGCTCCTATCATCCCTATTGGTAATCTGTCTGCCAACTATGACATTCCTTCAGACCCACACACCAGGTGTTTTCTAGAAGCATAGTTTTATTCAGGCGCGATGTCATAGATGCTTAAAATTCAACATGGTCTCAAGATCTTGGATGATCCAAACTTAAAATTCCCATCAAGTCCCGATTAATACACACATCTAGTATGTCTAGAGTACACTATATCCTATATCCTAAGGCACCCGAACATCACCAGGTCCGTAGCCTAGTCGGACCCGAACGGAATCCACTTCATCGCGGGTCCCAGGCTAACCGTTGAGCCCGTTGAGCCCGTTGCGGAGCCCGAATGTCCGTAGCCAGTGAACGGAAATGAAATGCATATGCCGATATATTTATTCTAAATTATAATTCATTGGCAATGGTTCGCGGAATTGACATGTATGATTTTAGTGTTTTATTCCCATGCCAAAAAAGCCATCTGATCGTATACTTGATATAAAATGAAGAGAGGTATAAACTCCAGCCTGTTAGAGTTGAGTTTGTAGTATTCTTTACCTAGGTACCTTTCTAAAGTCGCTTGTTTCAGGTTACCGAGCCCGACAGGCCGATAGTCATCGTGTGCCATCAATGACTTACGTGTGTTTTCCATTTCCCCCTAATTTACTCCGTAGAGATTACAGGGATCAGCCCACACATACTTAGATAGCCACTCCACTGCCAAGGTTTGGAGAGTGACTGAATCATATCTGTGGTCTGATTCGACCATGTGCACTGTGTTTGCTCAATGGAATAAGATATTTTAAGGAAAATCTCGGCTTGATATTACCTGAGCCTGTATAAAATCGGGTAATATCGCTTTTCCAGGTAAGAGTCATGCACCGTCTGGTTCCAGGATTGTCAAGAGCGGATCCCCCGATAACATGTGTTTTACGATCCGGTGGCTACCAATGAATGTACTTCGTAATCGGGTTGCACACAATATAGAAGAACGGTGAACCGAGTAATCCGAATGAGTATCGTGCATTCATGGTATAAATACTCCATCCCCCAGCTTATCACGAGGTTCCCCAGTTTTGTCTTCTCATTTTTAATACTCGATCTCCGATCTTCCTTCCACACTTTCAGACAAAACCCCAGCCGTTCGCCAAGGGTGATTTTATACATACCAGAAGATTTCAATCAACACTAGCAGCATGGATCGCAGTATGGGATCGGCTGCTGAGCCGATGCATATCGACCGGAAGCTGCTCTATACAAACTTGGAAGAGCGAATTAAGTACCTCCATAGCTTCCTCGACTTCAACTCCAGTAAGTTCTTACCATAAATCGGTCTGAAAGAGCCAGCCCACAGCTACTAATGTTTCACCAGGCGATGTCGAAGCCCTCTTGACCGGCAACAAATACATCAAGCAATTGATCCCGGCAGTGGTCAACCTGGTATATAAAAAGCTTCTCCAATACGATATCACATCTCGGGCCTTCCACACACGAACAACCGCCGACGAGACCGAGCCCGAAGAGGAGTATCTCCACGAAGAGACACCGAAAATCAAGCGACGCAAGATGTTCCTGCGGTGGTACCTGACCCGTCTATGCCAGGACCCGACCACAATGGATTTCTGGCGGTACTTGAACAAGGTTGGGTAAGTCCACACATAAAACCTCCCCACCTTTCCATTCCCAGAACCCCATCCCGGTGGGAGGTGGGGGGGGATATTTTGTGCTTGTGTTTGTGCAACGTGCTAACGTGGGGTTTTGTAACACAGCATGATGCACAGCGGACAATCACGCCAGTTACCTTTGAACATCGAGTACATCCACCTCGGGGTATGTCTGGGATACATCCAAGACATCTGGATTGAAGCGATGCTATCGCACCCTCATCTGTCGCTGCGACGCAAGATCGCGCTCGTGCGCGCCGTCAACAAGATCCTCTGGATCCAGAACGACCTCTTCGCTCGGTACCACTCGAGCGATGGCGAGGAGTTCGCAGATGAGATGTCTCTATTCAACGACGCCGATGAGCAGGAGGGATATCTCGGGGACAAACGCATTCTCGGCAGCAGCTCCGGTAGTTCGACCGACGATGACCGGTCCAGTATCTCGAGTGGCGTGGCACCTTCTATAAATAGTATGGCGCCGTCGACGATAGGAGATGCATCGACTACATCCAGGGGGTCGGCGTGTCCTTTCGCTGAAATGGCCAAAAGCAACAGTTCGACTGAGACGAAGATTTGGGCTAATTGAGGGGGCCCCCACTGTGTTATTTAGTGCGGGTCATAATTTGCATCTTTCAAGGCGCTTGGGATTAGGGATTATGGGTGATAGGGCTAGACTTTGGTAGTCTAAGGGTTTGGAAATACCTTGGATCAGCATAGACGGGGTTTGAAATAATTTTTAAAAAGATCTTGAAGACATTAATACCTGAGTATCTCTACTCCGTAGTTATGTTGTAATTCGTCATGTTCGTCCCATCTCGGAATGAGTCCGGCTTTGTCATCTTTTTCTCCCCCTGGGGTCCCGGGGCCCACAACTAACGCTCTCGGCTGTTATTCAAGGTAGTTGAGGGAGGCTTTTACACTCTATATCCGCTGACAGACCGGAGATAATTCCATTAAGCCGTTGAATAACGACCTTATACCCCGGACATAACTAATCGATCTACGTTCTCAATTCAACAGTGAGCTACCTAGGTAGTTATCAGAGTCTGCCCCCTTTGTTCCCCACCACCCTCTATTTGGTTAAGATCGGAGCTCCTATTAAACCAACTTAGCCCCTCCATTTGAAGAGACCGGTCCCTTTCTGTATTAAAGGGATATCCTCCCCGTCTTATCCTTCTTCGACTCCCTCAAAACACTCACAATGGCCCAACCGAACAAGCCGGTGACCCCGCTTATAATCAATAATGAGTCCATCGAGACCGATATTAAATTCGAAGTCCACGCCCCCGCCACTGGCGAGCTGAGTGGCTATTGTGCCGGTGTGTCAGTCGACGGTGCCAATCGCGCCGTCGACAGTGCCCAAGCTGCCTTCCCCGCATGGAGCAAGACCAATGTGCACACGCGCCGCAACATTCTGTTGAAGGCCGCCGACATCATGGAGTCGCGCAAAGAGGAATTGATCCAGTACCAGCGCGAGGAGACCGGTGCCGGTCGACCTTTCTCAGAGGCCACTTTCAATAATGGTGTGCTCTTCATCAAAGATTTCGCAGGTCGGATATCCACGATCGAAGGTACCGTGCCGAAGGTCAGCGGCGAGGGCGATGCCATCATATACAAGGAGCCGTATGGAGTAATTCTATCAATCGCGCCATGGTAAGCTTCATAAATCCGATCTGTGGCATATAACTGCAATCTATCAGCTGGCTTGGAACTCTTTTTTTTAATTAAATTGCAGGAATGCTCCTTTCATCCTGGGTACGCGCGCCATTGCGCTCCCTCTTGCGGCTGGAAACACCGTCGTTCTCAAAGGCTCTGAGCTCTCACCCAAGTGTTTCTGGGCTCTCGGCGACATTTTCCGTCAGGCTGGTCTTCCCGCCGGATGTCTAAATGTCATCTTCCACCAACCCTCCGACGCCCCGGCTGTCACCAACGCCCTGATCGCCCACCAGGCTGTGCGCAAGGTCAACTTCACCGGTAGCACGATGGTCGGCTCGATTATTGCCTCAACCGCAGGTAAATACATCAAGCCTGTGCTGCTCGAGCTAGGCGGCAAGGCGTCCGCGATTGTTTTGGACGATGCGAACTTGGACAAGGCTGCCATGAACTGTGCCATTGGATCCTTCATGCACGTAAGTAGTAATGATCCGACCGAGACAAGGATAATCACATACTAACAAGCGAGACACAGTCCGGTCAAATCTGCATGTCGACCGAGCGGATTGTCGTGCAGCGCTCGATTGCAGACGAGTTCCGACAGAAGCTTGCCGAGACAAGTGAGAAGTTGTTCGGCAAGGATGCGCCCGCGCTAGTCCTAGTCAACGCCGTCGCCGTTTCTAAGAACAAGAAGCTAGTGGCGGATGCTGTGTCCCACGGTGCTAAGCTGCTATTCGGCGACGCCGATGCAAGCGAGTCCGTTAACACAGGCATGCGGCCGATCGTCGTCGACGGTGTCACCAAGGAAATGGACATGTATGCGACTGAGTCGTTTGGTCCGACCGTGTCTCTCATGGTGGTGGACACCGAAGATGAAGCGATCGCCCTAGCCAATGATACCGAATATGGTCTCACTGCGGCTCTGTACACCAACAATCTGTTCCGGGGGTTGCGGGTGGCTAAGCAAATTGATTCTGGGTGGGTTTTTTGACTTGCAAATACGATCACCTGATATGGTGGAGATTGGATTGAGGCTAACTTTTGTCTTTTTTTCCTTCTTTCTTTCTAGGGCCGTACACATCAATTCTATGACTGTACACGATGAGTCTGTTCTCCCTCACGGAGGATGGAAGAGCAGCGGCTTTGGTCGCTTCGGAGGAATTTCTGGATACGACGAATTCCTCCAAACTAAGACTGTTACCTGGCAGGAATAGAGGCTAGACGCACAGACAGATACATACTTTACGACGATACATAGCAGATTTGTTTGATTTTGGTTCCGTTTTGGTTCCGTTTGGCCCCCAGAAAGATTGGGCCGCTACGGGCGACTGTTTTCCTAGTTTTGTTGACTGGGCTTTGTTCTGGGCTTGTTTGGAGCCAAGTTGGGGTTTAGTTGACTTCGATCCGAACTTCACAACCAATGCAGCCAATTATGGAGCCCTATGGCGTCGCCTAGAGGAGCCTCCAGGAAGAGGCGGTCCGGATACCCGGCTTATTATCATGTAAACGAGTTGAATCTGACTCGCGGTGTGTGATTTGTGTTGCATCTGCCGTGCAGCGTAGCATACGGAGTACAGTTATAGCGGATACTTCGGTATTTTCTCTCCCTTTTTTTTTTTAGGTCCGATCCTCCGATTTAGTTCTGTCTCACTTTCGCCATGAGGCTGAAGGTCATGTGATTTGCCTCTTTTTTGTGCCTCAGATATAAAGTCTAAAAATACCTATTTTGTAATAACCGAAGGACTTGAGAATAGCCCTCGTATAATAGAATTCCCACCTTGAGACCTGCCCAGGTGATAGATAAAGAAACATCTGAACGTCGATAGTTGGGGCGAAGGCGCTCAAGTCCCACCCTAAATTCAGGCACAAGGAACGTAGCAAATCACCGCCAATCACCGGGTGAGACAACCCCCATTCTTTATTTTTATTTTTATTTTTATTTTTCATCTTACCTGTCTTAAATCCTGGGAAATGAGCGATTACAATGTGTAAACAACTCTGTATGCTATTTACAACATACTATAACTGTACCAACGTTAAACTCCGACCCCCTGAATATCACTGTATAGGTTGTTGATCTTTCCCATGGACACCACACCCCTCGATGAACCGGTGGGATCGGCAATTAATTTTGATACGGCACGGGCCCGTCGGTGTGGAGTTATGATGCGACTGTTGTGATAATCGTGAATATCAGTGAATATCAGTGAATATCAGAATCTAACCCTCCCTGCAGGTTAGGTTTGGAATACTGTTTATTCCCGTGTGGAAAAGACACATGGTACCTGCACCTGCAAGGCACCGTGTCCTGTGCTGCAATGAGGGCTTTCAATACAATACATGTACAACGCCCGTCATAGGGTTTGGGCTTGAAGGCGCCATGTCGTAATCAAGTAATTTCCCACCACTTTGATCCTCTTTTTCTTAAACATGGATGGCGTAAATTAGGAATAAAAGGAAAATGAGATATAGAATAATATCTATTTAATTTCACATAGTAAAACATAGTAAAACATATGTGCAATAATAGCTGAGATGTTCCAGGAGGCTCTGTGGCGACCATGGATAATCCTCGGATCGGGTCCCAACCTAAGGTTTCTTGGTCTCCAAGGGTTCCATGGGTCGATGGTATTGAGGGGAACCTTGAAACTTTCCTTGAAAGGCTTGACAGATAAACAAATAATATGTCAGTTACATACTCCGTACTCTGTACACATAACTAGTAGTATATTATTAGCCTAATCTCTCCAGGGCTGTGCCTACATTCCTTCGGATTTAAGTTCTTCTCTCCTTGGCTCCAGTTAAGTGGTATTTTTTTAATCTTACATCTCGGGACATGTTCTACATTAAGGGTCAACCGTTATTAGGAATAAAATTAACTTCCGGACTGTCCACCAATTAAAATCCGGTGCCTGTCTGTAATATACTCTGGTATATTACAATAACATCTGAGCCACAGCCGGTCTGCATGCCCCACGAGGACAAGATGAAAATTGGAGCACGAGACTGTCATATACGAAAGGGTGACTCCTATGTACTCTATATACAGTATTATATCGTATAGGATGATTGTGATCGGTCAACGGTTAAACTCATACAGAGTATTTACACAAGAAATAACCTTGAAGGTCAAAGCTATGGAGGTAAAAAAGTAAAATGTAAGCGAGGAAATGAAGGTGGAGGAGAGATATTGTCTTGGGGTTTAGTGGCGACCCACTTGGATGTGCCTCCAACCTAGAAATGTAGTTCACCTCCCCCTCTTTCTTCTTTTCTTTCTTCCCTCTTTTTAACATCTTCACATTCCCTTTTTTTTTCGTTTTTCAACGATAGTCATTCTTTTATTTCCCACTACAGTCATTCTTTGTCAATCTCGACACTTAAATCACCATGCGTTTCTCCGTCGCCACCGTTTTCTCCGCCCTCGTGGGTCTGTCTGTTGCCTACACTGCTCCGGACTACACCAAGAACCCCACCGGCAATGCCATCTCCTCTCCCAGCCTGAACGAGATCGTTCCCGAGGGCAAGACCTACACCATCAAGTGGTCCCCCACCACCACCGGTCCCATCTCCCTGGTCCTCCTGCGCGGTCCCTCCAACAACGTCGTTCCCCTCAAGACTCTCGCTGAGTCCATCCCCAACAGCGGCGAGTTCAAGTGGACCCCCGGTTCCGACCTCGAGGCCGACGTCAGCCACTACGGTCTCCTCCTCGTTGTCGAGGGTACCGGCCAGTACCAGTACTCCACCCAGTTCGGTCTCTCCGCCGCTGCTGGCTCCAGCTCCAGCTCCAGCTCCATCGCCACCGAGAGCGTCGAGGTTACCACCACCATCTGTCCCGAGACTGAGACCAGCGCCGCTGCCTCCGCTCCCACCTCCTCCTCCACCGTCGTCGAGAGCGTCGAGGTCACCACCACCATCTGCCCCGAGACTGAGTCTACCGCTGCTGCCACCACCCCCGCCCCTAAGGCCACCACCACCGGTCTCTCTCCCGTCGGACCCCCTCCAGCACCCCCCTGAGCTCCATCCGTCTCACCACCAGCGCCGTCCCCAGCGGCACCGCCTCTGCTTCTCCTTCGGCCTCCTCCCCTGTTTTCAACAGCGCTGGCCGTAACGCTGCTAGCTTCGGTGCCGTCATGGCCGGTGTCCTCGCTGCTTTCGCCCTCTAAGCGCATCCTCTTAAAATGGGATCGCGTGCCGGTGGCATCATTTTTCTTTCTTCTACAAGCGCAGAAATAATGTTTTTGTTATTTTCATGAGGCTTAATTTATTGATATCTTGATATGGGCTTTCTGGATTCTGTCTTTGGGCTGAGTTCCCATCTCATACCATGTATTCTTCTCGTCTTGCTATTTTTTTTTTTTCGCATCTCTCTTCAGCTATGATTTGCGTAATGTGAAGTTCATGTCCTTATGTACCTTCCTTCTTGTAGTCTACTTGCCACAGGGTAGATCATAGGACATGGGTTGAGTCTTCACTAGAGATTCGTAGATATCTAGCCCAATCTACATATGGAAAGAAGATAGTATGTTAGATGTGGCAAATGTGGAGAACCCCTATTACCACGTAGTTTATCTACGTAGCTTTTATTGATACACAGAATTAGGCAAAATAAGGACAAATTGAGGTCTGACAAACACTACCTGAGCAAACGCCTACATCTTCATACACCAAACAAGCAGCAAACAGCATAGTGCAGGGTAGTGATTGCACTTGAAGATGCAATACGGTCCAAATCTGTTTGTGCATAACGCAGACTAGAAGATCCCAGGCCCATTTACTTACAGACACCTAAGAGAACAGCAAAAAAAAAAAAAAAAGAAAAGTATATACATGTACCTATAGAAGGAAAACCGATAACTAACTATGACTAACTAACTAGTTAACTTTTAGTACATTGCATGATATTTATTATACACTATTGGGGGCTCTCTTAACAGTGCAAGCATAATGTCCACCCGACCTTTAGGAGAACACTCCATCAGTCAACTTATTATCCTTAAGCATCGCAGTTGCTACCATCCAGAGACCATTTCACGTAGGTAGCTTTCTTTCATCCGGTGATACATCATATCCTAGATTGTATTTAGTATAAAACTAGGACTGTACTTCCTTCCTCAGCATTTGTAACAGCCAGTCTCCCTAAAGCTACAGCAACCCACTATGAACCAAGGCCACCTTTTCTCCTGCGCTGTTTTCACCATCTTCCTCCTTCTACTCATGACCTTGTTGAATCATTTGCTCACACCCATAATAGCCCTCCTAGCGCTTACAGCCCTCAATCCCGTAGACCAGCTATTAGATCGAGTTCGTCTGTTCATACAGTTCTGATTTTCGGCTATGAGACCGTACGGCCCCAATTCCAAGCGCTACTTTGGTCGTCGGGTATCAGATTGAACATGACTATCAACACATTAGTTAGAATATCTGATTTCTGTTTCGAACTTCGGCTTCACTCACGCTCACCAAAGGCACCGAACGTATCATCAAGTTGTTCGAAGATATTCGCAGATGGGCATTCGGATGGTTCAATGGGTACTTGTACTGGTCGACCGTGTACCTTACTATCGTCGTGTATTTCCTGAGTCATATCTGGAGGATGCCTCGAATGTGGTGCGTGGATTGTTGACGCCGTAGGATGATCGCAGCAGACTTCTCGCTCGGATGGCGGATGGCTGCCGGTATGGTCTATACAAATCTGTCGTACACCTGGGATGGCACCGCTGTCAGATATCTCCCTAGGAAGACTTGTTTCCAGTCCCCCTCTCAAGGCACCGGACATTTCTCGCTCGATAGTTACTTTCAGCAACTCCGTCAAAAGCTGTGCGGTCTGCTTAGCAATACGATTGTGTGGCCCAAAAGCCGTGCTAGCATGGATGATACGCATAATCCCAGCCTTGGCCTCGTGCGCAGCTGTAGTAAAAGGTTGACTAGTCGGCACGATGCAAAGGATGACTCCTGCAGTAAATTGTTGTAGAGAAGTGAAGGATTCAGCGAAATGATGCTTGAAACGGAGGACCGGGATGCGAGATATTCGCAATGCAGCTGCTGTGGCTACTCTCAATGACTCGTGGATTGCATCTACCACCGAGCGCGAGCAAGAACTGGTGATTTTCTGCTCGAGTAAAGGTCGATGCGCTTGTATCAGAGCTCCATCGTATGTCAGTTGGAGAGTTGCCGCCTGCAAGATGATTGTTTCTGCCTGGTATTTAGTGCGTTGCGGTAGCCCTTCGATGTCCTGTTGAAACTGTTCAAGACGATTGTCGGAGCTCCAAAACTCGAAATCGAACAGCCGAGGAACCCCTTTCCGCCAGGAGACTAATTGTTCTTCTGAGTCTTGTGCAGTTTCTGCAATTGCCAGAAGGTCCTCTTTGATTGTCTCTTTTCTTAATTGCAGACGTCGAAACCGCGAAAGAATGTGTCGAATGATGTTGTAGATCTCATATTTCATGGTAAAAAACCCAGCTGTCGTTGTTGGCATTCCATCACCAGATATCCATTCATTTTTCAGCAGAAGTGGATCAATGGCTAGGTCATCCATATCTCTGAGCGAATGCAAAGCGACAAGTCCAGTGTCGATAGAAGAAGGTCGCCCATAGACGATAGACGCAAAAGTGTCACTGACAATAGCATGATTCCAACAGCGAGAGCGAATCTCATCCACGACTGGATTTTCGCATTGGGCCGATTTCGTATAAAGACGAAGGGCATAAGCAGACCTCACACCCATACCAGAGACAGTCCAAGCAATACTCGGCGAACTATGATAAACATAATAGCAGGATACCAAGAGGCAAACCTGGACAGCTTCAATTCGACAGTCGATTGATATATCGACCAGGTTCCGTCGTATCTCATTTATCAAGCCGTGCATCAACTTCTCCCCATCGACAGAGTGCTCGCGCAACAATTCGTGTCCAGGCCATCTCTGATCCGGTAATACGGATTGCAAGCCAATCATAGCCACGGCCAGCACAGCCATGGTAGGACTGAAATCTTGGCGTCTCCACGAGGTTTGGGAGATTATCCTGCGTGCGGTCTGTCGGAACGAGGGCTCGTGGAATACCGAGATGAACCATTGCATTCGATCGAAATAGACGTCGATCAGGGCTAACATCACGGCCTCGGGGGGAAGCTCTACTTCTGTTAGATGCCATAATGAGTTGTCTATCGCGGGAGCTCCCGTATCACCAGGGATTGAGGCACCGGTCAGAGTCCGGCCAGCTTCTTCTTCATTGAAAACTCGTCTGGCAAAATCAATCGCAGAGGCGTTAGCACCGGACTGGGGCTCTTTTGGGGAGCGTTCCGGATAAGATGTTGAGCTCTCTGGAGCATAATATGTCTCAGTGCCTCCAGTGCCATGGATAGAATTAGAATGTTTGTGTGTCGCTGGTGCGATTGCTTTGTGTACTCCAGAATTCACTCGCGAATTTCTGCCCCCTGGATTTTGTCTACGAGTCCGTTTCGCTGTGCGCGGAGATGTCTCGCATTTATGCCCAGCGCGAGCACAGAGCACACAAGGACGTGAGCTGTCGCACTATACGAGACCTGTCAGAGCCATGTTTTCACATCAGGGGTGTGGTGTCGTGAAGGGATGGATCTATCTACCTTGAGCTTCTGGCGGCGACATCTGTCGCATGCTCGCGGTGTACGGAGTGTCTTTTGCAACAGACCAGTCTCTTCGTCCATGGGTATATAGTAAGGTAGCGCTTTATCCAACCCCGTACAGAAATCGAAATCTGCAGGTCCGGTGTCGCTGAAGATCACCGCTGGGGATACAACTGCGGGTCCCCGCACTTTAGGATAGCCGCGGGGAACCGAGCTTAGCCTACACCGAAGCATAAGAATAGAATAGAATAGTATAGTATAGTATTATCTTGATTAATTTCATTCTGTGTGTACGCTAAAATAACCAAATGCTTTTAATTATATCAAGTTGTAATCAACCCCAAGAGATGTCCACGGGCATTCTGCGCCTGTGAAAGAACAATCTCAGCCGCGGGATATGTTTGTAGTAAGCGCCCAGCTGCTTCCTCGCAAGCATACAAGTTCGACATGGCCTGCATCCTCACAATATTATCCGAAACCTTCAGATCAGGAAGGCTTGCCTCCAGAATAATAATCAATATAGTAACAGTGCTTCCAGGGAGAAAATGAAGCATCTTGCAGTCATGCAGTTCATTGAGAATCTCATTGACTTGCAAAGTCAAGCCTCTCATTTCTGAGACAAGGGTGGTTTGGAGACCATCCCCTCCGCTCGACGCAGCTTGATAGAGTATGGACATCGTAGTGAGATGGAGGAGATACAGGAAAGCCTGGTGAACCAGTAGGACAATCTCCGGAGACTCTGTATGACAATGGTGCAAGAGTGATGGAGAGAAATAATGTGCAGGGGCAGGAAGATTTTGAATCCAGGTCTTCAGCAACTGCTCACATCCAGTTATGGCAGCTTGTGATACATTTGACCTGGGCACCATGGAGTATACACAGTCCCCCGATTTCGAAGTTGACCAAGCATCTTGATAAAGAAGATTGATAATGACGCCCAAACAATGAGCAAGTTTAATCTCCTGAATGAACAGAAGCATCATTCGCTCTTGATTTTCCCAGTTGAGCATGGCAGATGTTTCGCCCAGCATAATGAGCACGAGGTCATGATATGGCTCGGAGGAATAGTATCTAGTGGATGCCAATAGCGACATTGTGACATCGCTATTTGGAATCCGGAGTGGTCGACGGAAGCCGAGGGAGAGGACGCGGTCGCGCACATAGAGACACCACCAAAGTCTGTGCTTGTGAGAAAAACTACCTGTTTCTAAGCTCGCCAGGAGACCAATGCGCTCTGCTGTCGAATAGGCGAGATCGAACCAGTATGTTGGGTCTTTGTGACCACCTCCACTTCCATGCCACTGCATCATGAGCAGTAATGCTTGGATCTGGGTATATGCGTCTGGTTCGGTCTCAAATTCATAAAGAAGCTGATGATAGAATCAAAATTAGTCTTGAGTTGCCATGGATCCCATCTTCTCTAGATATCTCACCTTAGCTCGTCCAAACAATGTTCTTCGTAGTGCTTTCCGTGACGAAAACCCAGCTTTGACGGCAGTTTCCTGCTCAATAAATGCACTTCCCGCCAACATGACAGCTTGATGAAGAAGCGGGCTCCGAAATTGAGATTCATCCTCGACCATTACATTCAATAAAAACCATTGCAGATCAATGACAGGTAGGAGAGGATGAACATATTTGATATAAGCTGCAAGCAACTCATTCCGAAGGTCAATGGGAACTATCCTGAGAGCTCCTTTCAGCTGTAGATACTCTTTACTTTCTTCCGAGAGATTCGGAAGCTGAGCTTCGAAAGTTCGCTGCAGTTCGAATGGCTGATTGTACTCCCCTGGAATAAGATCTGGGGTTTGCGGCGAGAGCAGCTCATTTATCGTCGTAAGATAACTGTCTAAGGGATATGTCTGGGGCACATTTTGCGTCAAGGTCATGTGTGGTTGATCGGATATCGACTTACTCCCCGATGCGACGAACTGCGTAAAGGGACCTAGCAATGTCAGTGACTATGCGGAAACTTGGGGTATATGCTTGGCACATGTGTCTTATGTCTTACTTAGATCATCCCCGCCTCTTTCTAGCCGATCTACATCCTCGGCATTGGAGAAGGCCGCCAGAAGACCGCTAAGCGAAGACGATAGGTCCATCGGCACGGAGTCCGGTCGTTTGTTCTATCTGCTGCTAAGGGAATTAGCGCTAGTGTAACCTCTATATGTAGTTCCTCTCTCGGAACTACTGGGAAATATTTACCTTGATTCTTGGTGACACGGAGAAGTACTCGATTGATTGTGACTGACACGTGAACCGAGGTCGGTTTTGTACTAGAGCTTTGAGCGCCCGCACTCGATACACTCTTTTGATAATCGTTGAATTATTTGTTTCAATGTTTCTTTTCAAAATATTTTCTTAGCTCGACTATGTTGTATGTTGTCCTGTGGAGGATTGCCCTTAATATGAAGGAGATACGAGAAACCGGTGACATCCGTGGGGAAACTCGGGGCCCCGCATATTCGAAGATCCGAGGAATTCTCTTTGTTCCAATTGGTCGTTCTTTGTTTCAAATTCCAAATCAAGACTCTGATCTGCTTGTCAATTGCGGTGAGTGGACGATCATCTTCCACCGGAGTCCTGGAATGGAACTTCCACCGGAACTTGAGGAACCAATCACATGTTCATACACCTCTACACTGGAAACGACCTCTCTCTTCTCTTTAACCATGAATTGTTCCAAACCTACGCTGTATTCAGAAACTCCATCTACCAAGGTAACGGACCATCCTTATTAACAAACCCACCAGCATCCCCATCCCTCTCGCCAAGTATAATCCCCAAAATCCCTCTCCCAGCCTCCAATGGATCCCCAGCTCTCCCATGCGCACTAACAGCAGTCTCATCCTCACCCCTCAAATTCGACCTCACAAGACCGGGACAGAACGCAAAAACCCGCATCCCACGACTCTGCAGTCTCTTATGCATCTGAACGGTAATCATATTCAACGCCGCCTTGCTCGCGCGATACTCATCCCAAGGCGCAGCGTAGATTTCGCTGCTGGGATCGGTTGCCAGTTTCATCGAGCCCAGACCACTGGAGACGTGGATCAGATAGGGCTTTTCTGATTTGAGGAGGAGGGGGATGAACGCCTCGGAGACGAGTGTTGCGCCAATCACGTTCGTCGAGAAGATCTCGTTCAGTCGGGCGCGGCCGCTGCTGTTGGGTGCGGCCGAGCCGGCGTTGTTGAGTAGGATGTCGAGGCGATTGAATTGTTCGGATACGGTGTTCACTGCTTGCGCTATGGAGGTGTCGTCTGACACGTCTAGCTGGAGGAGGGATAGGGTTCCTTTGGGGTCTTTGCTTTGGAGTTCCGAGAGGGCTTGTTGGCCCTTCCGTAAGTCACGGCAGGCTAAGATTACATGGTGGTTTGGGTGTGCGGCGAGGATTTGGGCGGTTGCGTAGCCGACTCCTGAATTCGCGCCTGGATAGAGTTAGTTTCTGGGGCTTGGGTTGGCGGTTTGGTTAGTCGCCTGCCTGTGATTAGAATGATGGTTTGTTGAGACATGCTGGCGTTGTTGCGTTGCTTAGTTGGTTTGTGTGAAAGGGTTTGGTAAAGAGGTGGCGGAGATCGGAATTGACTACTTCGCTATGGGTATCACGCACTTCAAATACTATACTTATTCAATGAGGTCTGACTACATGTCGGATATAAGCCCTCTATCACCGTCGGTGTTGTCGGTGTTAAGACGGAGATCGCGAAGTGCGAATCTTACGCCAAGTATAGAGAAATCCCCATTGTTGAACTGAACGAGAGTAAGACCTGCAGACATATCATCTGTGCATCATGTCTATCTAGATAATGGACCATACTGTCGAAACTCACCAGGAATGTTAGAACAACACACTGTATGTTTATGATGTCATATGAGCCACACTGGCCTGCATCACGGTCTCGGTCCCATCACAGATTGACCAATCACTTCAAAGCATTGTATGTCTCGAGGTTACATTGCAGGCTAAGCTTTCTGAGACCTTGGATCCGAGTATTGTCTTAAATGACCGTCTAGACAGCTGTATATTTAGGTGTTTAGGCAGCCATTACGAAAAAGAGGTGTAGAAACCGTTCATACGGCTTTGAATGTCTTTGAATGTCCAGATTTTGAAAATATATCTTCCAATTTAAAACAAAAAATGATGATTCAATACATCGCCAATGGAGGTATCACCGCTGTGCAATCCATACACAAAAAGAGCGAGGAAAATCAAGAAGAAAGACAGCATGTGACGAAGTAAGACAGGGGGGTAATATAATGACAGCGAGAAGAAAAGTATAGATTTTACTTTTGCGGGACCCGACGAGTCTTTTGACGGGAAATGCAGATAGTTATACACACCCAGCCTAAAGGAAGAGGCACTTTTTGAGTAGACCATCTCACTAAAGGAGTATAGACCACCTGCGAGCGGTCATGCCAGTGACCGCTTGTTTGTCTCTTGTCTCTCCTGGTAGCGGTAGCACACAAGAGAGATAAGGGAGGGGGGATTAAGAGTGTAAGAAAAAGGGAGGAAATAACAAGAGAGAACGAAATAATAAGTTTTCTTTTGATTTTGCCGGCAAACTCATGTCAAGGACGTGACCATGATCCTTGCAGAGGAGGCAGCGAACCCCCAGCTACCGACGGCGACCCAGAAGGCGGACCAGCAACCGGCCGTCCGGCGGGTGCAATGGGCGTTGAAGAATACGGCGGACTTGCAGGCCAAGCAGGTTGGGACTGGACTGAGTCCATCATTCTTCCCTGGGGAGCGGGGCCCGCCGAAGTGGGCTGTGTGTCTGAAACTGATCGGGCAGCATCGGCGCCCGACCAAGACGTCGTGGTGCCCGGTTCTGAGGCAGGCAGGAGGGTGGGTTGGGCGGAGCGTGGAGAAGAGGGTCTTGGGGGTAAGGCGCTCAGGGACATTGTGCGGCCGAGGTGGTCGCGGTAGAAGTCTCGCTCGGAACGGTAGTGGTCTCGTTGCTGGACGAGGGAACGGAGCTCATCGCTCTGACGACGGACGGTTTCTACGTTGCGCTGGATCTCGTCCTGCTGTGCGCTGAGCCGCTGCTCGAGTTGCATTTCGTTGCGCTTGCGATTGCGGAACCGTCGTGAGGCGTCGCTGTTCGCTTTGCGCTTTTCGGCTTGGCTGGAGGAGCCGGATCGCATGTCTAGTACGCATGGTATCATTCCCACTGGGAGGGGGCTACCCTGTGGGGTTCCGGCTCGTGTGGGGGCTTCGGGTTGGCGTCTGGGGCCTTTTGTTGCGGGGGTGGGTCGGGTCAGAGGGTCCATTGTCATATATGGAGGTGCAGTGGGATATGATGCGTTGCTTTGTGCGAGTGATACACTGGTCACTGCTGGGGATGTATGGTGAAAGGGACTGAACGTTGAATGAGGCGTGCTAGGGCTTGTTTCTTGGGAGTTTGGGTTGGTGAAAGGCCCTGGGCCGGCACTAGTTCGCCGAGAGTGCAGACTGGTTGTAGAATGCAGCGAAGTCAGCGCAGGAGGCTGAGTGACAGCGAGAGGTGCTATTGGGCGTGGACCCGCCTCTATGGGCAGAGGCGAGCTCGTGACGGGAAGACGTGGGCCCATCAACGGTTCGTGGGGAACTAGCGGCGACTGCGCGACACTTGACTGACCCGAAGCCCTGCCGCTCCCGCCAACAAACCGGGCCGAAGGCGATGCTGGATTCATCACAGGCCGTGAATGAGACCTAGGAGATAATGGCTGCGACGTCGATGGATATCCTGAGCGGATTGGAGGCGAAGTCCCTTGGGGACGAGGTGAGGAAGATGGACCCGGTAGGCTCAGTGGCTCACGACTGAGTGCATTCAGGTCAGCCGTTGCCTGTGGGTGATTCAAGATGGCATGAACCCCAATGGATCGGGATGACATGGATTCCAGTGGTGGCTCCACAGGTCCATATGGATGCCATGACTGGGGTCGAGGTCGTTGAGGTGGCCGGCGGGCAGGATTTCGGTTGCTTGTAAAGGCACGGTCATTGTCACTCGACCGGTCATCTGCTTGAGTCACATCTCTGGACAATGAACCTGCACGTCGAGAATCCTGCGACATAGAAACCAAATCTCCCACGACGGAGCGGGAGTTATGGCATGACCGAAACCCCCTCTCTCCTCGCCGGTAGGTTCTCGAGGAGTGTGAGAGAGGGAGGGTGAAGGCGATGGATACCTATCTGAGTAAAGTGACAGATTTGGTGAATGTGAGCCCGAGTATGGTGCGTTCAACACACTAATCCCTAGGGCAGCCACGATGAATAGGATAAAATAAAGATAATGTATAAGAACAAGAAACTCGATTCTCTCAATTGAGGATCGAGGAGAAGATAATCAATATAAGAAAGCTAAAGAAGCTAGAAAAGCTAGAAAAGCTCGGAAAAGCTAGAAAAAGCTAGGAAAGATGCGGAAAAGATCCGAGGCCCCAAAAGTTCGAGCTAAGAGGAAAAGAGCAAAGTGACGAAAGTCAACAGAAATCACAGAAATTGGAAAATGGAAAATGGGGCAAGCTTAAGAAGAGCGAAGAACCGTTGAAATTTAGCAGCGGTGAGAGAATGATCCATCACCTGGTCTGGATGGCTCCAAGACAACTTAGTTGTCTCTCTTGTCCGACCCAGTCTGGCGGATAGTTGGGCACATCTCCTATGGAGACACACCCTAGTTTAAGTCTAACCCCCGGAGTATTGGGCTTCTTTTTATTTTTTTATATTTTTTTATATTTTTTTTATGATTTATTCATTTATTATTATTATTATTTTTTACATTTTACATTTTGGATTTTGGATTTTTACTGTTTTGGGATATTAATTAGAATACGGAGTAGTTAAAATAGAAAGGGTAGAAAGGGTAGAAAAAGAAAAGAAAATAATAATAATAGAAATAGAAGTACTAGAGATAAAATATAGTTAGGTATTCAATATATCTAACATGTCTAATAACACTACCTAGGTAAGATCACCCCTATTATAGAAAAAATAGGCACCAAATCACCAAATCCTATAGAGTCCCAAGTCAGTCAATAAAGTACCTAAAAAGTACCCGGGGAAAGCGATCGTCATGCACAGCACGAATCATCGGGAGCTGCAAGTGTGCGCCGTCACCATGGACATGGACAGGGACAGGTGGAGACTACCGTTTCTTTTTTTTTGGGGGGGAGGAAGGGAAGGGTAATTTTTTTTTTTCTTCTTCCGTTTTTGCCCTTTTTGCCGCTCTTTTTTTTATTATATTAATATTAATATTATATTACATTATATTATATATTATATTTGTTTTTCTCTCGGAAGGTTTAGGGCTTTGTAGAAGAGAGAATCCAGAAAGTTCCTTTGAAAAATGAAAGAATGCCGAACTCCATTTCCTATCGGATCTATACCCACTCGGGGATAGTAAGTGAGGCAATCCTCAATGGTTGCCTTGTAAGCCTCGTCTGGTCCTGTCAATTTCCTAGAGTTGGGAGATGTTCTTGATGTAATTAGTTAAAAATACAAATCAAAAGAGAGAAAAGGGAGAAAAAGGAAGAAAGGAAGTTCGAATCCAAAGTTTATTGAAATAGTTATGTTGTGCATCACCAAATCTTCCCCGTGTCCCGGCAAAAGGGGCCGTTGCCGTTGACCGTTAGGGGTAATTGGGACAGTTTCCCAGCTAAGAAAATAGTCAGTGGGGGGTCTTTAGCTTTTAACACTTTCAACTATTCATATGTTGTAACTATAAACTATAACTACAACTAGTTACAGCATATGGTATACAACATAGAACTTGATATATTTGTTTGACGTCATCAGGGTCATCGAACAGGATCTTTGAACAGAGTAACGCAAGAGTAGACACCCGTTGGAGAAGAATCAACTTAAAAGAATCCTTTGTTTCACCCATTTGTGTGACTGATATGCCTCCAGCGCCGAAGATGATGTCATTCAAAAAAAAAAAAAAAAAAGGTAAATAAAGTAAATAAACGAAGGTCAGTAAGCAGATGACACCGTTCTCTATCACCTCTTTAATGCTTGATGCTTCACGATCGGATCAAGCGGAAAGGGATCCGGTCATTTCCTTAGGAGATAGATGAACATGAGAAATCCGTGTGGATAGCTCTGTTTCCATTCAAGGCTCTAAGGTCACGGGATAAAGAATCCGCCTCAAATAAGCAGCGGAGATCGGTTTAGTGTCCAGTCCAGAGACACTGCACTAAAGTGGATTGGAAAAAGGAATTGAAAAGAATTGAAAAAGGGAAAATAAAGGCGATTTTACGAGATAGGCGAGCTCTGGCGCAGCTGAAGCGCCTCATCTTGGCGAGGATTTGATCAAAAGGCATACCGGAAGTGTTCCATGATCTCCGCGGATTCGGATCTAGTTACTCCATACTCCGTAGTACTCCGTATGTGGATAAGTATGGAGTCGGCGCTTGTCAATTTTACGATAGATCTTCTTTTATGTGTTGTCATGCATTTCCCGAGGCCGCGTCCGACAGAGTTTCAAGGGGAGCTGTCAGTGTTTTTGTGCTGCAGTAGAGTACCCGCTATGGTCTATTGTTTATTGTTTATTGTTTATTGTCTATTTTTTTTTTTTTTTTTCTTCTTTTCTTCTTTTCTTCTTTTCTTTTTTCCAGCGAATCATCGGACATAATGAAAAACACAATTGCGGTCTGATAGATCCTGTGAATTTGACTGGTTAAATCGAGGGGCTAAAAATATGCAAAAATTTGGAAGCACCATGTTTCTCTTCTTCTTACTCCTTACTCCGTATGGAGTAGGGCTGTTCTCTCTGTCAACTTGTGGCGTATAATCTCAAACCACCAGAACCACATTGAGTTCTTTCTAGTCGGATGCGTGTCATCAAACTATTTGAATTATGCAGAAACGGAGAAGTTAAAAAGATATCCGATAGAATGGATTCATCGATAACTGGATACTGATTTTCTTTTTCAACTTCAATTTGTCGGTGTTGACTCTTTGACTCCGTACTCTCTCTGAATTCCCAAGTGGATACTATCCCCCCCCTTTTAATGATCTGCTTCGGCCTGTTCACCGCATGGATCGCCCATTATCTCGTGTCCGCTGCAACCGCATTTTCCTTGAAAAAAAGCAAAAGCAAAAGCAAAAGAATACCTTTGTCTAATCGAGATTACTAGGATATATCCTGTTTGACAGGTACAGGAGATCTTCCCCTTTCGAATCAATCTAATCAACACACACCCACTCGTATAGTCCTCGGAAAAGCAGTTCAAAACTCAAACCCATAAAAGCATAAAAGCATATTGAAGATACAAATTCCTACTCCATAAACCACCTATCACTCCCGTGCCTGCGCCATGCAGGGCGGATCCGCCCAAAGAGAAAAAAAAATAATAATAAAGAGAGGTGGCAGTGCTAGTGCCCACGCGTTAGCCAGCCGAGTTTGAAATCGGACGGAAATCAGGGGAATCGGATCAAATCCTAACATTTACAATAGCCTGTATGGAGTATGTTGTATACATATGGTCGACATGATGTGAGGTCGAAATGCGAAAGCTGATTCGATCTATAAACCTGGTTTTTTTTTTTCTTTTTCTTTTTCTTTTTTTTCTCTCTCTCTTTTGTCCCTTGCGTGGGCTGCAGTGGAAAAGCTACCCTGAACCCAGGTTTCCGGACAATGACAGCGCAGACCGGCGTGCTCGCCCGTTTGTTGATCATCGATCCACAGTCAGCTTGGAGCTGCATATCCCGATTTGGAACTTCCGTACTTTTTTTTTTCTCATTTTATTGTGCGAATGGCATGACTATTACCATTACCGCCTTTTGGTCTTAATTTTTGGAAATGCAAAGTACTAGTTGATGCACCATTGATCCTTCTGCTGCTCGACGGTGTATGTTGTATGCACATGTACGTTGTAGTGGATGCGGCCAAAGTACGTAGAATAAGAATAGACCAAGAACCAATTAAGCATGGTAGGCCGTCCCGGCAGTATGTATATGCGATGTAAGTTGTATGTACTTCATACCACATACTATGTAACATCCATGCCTGATGCACATGATACCACAAATCCCATCAGACACTACTGAAACCGAAACTCATTCTTAGGTACACCGCGGACTGTAACATCAACCTTGAAAACCCGACCTCCATATCTAACCGACTGCGGGAGGCGGTCATCATCCCGATCATCCTTGGCAGTAGTAATAAACAACTCGGTGCCAATAAAAACTGGACAGGTCACGTTGCGCGTCGGGAGATCGATCTGACCGATAATCTTCCCGGCCGGGGAAATGCGCAGTACCTTCCCGCCACCGTAGACAGCGCTCCAGATGCAACCCTCGACATCAATAGCGAAGCCATCGGGCTCGAGTGCATTGCCGATATCGAAGTGCACCCGGCGATTGCTGATGGCGCCGGTGGACGCATCGAAGTCGAAGGCAAAGATCTTGCCCGTCGGTGAATCGGTCAGGTACATCACGTCGTTGGTTAGGTTCCATCCGATCCCGTTGGGGATCGTCATCGGTGCCAGCATGTGGTGCACACTCTGGTCCGGATCCAGTCTGAACATAATGCCTTCTGCTTCTGGCTTCTTGATCTTTGGGTCGTTCATTGCCCCGGCCCAGAATCGGCCGTGGCTGTCGACTGCGCCATCATTGAAACGCATCCTACATTTTGTAACAAATTGAGGGTCTGATGTTAGTTGGTGTTTCATAGGCTATTTTTTTTATTTTTTTTATTTTTTTTCTTTCTCCTTCCTTTTCGGGGCTTATGCTTACCTCTCTGCCTTTCCTCCATCCTCTCCCCATAGCTTCTGAGTATCATGGATATAGGAGAGTTTCCCGGTAGTCTGGTCCAGCCGAGCAAAACCGAATTTGGCCCCAACAATTAATTGATTGGACTCTGCAATATTAGCGGTCACGCTAAAAGTCCACGTGGTTTTTTTTTCAGCAAAATGCAATTTAAAGGATTTCCGGGAAATTGGAGAACCCACCCAACAGAGGCATCGGTCTCAACGACCTTCAATGAGTCAGGACCCTTTGTCAGATCGAGACGATATAGTTTGTGGTCCCAGATATCCACGAAACGGAACTCATTGTTGGCTACATCGTGAAAGGGGCCTTCGAGTAGTGTTCCTGGAATGTCAAGGTACGGCTGATTGAGTTAGCCCTGTGTGATTGGTGTATATTTCTTTTTCTGTTTTCTTTTTTTTCTTTTTTTTTTCCTGTGCTGTGACAGGCTCGGGAGAATAATCGTCACGGCGTCTGACCGACACGAAAACCACAGATAAAAAAGAAAGCAAAAAAACCAAGCGAATTAGGAATTGACGAATAGCATAGATTACTGACCTCATTGACCGTCCACCTCTGAATTTCAGACATGCCGATCGGTGATAGAGTGGACACCGCTATTTGGGAGTTGAGAAAGGGGGGGGAAGTTAGGCATAAAACGGTTTTACTATTCAAAGTTCAAATCCAAGCCGATCACAGAAACCTGGATAAGATTGTCGAAGTCGGTGTTCTGTATCTTGTCCACAGATATATATTTGAATATATGGATTATGAGAGAGAGAATTACAGAGAAGATGAAAGATGAGACGTGGGATATGCCAAGCCACCCCCACGAGGGCTTACTATTCCACTTTGACTGGGGTATGGAGCAACTCCGTACTCCGTACTCCGTACTTTTTAGGGATATAGTCTTGTACCTAACTATGTTGTAGATATCGTCCTTTTCTTTTTCTTCTGAGCGAATCACATAAGAAATACAACATACATGGATTCCAGGTCTTGTCGGCAATTGAAATATTCCCACTATTGAATCTCCTGCAGGAATCCCATGTCTGCAATGCGAATCATCACACAACCTCTGAAATCCCCATGAACTATGGAGTCCCTCCTATGCGTAAACTTTCCATTCATCAATTCGTGCAGCTAGCCGCCAATCTATACGATAGAGTTTCTGTACTCGAACAACAATTTCAATTACATTAGTACAACATACTCCATAACAAAGAAAAATGTCACCCGTCACAAAGTACCATCAGATCACCATCCAGACCAGAGGTGGCTTTTCACATGACCGACTCTGCATGCAGATGCAAGAGATTCCTGCGTGTGTGTGCTGGTGGGCGCTAAGACAACAGAACCCGGATCCTGGATTTCCAAGGTTAGTTACTCTTGACTACCAATCCCGGACTTCGAAGAGTAATTCGAACTCTTTTTTTTCCCTTTCTGCCTGACTGGAGAATTGGGCCCCAATACCGAGTTTAAGAAAAAAGAATAAATACACTGCGTTGCAGTATTGATTGTCATGCACGTCTGCGAGAATGTGCCTGCAGCCGACTTGTATCACCTTGATTAAGGACGTGATGGATCATGCAAAAAGATAGATGGAGTGGGCAATTGGATTGCGCTGAAATTCACCCCTAATACGAACCCGAGAATTACATATATGAAGAGAGGGTTATAAAACTACATAGTATGCTAGTATGTAATGGAAAATAATACATATGTAAAGTGTAAAGTGTAAAGTGTAAAGTGCCTGAAACTATGAGTGTGCATGGATGTGTTGCCGTGCACGCCTCATAACTACCGTGACCAATTAGCTCTATCGCTACAGTTCAATCCTCAAATGCACCCTGCCCCATATGGTCCAGGTAAGGCTTGCATGCAGGTAAGGCCTGCAGTCATCGTAGCTGCGGGGAGAAAAAGTTGGGCATCAACTGTGTTCGTGGCTAGCTGTCTGACTAACTGTCTGACGCGAATATACGGTGATGGACATCGAACACATCCTATGAGAGTTGCGATTTTCTTTTTTTCCTTTTCTTTTTTTTTGTTTTGTATTGCGTACAGGACAATAATTGGCCGTCAGGTCACTGCATGATGCAGGGCCTGATCTACATAAGTGATTTCAAGTAACTTTGCCTACGCTATGCACCCATTGGAGGGTTTTTGAGGTTCTTGCCTTTTTCTCCCTTTTCCCTTTTTTCGCGGTTGCGGATGAGGGAATCCGAAGAGCGAGAGCGAGAGCGAGAAATGGAAGTGATGCTATTGAAGTGATCTTTGGTGACTGCGATCTATAAGAGGGAAGGGATAGCAGACAAGTTCAATATAGTAACGAGAGCAAATATATACACCGTGATTGCAGATGTTTACAGAGATGATGTGAACAGGAAAGGTTCGGTCATTATACATAGCAGGTCAACTTAGTTACAAAAGAGACCATTGATTTTCATTAGCGTAAATAGCTTACAACTTGGTGCCCATGTTGACGTGGACGGCCTTGACCTGCGAGTAGGCGTCCAAGCCAGCTTCGCCAAGCTCGCGACCGATACCGCTCTGCTTGACACCACCGAACGGCACGCGGAAGTCACTGTCATTGCTGCTGTTGATCCACACCATACCGGCCTCGATATCGGAGGCAACACGGTGGGCGCGCTCAATGTCCCGAGTGAAGACTGCGGCGCCAAGGCCGTATGTAGTGTCGTTAGCACGGGTGACGGCCTCGTCCTCGGTAGTGAAGCTGGCGATAGCAACGAAGGGTCCGAATACCTCCTCGCGGTAGATGCGCATCGAGTCCTTAACATTGGTGAAGATAGTGGGCTCGATGAAGAAGCCACGGCCATCACCAACGTTCTTGTGCGGCACGCCGCCGGAAATGAGCGTCGCGCCCTCGGACTTACCGGCCTCAATGTATTCAAGCACACGTTTGTACTGGGCCTTAGTGACCTGAGGGCCCTGGAAGGTGTCGTCGGAGAAGGGGTCACCGACCTTGCTGGTGGTAAGGACGACCTCCTTGAAGAGCTCAACGAACTTTTCATATACAGAGTCGTGTACAAGGATTCGGGATGTCGCAGTGCAGACCTGACCCTGGTTGTACATGATACCAATGTGTGCCCACTTGGCAGCCTGCTCGAGGTCGGCATCTTCGAAGACAACCAGTGGCGACTTGCCGCCAGTCTCAAGGGTGACGTTCTTCAGGGTGCCTGCGGCCATCTTCATGATCTCGCGTCCGGTAAGAGTGGAACCAGTGAAGGCGACCTTGTCAACGCCGGTGTGGCTGACCAACGCACCACCAGCAACACGGCCATGGCCGTTCACAACGTTAACAACACCCGGGGGGAACCCAGCCTCCTTGATAAGTCCGGCCAAGTACAGAATGCTAAGCGGGGTTTGCTCGGCGGGCTTGAGGACGATAGTGTTACCGCACGCAAGCGCAGGGCCCAGCTTCCATGCTGCCATCGCCAGGGGGAAGTTCCAAGGAATAATCTGGCCAACGACACCAATTGGCTGACGGAGGGTGTAGGCGAATTTGGCCGGGGTGGTGCTAATGGTCTGACCGTACACCTTGTCGGCCCAGCCAGCAAAGTAGCGGAGAGTGTTGGTGACCTCACCGATATCATCATTCAAAGAGACCTGATACGGCTTGCCTAAATGTTATGTCAGTTTCTATCTTTGATGCTCAGCCATCTCCCAGGTTACTGACCGTTATCCCAAGTTTCAATGGTGGCTAGGGTCTCCTTGTGTTGCTCAATCAAGTCGGCCAACTTGAGCAACAGGACACCACGATCAGTGGCCGGCAGTAGCTTCCAGGTGGGGTCCTTTAGAGCCTTGCGAGCGGCCTTGACGGCGACATCAATATCCTCCTCACCGGCAGCATACACTGACGTAATCTCGGTTTCATTACTGGGGATCCAGTCAGCTTCAACTCTCAGACAATTAGGAGGGTCCTACAAGACAGTTCAGAGGTACATACGCAGGGTTCACGGTGGCAAACTTCTCTCCAGACTTGGCGGCCACGAATTCATTGTTGATGAAGAGGCCGATGGGCTGGATGTAGCTGCGCCCATTAGGGGCAGTCAATTGCACGGAGATGTCGGACATCACGAAGGGAGAACTGTGAAATGGGCGACGTGGGCCAATTGAGCTAGTAAGAGTTGATGAAACTTTGTACAAACAGCGCAGGTTAATATGGAACATGGAGAGAGAGAGAGAAGAATGATATAAGAGGGGGAAACCGTTCATAGCTGGAAAGTTTGTAGGTTGAGCTCCCCGCCTGATAAGCCGATAAGATGCTCCACAACTCCGGATCGACTTGCTCTTCCGAGTCAAGATCCATTTCTTCTCAATTGGTTTGTTTGGTTTGCATTCCCTTTTTCTTCTCTGGTTGGCTGTACCAGTGTCGGGGTCCGGATTTAGCGTGTTTGGTGTATTACCTAGGTATACCTATTCCCCTGCCCCGGGGAATCTTTACTTCTGCTTATCAATACTCCGAGGTCAATTTTTATTCTCTGCCATGCATTAACGCCTAAAGTACTCGAGGACTGCAGGGCTGCAGGGACATACATAGCGTCAAACACATCGAATATGTATGTACTTCGCTGCCGTTAGCTTCCGGACACTCAAGCCGTGTTTTCCGTGGCTCCTTGCATATCGCATGCATCAAACCCACAGGATCCGACGGGTGTCTCTAAGGTCTAGACAAATCCTGACACAGCTCGTCCCGGTGGTGCAGGTAACGGTCGCATGTATCGGAAACGCCGTAGACTGGGCGGACAACTTTGCGCATATTTGTGAGGGCAGTCCAGTAAAGCGACATGGCACCATCCCGGAAGTGCCACTTATCAGGGCATTTGTAGCGTCGAATATAGGGCAGTGGGATGTCGGCTATACCTAGGTAGTGGACTGGTCAAGCTATAATGCAATGTGATTGGCCAATATGGCAATGACATGGCTGCAGTTGCGAGTGGATCCAAGAGAATCGAACTTTTCCCGTGAGTCTATATACCTTGCACATATCTCTAGAGGACACACCTAGTCAAGTAAAAGAAGCTTCAATTCATGTTCAACCGGCAACGCCATCGATAGAAATACTTGGGAGAATTATATGGAATAAATCCTCTGTGCATCGCTCGCACGTAGCAGCTTGCTTTCTCGTGCCTATTCCTCCTCCTGCTCGCTGGACTCCTCCTTGTCGCTGGACTCCTCCTTGTCGCTGGACTCCTCTTTCTCGCCGGACTCCTCTTGCCCGGACTCCTCTTGCTCGCCGGACTCCTTCTTGGTGAACTCCTCTTGTGGTTCCTCGCCTGCCAGCTCCAGTATGTATTTCCATTGTGCCGGAGTCACACAAGACACACTAAGCCGGGATTGCTGAATCATTTGAAGATTCTCAAGCGGCTTTCCGGTCTGGCCATGAGCCTTCAGATCCTGGAGGGTGACTTGCTTCTCAAGTCTGCGGCGATATTCAACATGGACGACAACCCACTTTGGATCATCTCGTGTGGACTTCGGGTCGTAGTATGGGTGTTCTGAGTCGAAAGCGGACTCTTTTATGAGATGTGGATTAGCAATATTATCAGGCAGATTAGTTTTGGGCGACGAACCATCAGTGGAATGCTCCTGGACAATCTCCATCACTCCCACAACCCCGGGGACTTTGCAGTTTGAGTGGTAGAAGAATGCAAAATCTCCCTTCTTCATATCGCGCATGAGGTTTTTGGCTAGTTCACTGTGAGTATAATTTTCATGGTCAAAGCTTCTATGATTTTTCGACAAAACAACATACCAACATGGTTGCGCACACCTGCTCAATCGTTAGCAATCGGATACCATCCGCAGTATTCAAGATAGATTGGACATACCATCCCAAGGCTCGGGTGCATCTGCAGCAGCCAGGTCATCAATAGAGAACTTCACGTCTTTGCCCTTCTCTAGGCGAGATTCAGGCTCGGCCTTCATCAACCAGAAAGAGCGGCCTGTTTCAGGGATGATGTCGACCGCAGGTGTGACCTGCGGTTCGGTAGTTTTGGCTTCTCCATTTGGAAGAGGGTTCTTGCGGGGTCTTCCACGGCCATCCTTCTTCTTGATCTTCTGGGTGACGGGTGTCGCAGCCCCTGATAACACAGTACAAGAGTCAGCATATACCACCCACAACATGTCAATACATTCTCCATACCTGAGTTCTTGCGGGGACGCCCACGGCCTCTCTTGGGGCCTGGTGAGGTTACAACCGCAGGTGCTGGCTCGGAAACAATCTTCCGTGGGCGACCACGGCCACGCTTAGGGGTCTCAGAAGCAGGCTTGGGAGTCGAGGTCGCGGGGTATTTGCGTGGACGGCCACGGCCTCTCTTTTCATCTATCTGAGGTGTAGCATCAACCTGTTCCAATGATGTCAGCCCTGTGTCAACAATTGAAGTGGAGAAGCCACGGGACGCGACGATCAGCCCCTGCATAGTGCACTTACCACTGAATCAGATGGCGCAGAAGCTGGGGTTGCATCTACGGTATTTCGAAGCCGTTTAGAAGGCGTTGCGACAGACTCAGTTGCGCTCGCAGCGCGTTCAGACTTGCGCTTGGGTGGCATGACTGTAGTTGTTTTGCGCAGGTTTGGTGACAGTGGAAGGTGCGAAATATATGGGAACAAGGCAGAAAAGGCAGTGAGATTAAATTGAAACTGTACAATTAATGGGTTGTGCTCCCCGGAACCGTTGGAGAATATTCAACTCAAGTTGAGCAAGAGTTTCCTGGGAATGTTTGGCTTGACGCGGGTGTGGGTCTGGGGTCGCACGTGATGGGGGTCGATCATGATCGGCACAGTCCTCCTAAACAAAATCGAGAGTTATTATTAGGACTTCACTATCCTCTTAAGATCCCTTCATTCGATCCCAACAGTAATGTTTATCAAGATTTGAGGCATAATTATACACTCGGGTATTTCCACTAGAGGTACAAGCCCCTTAGCACTGTCTGTTTTGTGCGGCTTCCAAAGCTGAACCAACCTGGTCAACCTGGGATGTTCTTTTTCACTTTAGCAAAATCAATGTGAAAATGAGGAGATTGATTTTGTTCTGAGAAAGACATCTTGATGTTGCAAATTATGTCAATTCTTTTGAAGGAGAATGTGCTGTGTGTGCATATTATGATTGCGAAGGGGATATATATTCTACCTAATCTGGAGTAGGTGACTCACTGGGAATATCCTCCCTCAAAGTAGTCTCGACCTCGCTAATAGTAGCTAGAAGTCTAGACGTATTTTTATTTAACGGAGTCAATCAAACTTCCAAGACCATACAAAGAGATACACAAGTGTATAAAATATGAAGGGTTACTGGCCAGAGTTAACTCGAAACGTCTCAAAGTAATCAAAATAGTGTTAATTAAGCTCATCATAGGTCCATTCACATACATGAGCTTGCACCAGCTAGTTACCCATCGGCATAGTCCGTCTCTTTGAGTCAAGTCTTCTCCAACGAAGGTACTCCTTTGAATAAAGTACTGTGTCGTATATTTAAGGTGACCTTTATTAATCTATAGTGCTAAGGTAATATTACACTTGGAGGCGGCTGTACAGAATACATTACACAGACGTGCTTTCAGATGATGTGTATGGTACATGCAATCAGCCCCACTACATATGTATGTGGGTCAAATTCTCATTGAATCCTTTGAATTTATTGTCTAGAATGTTGGATTACATATGTATTTCGGAAAATCTGTCTGGACGGAGCAGACAGACCTGCATACTAGGCCAATCCTGACTTATGTACAAGGTATAGTGTACTCCATAGTGAGTTTGGATGTCAGTTTATATGTTGTAGACTATTTATCATGTAAAGGTGAATCGTGATATTGCGCCATCACTTTGGGTTTCCATTAGTGCTGATCAGAGAGAGTCATGTCGGACAAATAAGCTTGAAAGTCCCCAAATAGACATATGTAGCTTGAACACTACAATCAATACTACCGACTTGATAAACTTTGATACACTACCACTTAAAAACTTTGGGTAAGTCCTCAATCAGGAATCATGTCGTGATAGGTAGCTTGCACATATCATTGCTTCGTTCCTGATCGTTAAGATTTTCTATCTATATTTTGAGACCATATAGTAGAGAGCCGCGTATATATTTATAGGTACACCCCTTTTTGTGTCTTTCCCCAGCAATAAGAACGGATTGATTACAATGCGCCTAGAAAAGTTAACAGGCTAAGCTGTATCCTAGCTGAAGGAGCAGAAGAAATACAAACATCTGATGTTGTTGGTAGGGCCGCCCTGGTAAAGTATGGCAAAGTCGTCTTGTAAGAATTGCGTGCTTTACCATTTCCCGCTCAGGTATGGAGTATATAGTTCGCAATTCGCGTTTTAGGTCACAGGCTAGCAGAGAAAATTGCTAGATAGTTAGAGCTAAGATATCATGGTACTACATACTGTGCATATGTATCTTATGGGCAAAACCCATCATCTACAATATAGAGCGATTTATGGAGATGTCAATATAAAACAACACAGGTACATGATCGTAGGTTCATTCTAACATAAGGTTGAGGGGTAAGATTGAGGGGTAAAAGAAACCCAAGGAACCCGAAGTGCTCATCCACAGTTGATATTGCATCACACACGCTAAACAGCCCACATTATGTGCTATTGCATATTCGCCAATCATGGACGTTCTGCCGGGCGGAAACAATGATCACGCCATCAATAATGCATTCCAGGTGGGGCAGTCCAGCCATATGAGGTTAAGTGGGGTCAAATCCATGGATGATGAGATGTATCTATGCTAAAGCCGGAGGGGTTTCCATGGTTCCAATCATCATCTTATAACCTTGTATCCCGCCGACTTGTTCTTCTTTTCCTCTCTCCTTATCCTCTACAATATACCTTTCCACCTACCTATCTAATCACAATGGCTGACCGCGCTGCTCCGTAAGCTCATAGGGTCTCTCTTTGAAGTATCTACTCAATGCTAACTGTCTGTTAGCCTCCGTCTGGGCTCTACTGCCCCCAACTTCAAGGCTCTGACCACTCAGGGTGAGGTCGACTTCCACGAGTGGATTGGTGACAAGTGGGCTATTCTGTTCTCACACCCTGCGGATTTCACACCAGTGTCAGTTGTGTCCAGCTCCTCTTTATCTCCAACTCCGCGAAGCGTTTTACTGACACTCAATAGCTGCACCACCGAGCTCGGCGCCTTCGCCAAGCTCGAGCCCGAGTTCACCCAGCGTGGTGTCAAGTTGATTGGACTGGTGAGTCTAAGATGGATAACTCTCAAGCATTAGCTAATTCACCCGTCTTCATAGAGTGCCAACGCACTTGATTCCCACGAGGAGTGGATCAAGGACATTAACGAAGTCGCCTCTACTAAAGTCCAATTCCCAATCATCGCAGATGCTGAGCGCAAGATCGCCTTCCTCTATGACATGATCGATGCTCAAGATCTGGAAAATGTGGACAGCAAGGGCATCGCCTTCACCATCCGCTCCGTGTTCATCATCGACCCTGCCAAGAAGATCCGCCTGATCATGGCCTACCCTGCCTCTACTGGACGTAACACAGCAGAGGTTCTCCGGGTTGTTGACTCTCTCCAGACTGCTGATAAGAGGGGTGTAACCACCCCGATCAATTGGCTGGTATGATCACCCTATCCTCCGCAACCCAAGCCTTGAAACTTATCTTACTAACTCAATCAAAGTCGGGCGACGACGTTATTGTGCCACCAACAGTTAGCACCGAGGATGCCAAGAAGAAGTTCGGCGAGGTCCGTGAAGTGAAGCCGTAAGTTCCATGTCCAACTGCCAATTCGAAACAGAGGATACTAACTTGCTATAGTTACCTTCGCTTCACCACCCTTAAGGATGAGTAAACGGGGTCTTATGATGTGATATTAGAATGATAAAATGGGTTCCATAATACTTGGGACACAATTTCCTCCCGAAATTAATGAAACCTACTCACACCATCCATTTTAATCATGCGCTTTTGTAGGAACTTGTTGAGAGGTCGTCTTACCTCTACCTGTTCGCTCCCATGTCGTATTTCCTGGGATAGTGCTTTTCTTCTTCCCAATACATTGAGATATTTGCGGACTGTTTATCACAGTATACGGTCACACGTTTGGACAATTTGTAATATTTCGCTTGAACCAATGTGTAAATTAAGGTGCCAATTGAGTCAAATCAACTATGATCCAGTCAATTCCTACGGTTCTTACTTACATAGTTCTGTCGAACTCAATATATCACCTTTGGGGCAACGATGTCGATAGAGGGAGCAGGGGTAGAAGGGGTCGAGGAAAAACAAGATCTCTCTTATCACTATTCTAGAGAGACAGAGTCTATAACCAGGAGAACCTCTGCTGTGTTACGGCCAGTGGAGGCGGGGTAGGCCATGACCAGGCGGATCTTGTCAGGATCGACGATGAACACGGAGCGGATGGTGAAGGTAAAATGTCCTTGCTGTTCAGTGGTCAGAGATTTTATTACCTGTGTCATCTGCGGTTGTAGAAATTTGGGAAGAATGGTCCCCAAAATGCCATTTTCAGGCCTCTAGGGGCTATCAGACTGAAGAGCGGCGTCTTCGCTTGACGGGGCAACTCTGGGGAAGACTTTCAGCTTGCATATTAGCTGTCTCCAAGAGCAGGTCGTGTTGAACAATCTCCCATGCATGCATGCATGTTTGTTACAGACTGAGTCTTTTGTTTGTTATTTGCTATTTGTTAGTATGTAAGAAAGATCGTGCATATTCAGATGCGAAGTTTGAGTTTTACTATCTTTATCTATCTTCGTTCTATACACTGTCTCCGCATAATCAGTGGGGACCAGCCTTCTGTCTCAGATTCATCGTCGAGATCATTATTGCTCAGCAATAATACGTGTTATGCATATTAGTTTATCCTGAAGTAAACGTGATGATTTTTAATTTGTCATCATACATGGCGGTTTGGCCGAGTGGTTAAGGCGGTAGCCTCGAATGAAACTAGCTACTCTGTTCGCAGTCGCATGTTCGAATCATGCAGCCGTCGATGTCGTTCTATTTTTGCCCCCTCCCTTATCTTAGGATTTTTTGTTGGGTGCCTAGGTGCCTGAGGCATAGGGAGCCCACATGGGACAGATCCACATCTGTAGTAGATAGTTTCTCTCCCTCTCTCCTTCTATCTTCTCTCTCCCCACTTCTATCATTATGAATCTACATGCATGGTTTCTCCATAATCACCACTTCGTAGAATCTCATCATTTTTTCAGCTAAACCTTAAACTCTACTCTGTTGACAGATTTTGAAGAAGCACGTGAAGATTCAGGTGCCCTGTTAGTAAGTACTTCTTAGGCCAAAGAAAACGATTTGCCTATTGCAGCGATGTTAGCTAAAATCTCCGAGGGTCCTTTAAGTTCGAGAAACGTTCTCGAGCGGAATCTTTTGAAAATTGACGAGTCAGTCGTGGAAACTCTAGCTGCCAACTTTTACGCCTTGGACCTTTTGCTATCCTTAGAGCCAGATTCGCCAATCACTGAGAAAGCCCTCTCAGTAGGCACGAATGACGTTCGCTCAATGCGTGTGATGCCGAATGCTCGAGGAAATGCTTTGTACGTCACAGAGAATGTTTTGAAGGCTGCAGCACAATCACATTCTTGTCAGGAGGTGATGACACATACGAAAGGCCATAGAAGACTTGCAGTTTCTCTGTGATATATCATTCATATCGTAGTTGAGGTGGATCAGGGTACGGTCGCTGGGTTGGCGACGTTGCAGTCAAAGGATATCGCAAAGAAAATCAAGAACAGCAAGTCAGAGGAAAAGTCATAATCAAAATATTAATGGCCGAGCAGAACAAGTGGAGAAAACAAAGTCGACGTGAGCATACCACATCAACCCAGAGTTGAGGGGACCTAGGCTCTGAGTATATGTAAACGACTCCCCTACAAAGCTACCTGGAGCACAGTATATACGCTACTCTCACGTGGGGGCCGCTAAGAGCGAACGAATGGCGGGTTGCCGAGGCGATGAACAAAACTGCCGTTAATTATTTGTAGTCATTGGAAAAAGCCTGACTAGATCTCATCAAAATCATCAAGAACAAGCTCCGAAACCTGCTAAGCTGGCCCACCCATTTCTCCAGCGATCGTGTTGGGCGGCTTTCAGCTGAATCTGCCCCGCATCGCTCGCCAGAATCACTTTTGCTCAACAAACCGGATCATCATATAGGCTAGCTCGTGCTGTACTCGGAATGGCGACAGAAGATCCAATAGATTTTGCACATACCGCCATAGCCCAGGTCGCTAACATTGCGTCTTTGCTGGCTGTTGAGTACAAGCGACCAGTGTGTGGCCGTCTCGGGGCTGAATTATATCTAGTTGCCAGCTACATAGATACGGCCGGCCTGGACCAAGAGAAACGATTGCGATTTCGAATATCCAAGCTACTGCGAGATGTGGAAGCAATATGCAATGTGAGTAAAACGGATAGCTATATCTCGCATGAATGAGGACTTACGGGTTAGATCTAGTGGCCATACCAAGTACCAAAGAATGGATACCCACTCCTTGAAGCGATTGGAGAGTCATTGCCGGGGGTAGTATCTTATGAAAAGGCTCGGGCCAAGATCCAACGAGGACTTGGACAGCTTACAACACGCTCTCGCGATGCCGAGGAGGTCATTGCTCACATCCAAAAATTCACCAAGCGCGATCGCAAGTCATCTAAACGCAGTGGGAGCGATGATACAGCGTCTACAAAAAGAATCACTCAACCAGAGCGCTCAAGGCATGCCAACGAGCTGGTTCATCGGGCTCTCCGCGAGCAGATGTGCTGCACCTGCCAGAGTAATAAAATGACGAAACAGATGCAGAGAGAACATATGGTGTGCCTCTTGCTACAACCACCCGCTCAACAAGCGACCAGCAACAGCTTGGTGCAATTTGATATGCTTTTCTCGTCCACTCCATTCTGGAACGAACCACAGCTGAGCCACTGGCAAGATATACAGCTGCTTGTGCCAAGCAGTAGTAATACCAGCAACAAGAAACGCGCCCGATTCGCCGATGCAGACGGTTGTGATAAAGATGACCATGCCAATACCATGCCTGCAAAACAACTGCTGCGAGTCGACCAAGGTCAATTCTGTAGCCTGGTTGGTCTGGGGGCCGACTGGCGCCTTTGCCTCTCGATTCAGGAGGGGGAACTTCTCCACTGCTTTGAGCCACTCAAGCAGATAGTCGAGCATACCCCTGGCATATCTTTGGCCAAGATTCTCAGTAACTACTACCTGACGGCACGAATGAAGCTTGTTTTAGCCTATATAATAGCCTATTCTGTCTGGCAGTACTACGATTCAGACTGGATGAAGACAAAATGGACAAGCGAAACTATTCAGTTTATGAGGGAAAGCAATACCTCTGGGGAGAAGGGCAAGCTCTTTACCTGGAAACCTTATCTATCAGTACATTCCAACGACGAAGACCCCCAGTGCTATGAATACCATAAGGCTGCTGGAATAGTTCATGCCTACCCAAGGATTAGGGCGCTCGGTATTATGTTGGTTGAGATAGGTATCGGGTTTCCGCTTCACGAGGATGAGAAACAGGCGCAGCCCTTGGCTGCCAGAGTGAATAGCGAACTATTCAAAGCCTTCAATTACGCCAAGGATGAGAAGCGCTGGAAGGATTTTGACTACCCCGACTATATGAGTGCAGTTCGTCACTGTCTAGAGCCTGACACCTTCGACCAGGCACCTTACGTTGAAGAATCATCCACTCGTGAATGGAAGGAGGCCCTCAAGCAACGCAGAAACATTTTGTACGACAAAGTTGTGTTTCCACTTGAGGATCTGCTACAGGGCACGAAGTGGATGGATGATTTTACCAAAATCGCGCCGCTGGATATGCCTTCCAAAGTCACGGCAATTCAGGAACCTACTGTGGTACCGGAGAATCCCAAGGAACGCAAAGTGCTAAATCCCAAGCAAAAGCGCACTAAAAATGAGAGATGTGCTAGCGAATGGCTCTTACGCCTGAAAGGTTTCAATAGAGAGCTGGCTCAAGTTGCACCAGCAGTTGGACTAAAAGACCCATCGCGACGAGTACGTATCGCGGTTCTGGACACTGGATACGATGATAATGCTCCCTTTTTCTTTTTGCCCGATGTCGAGGGGCGGTTAAAAGGCTGGAAAGACTGGGTTGATGGGTCTGATCAACCCAAAGATCTTCATGGTCATGGCACTCATTTGGTGTCTCTTGTGTTGAAGTGTGCTCCCGAAGCCGATATCTATGTATCACGCATTGCCGAAAGTCCTAATCAGCTCCTGGATTCTAGCAAGAATGTTGCAAAAGTGTGTATTTCCAGGGAATTGATGCATTACCCTCCTACTGACTTGTTTAGGCGATTTCTTGGGCAAGTCGAGACTGGGAGGCCGACATTATCTCCATGTCGTTCGGCTTTGCGGACGAGCAGCCGTGCATCAGTGACGCCATCCGGGAAGCCGTATACGAGCGAAAAGATTCTATTCTTTTCTTTGCAGCGGCGTCCAATTACGGGGCCAACGACAGAGAGATGTTCCCCGCCAGACACGACTCCGTCATCTCGATCCGCGGGACAAATGCGAACGGAGACTTTGAAGATTTCAACCCCCCTAAGAGCCAAGATGAAGTAGCAGTTTTCGGCACTCTTGGCTTGGATGTCCCCTCTGCGTGGGCCAACTCTGATTATGACGAGTACAAATCTGGAACATCCATTGCTACTGCCATAGCGGCCGGCATAGCAGGGTCTCTCCTAGGATACATTAGTTCTCACCCTCCCGAGAAGCCATTCTATAATGTCAAATACCGAGCATGGACACGTCGGGGAATGCTTGCAATCTTCAAGGTCTTATCATCCAACACGCTCAAGGCAGGGTATTTATACCTGACGACATGGGACTTGATAGGTACATCGGAGGATGTCCGGTGGGCGAAACTAGGAGGCGCATTGTCCGAGCTTTGATTTTATGAACATTTCATTCCCTGATTTAGAAACTACGTATGCTTTGAAGAAATACAGTTGACTCGACTTCCCCCCTCCCCAACCTCAGTCACAGTCAGGTTCCCTGCATCATGATGGGTAGACAAAGTGCTCATGTTAATTGGACTAGTCAAGACCTCTTTCACGCCATCCTCTTCCTCGTCTGTCTCCTCTTCATCATCGTTGCTCAGGTAAGCAGCCTTGTGCCTCAACTCATCATACTCAACCTTATCACCTTTCCAGCCCTTGACCTCTATTTTCAGGAGCTGATATGCAAACACAATATCCTCACCCGCTCGCCATTTATCCGCTTCCTCGGTACTGGTAGATTTGGCCAGATTAGCCCCAGCCCCAACCTGACCAACCGGCGAAGGAACATTGCCACCAATCTCAGTCTCTCCGTTGCGATGTTTGTTGTTTTCCATGGCGACGGACAAGCCTTTCGCAACCATGAGACCCGTAACCATGTAAACGGGCGTCCTGAACCCAGGGATCCTATTAACCTTGGTGATAGCTTGAACACGAGGGACTTTTAGACGTGCTTGAATCTCTTCGATCGGAGGGTCGGCGACAAAATAGATTGTCTCGAGAGAGTCCATCGTATAATTTGATTGCACATCGCTGCCATATCCACCCGAGACCTTTCCGGATACCGCCTGTAGAAATTCCGCCCACACGCTTATCGAGACGCCGCGGTGGTCACCTCGGGTTATGCTTCGCTCGTATTCGGTGAATATCTCTACTCGTGGGTAGACTTTTTCTAGTGTTGCGGCATCGACGGTTGTCAAAGCTCGATGTGGCTGGAGCGGATGTGAAATAATGTTGCCCAAGGCGATAGGGCCTGTTCCTGGCTTGAAGTGGAAATTTGGCGCGAGTATATACGTGGGTTGTTGCGCCATTCTTAGGAAAATTGGGAGTGAGGACTTGGAAAAATTGAGGGGAAGAAAGAAAGAATATTCAATGTTGTCTTACTGTTCTCGTATAAGTTCGTCCTGGAGGGGGCGGGGTTTGGCTCGACATACCCACGACCTTCCAAGTTTGTCAAGTCATCAAGAATGCCCAGTATCATCACTTAACTATTGACTATCCTGAATTATCTTATTATGGAGAGTATTTGAGATTAGCCCAGCTCGAAGTCTTCAGGTATCGGATTCCTTCTTGAAGCCAGAGGGAGAGTATCGTTTGCTGCTCTACGCCCCCACCTGGCAGTCCATCTTCAGTTGAATCCACACAGATGGTTTCCCTCTTCGCATATAAATATACCTTCACTTCTCTCAAAGGTCATGGAGGTTGAAAACCAAATAAAAAAAGCTGCGCAGCAGTGCGTCGAAGGCTTCACTCAGTGCCTTGAAATCCCCGCACTCAAGGAAAATGAGTGGGCTGAGAATCGCCTCGCTGATATGAACTTGTGGATTTCGGGTACCGGAGCCTGTGCCCGAGGACGAGCTTCATTGGACTCAAGACTGGCCTCACGGCCTGAAGCTTGCGATGTGATTGCCAATTTATTGTGCCTGCTTAATACCGTGATTGACGAGTGTCGGACGCAGAGTCAACTACAAGAATCTTCTCCCACTCACCATGTCGAGGAATATTCTGCTCATTTTGAGCAGGAAGTTCAAGGCCGCGCATTTTCTCCTTGGTCCGATGATTCTAGCTCCGATGACCAGTCAGAAAACATATGTGATATGGAAATAACACATGCAAATCCATTGCAGGAATCAATGTATAACATCGAATCGATGCAAGATCAACTTTCCCGGATTGCAGTAGCCATTCGTCGCTCTGGGATGCGTTCACGGTTGCAAAAGGCCGACCAGCGATTTGAGGCAACGGAACATGAAGAACTGGAGGGCCACCTGGTCGGAATGTTGCTCACTCAATTGAAGTGTTGCCCCCAAGAACGAGACTCGTCCAAATTGAACGAAGTTCAGTTGCGACTAGTACACTGTAATCTGAAACGTCGGAATCGCTTTCTGTATTCACAACAACATTCTAGGGGTCTGGATGCTGGCCCTATACGACGTGAAAATCGCTCGGCTGCGCCGAAGAAAGTTGGACTGACACAAGAAGAGATGGCCAAGGGAAAGACGGATTCGAAACCCTTAAATGATGGATCAAAATACGCCAATAGTACAATCGTCACTAGAACCAGTGCGTCTAAATTGTCCGATAACTTCAATCTACAGCAACCCGACCACGCTACAACCACCGCGTCTTCAATAGTTTCAACCACAGTCATCGAGCTAGATTATCCGCGCCCACCTCGATTTAAAGATGGTGCGCATCTCTTTCGGTGTCCATGCTGCTGCGAAGCACTCCCGGTAGAGATGGCAAACAAAAACAGGTGGAGGTAATATTCTTGACACAACTTCAATAGCACCTAGACTGATACAATATAATAGGAAACACATCGCAGACGATTTAAGTCCTTATACCTGTATTGTGGCCGGTTGCGATCAACCACATGTCCTTTTCAATACAAAGGACGCTTGGCGACAGCATGTTCTGAAGGATCATAGCAGCTTGACGTATTGGGTTTGCTTTGCATGTGGCGATGGGTCACAATTCAATGACAAGAGTGCCTTTGTGCAGCACACAAAGTCTAGTCATGCAGCGGACATTCCCCCAGACCAGCTTCCAGTCCTCTGTGATCTTTCCAAGAAGACCACGCCAACAGGACTCGAACGCTGCCCGTTGTGCAATTGGCCAGAAGAAGAGGGAGTCATAGTGGAGAAAGATGCGCTACTCAATCATATCGCTAAGGAGATCCATTCGTTCTCGCTCCGGGCATTGCCATGGGCGGATGATAACGGACAAGAGAGTGATGAGAGGATTCGCGACAGCTCTGAAAAGGTTTATGAATGGCTGATCCAGAATGAAATTCCGGGGCATTCTAGTCAAGAACGACCGTCGCGCGAAGAGAGGGTCTGGCATTCTCAGCATTTTCAACAAAACCCCTACTTTGCAAGCAGTTCAAAGGCGTCGTCTTCGGGTGAGCCTGATTCTAATGGATCAAGAGGGAACGAATTGGAGGAACTAAGAAAAGAGGGGGAGTCAATCGTCCATGAAAGTTCTGAGACCGCTGATCTAGCATCTCGAATACGAAATATTGAAGGGGATATAAGACTAGCTCTACATTCAACGATGTCTGACCCGGAGAACTACACTATAGGTTGGATTTGCGCCATCACCACTGAATATGTTGCTGCCCTAGAGTTCCTCGACGAAAGGTATTCCGTCGACATAGACGACTATATCTTGGGTCGAATTGGGAACCATAACGTGGCTATATCGGTTCCACCAATGGGAGAATACGGCTCGTTCTCGACAGCTCAGGCGGCTACAAATATGATACAAAGCTTTCCCAATATTCGGATCTGCATGATGGTTGGCATCGGCAGCGGCGTGCCCAGCCAAAAGCACGATATCCGTCTCGGAGATATTGTTGTCGGCATTGAGCTCAATGACCAGAGTGCTGTCCTTCAGTATGACTTTGGTAGTAGGAGACCAGGACAAAGCTTCGAGCCCATTGGTTTTCTCGATCCGCCACCTATTCTCCGACGCGCAGTATATGAACTCCAGGCTCAGTATGAGCACAAAGGACACAAACTCGATGACGCGGTCAACAAAATCATTGAGAGGAGACCGCGACTACGGAAGAGGTGTCAGCGCCCAGATCTGGCAAGTGATCGGCTGTATCGAAGTCACATTTACCATTTGATGGATAGTGAATTACCTTGCGCTATGTCATGCGGCGATGATCCATCTTTTCTGGTTTCGCGGTCTCCGCGCACGGAATACGATGACAATCCAGCAATTTATTACGGCCAAATCGCCTCAGCTAGTCATGTTATGAAGGACGCTTCCTTCCGAGACGAAGTGGCTGCGGAAAAGGATATTCTGTGTTTTGAAATGGAAGCGGCTGGGATGATGAATCACTTTCCCTGCCTTGTGATCCGAGGCATTTGTGACTATGCAGACTCGCATAAGAACAAGGACTGGCAGTGGTATGCTGCAATGGTTTCCGCGGCGTATGCCAAAGACATTTTGCGTCAAATTGTCCCACAGCAGTTAATTCAGGAGGCAAAGATCATCGATATATTGAAAGACCTTGAAAGTTATGCTCAAATTATTCACGATATTGACGAGATTGGCATAAATGACAGCTAAAGGCTTCTTTTAGTCTCATCATTATTACTTCCGCTCGTGAAACCCCCGGTATGCCCCAAGTCCTGGTTATTTTGGTCACACATTTACTCCGTCTATATGTGGTCTCTCTCCAGACCCCTCAGAATGGCAGATGAGAACTCGTCCCTGCTGCACCAAACACAGACCGATTCGGTGGAGTTCCCACAGGTGGTGGAACAAGATAGCGAAAGGACCCCCAAGGAACAGTCGCCGTTCGGACCAGCAAAATGAATCCTGGGTTGTTTGGGCAGTTCCCGGCTGTCTGGTTCTCAACGTCTTACAAGAGTCTCGTTTAAAGCGTAATCTTTACATATATTTCTTTGTATTTGCTTTTTAGACGTTCGACAAGTTGTGGTAGTTATATGCTATTAACTAGGTTAGCACCGAAGATACTAGGAAGAGGTTCAGCGAGGTGAAGTGCATTTCTATACAGGACCAAGGATTTTCCCATTCAAATAGAAGATGTAAAATTCCAACCTCATTTCATGAAGGCTGTATGTTGTAGATTGGAGGGGCATGTGAAGGAGAAAAGCGGTAAACACTTTTTGTGCCGATCTCCAAACTCGACGGCTGACACTTCGGCCAGGACTGTGCGCTCATCCATACGATCGGCAGTAGTTTGCATTGTCTAGTTTTTTGTTCATCTCTTCATTGCGAAGCCTGTGAAGTCTGTGAAGCCTGCTGCCAAAGTTGAAGTGTCGCGGGGAACCACCCCCTTTTCCGGCCCCCCACAAACCACCCATTTCGAGCCGTACGTACCAGACACGATCCGCGCCGGGAATATTCTCCGGGAATACCGCATTCGAGAGAAAAACGCCTCATCGCATGCGAGTGATATTGGGTGAACTGAAACAGGGGCTCATCGGCTACCCACACGATTGTCTCCGTTGAAAGCGGCCAGGAAATTCGCCCACCATGATGTCGCGAAGTCAGTCGAGTCTGGGGTATATGGATTCAGGGCGAGAGGATTCTGCGCCGGGAGCCTCTCCGTCCTTGAACCAGCAGTCTGCCTCTGGGCCTATCAATCTATCTGGTCTGGTATGCAACGTGCGGCGAACGTCCGGAAAGGAACCCCGTCCTCTCGTCGGTGCCACTACAACCATACTGGGCGATAAGCTATACGTGTTTGGAGGCCGGGTCCTCTCGCGCAGCCGCCCTCAACTCACCTCCGACCTTTACGAATTGGATTTGATTCGGCGACATTGGACGAAGGTCGAGCCCGCTGGAGATGTTCCACCGCCGCGGTACTTCCACAGTGTGTGCGCTTTGGGGGATAACAAGTTGGTCTGTTATGGAGGCATGTCACCCGCCCCAACTACGCCAAAGGACCCCGAGAACCCCGCGGAACCGCAATCACAGTCACAATCGGAAGTCGTGGTTATGTCGGATATTCACATCTTCGATGTACCATCGAGGGCATGGACGCGTGTTGCTGCTCATGAATCTCCTCAGGGGCGCTATGCACACTGTGCTACGATCTTACCGTCGAGTGCTTGCTTCACATCTGCCAGTGCACCACTATCCGCCATTCACAATAATCCTGAATCCTCCAGTCATCAAGGGACCCTCGGCGTGGATATTGACGGCTTTGGAGGTGCGGAGATGGTGGTGGTCGGAGGCCAGGATAGCTCCAACCATTACATCGAACAAATTAGTGTCTTCAACCTTCGGAGCCTCAAGTGGACCAACACTAGCCCCCTGGGAAGGAGCTGCGGCGCTTATCGCAGTGTCGTAGCTCCTCTGGTGGGAATGAATGTGTCTGAAATTGGATCCTCAGCTCCAGACCGCGATCAACACGAGCCCATTCAAGATAGCACGGAATCGCCAGGTTGCCCCATGCTGATATACTCCAACTACAATTTCCTTGACGTCAAACTGGAGCTGCAGGTGCGCCTGCCGGACGGACGCCTTGTCGAACGACCTATGCAGAGCCAAGCGTCACCTCCGGGACTGCGTTTCCCAAACGGTGGCATTATTAATGGCCACTTCGTTGTTAGTGGTACCTACTTGACCTCATCAAAGCAAGAATATGCGCTGTGGGCTCTCGACCTAAAGACATTGACTTGGGGCCGTATTGATGCCGGAGGATCGGTATTTGGACAGGGTAGTTGGAACCGAGGAGTGCTTTGGCCTCGGCGTAATTCTTTTGTGATTCTTGGACACAGGAAGCGAAGCCTTGTCGATGATTACAACCACCGTCGAATCAACTTTTCGCACGTTTGCCTGGTCGAGCTGGAGGCATTTGGACTCTACAACAATTCTTGCCGCACTTCTCCAACCTCAGGATACAAGTCTTATAGCTCCTCTTCCGTTCCAGCATCTTTGCAGAAGAAACTAGTGCAGTTGACATCAGGTGGACGACCACTGTCTGCCGCATCCGATGAGTTAGGCAAACTCGCACAATCTTTGCCCGAGATGGCCGACATGGAGTTACAGGCTGTCGGGGGGAGAACGTATCTCTGTCAACTCCCGCGTCTTGACTCGGCGCTGGGGTCCTTACTTTATCCAACTCCTCCGCGAGTCCTCGGACGGAGGTATTGCAGACATCGCAACTCTTCGTCCAGCCCAGATACACCCAAGCCGCAACTCGAGTATTACCATCACTCCTTCGATAGGCTCCGATGCAACGACTCTTGTCAATCAGTCTGTGCCTTCGAAGTCTCTGCTTGAGAATCTCGAAATTCCATCTGCTCACAGCCTCGCCCCAACCTCCCGACCGCGTGTGCTCTACCTCCCCCATACCATTTTGACTCTTCAAGTGCTAGTTCAATACCTCTACACCTCAGCCCTTCCATCCGCAGGCACCTCGCTTTGCACACCACAAATCCTCTGCTCGCTTCTACAGCTTGCACGCCCGTACCAGATCGACGGACTACTAGAAGCCACCGTCGAAAGACTCCATCAAGTTCTCGATGGGCGCAACGCCGCAGCTGTATTCAACGCAGCTGCCATGGCCGCCGGAGGTGGTCGTGGTACTGGATTCAATGGCGGACCAGGAGGTACACTGGAGGCTCTGAACGGAGCTTATATTGGCCACAACGGCACTGCGCCCACAGTTGGCGAGAACGGCAACTCCCAACATGGTGCACTCACATCAGGCTCGTCCGACACAGAGCACGGTGCTGCCTCCGCATCAGCAGCGAGCAGCACGGGCGATCTGACCAACTTCGCTCGAGGTATTCCATCTCTCCGCATCGACACCAGTGTCTCCCAGAATTCCCGCCAGCGCAGCGCCCGCCGCGACCGTGAAGATTCCATTAGCAATCCGAGCACAGCGACATCCGCATCCAGCGCTAGTTTCAGCCAGTCCGACTCCGAATGGGTCAGCGGGGATGAAAGCCGCTCGCAGTCCCGGTCTACCCATCACCGCCGTGACACAGACGCCGAGTTGCGTCGCCCCCAACGTGAGCTTTGGACCGGTGATCTAAGCAGCGTTATCGGTCTCCAGAAACGCGGCTTGCGTGGTCTCATGGAGGGCCGTCGCATGCGTGAACGTAGTTCGAAGCCCGCTAGCACTGGCAGTAACTCGATATCCATGCCGCAGTCAGCTGGCTCAGGCGATCAACACATTCCTTTCCAGGGTGTTGCCAGTTGATCGTTGCCTGGAATTCATTACTATGACAGCTATACGATTTCTTTTCGCCCCGCCTTACCATCCTGCCACATTGGTTTTTAGATGATCTCTTTCCAGATACCTTTTTTTGGATTTTATATACTTTTTTCCTTCTTGCTTTTTACCCCAGCAGGCTGGCAATGTGGGGAGGAATTAGGGCAAAACTTCCAAACTTGGGAACAACGCATCTGGATGTTGTACCTTTCTTCTGTTCATGTTATTTGGGCTGGGTAGGTTGCTCTCGCCTACCCATAGCCATGGATATATACTGAGACTTCCGGCGTTGGAGTTTACAATGAATGCAATGAAATGCATTAAAACCGGATTTGTGACTTTTTCTCCATAAGATACTGCTACTGCTTTGTATAGAGATGAGAAGAGACAGGTTCTGCTAGGACTACTACTTATATACAGTTGTAAAGCCCCTCAAGCTTCAATCTGGTTTAGATTGTACATAGAATCCCACTCTCGGAAGAATGAAGAACAAAGAGAAATGAATTAGTCCCTCTGTGCCTGCACATCTCCAAGCTGCTTGGGACTCTTGCCAGCATAGACTTAAGTGTGATGAGTTAGTGCTTGTACAATCAAAAGAAGGTTGGGATTGCCTAGGCATAAAGAACTCACGTCGCTCATAAAGAATATACGATGTGTACATTAGAATTGGTAGCCCGACAATAGTCGTCGTCCATCTAGAAAGACGATTAGATTTCTCGTTGTTGCTATGTATCATTTGCCATCGAAAGACCAAAGCAAAAAAAAAAAAAGGAGACAAAGAGGGATGACACATACCTCCGTGCAGCAGCCTTGTACTCCTTTGTCTTCCGGATATCATCCACCCCCTTTGGGAGCCGCGAAGGAGCGGGTTGTTGGACTGGACGTGGAGGCCGAGTTTTGGGATCCACAGATCGGTATCTGTTCTGGTCTTTGATGGATGCCATTATTCTTGAGTTTTGTTAGATAAATTTGAGTGCAGAGGATAATTGTCGTGGCGTGCTTACATGTTTTGGTTGATGTATTGGACGATGTGAATGAATTCTTGTGAGGGAAGATTCCGGGAGGTGTTAGTGCCTGAGGCATGACTATAAATAACTGCTTGTTCACATTAGGAAGAGTAACTTGGAAAATAGACCTCTATTTCAACCACTGATTATGAAGTGGGTGGATAATGTAAGTTATATGGCATTCGAGTAAAAAGCCCGTCTTGCAAGCACTAAAAATAATGTACAAAATATTTTTTCTTTCCATCTTTTTCTTCAGTTAAGTATACGTCTCTATCCCAATCCCGTTAAGCTCAAACAGTCTAGTTTCATTGAGCTTGCCCAATATCTATGTCCCACCCATTATATGTAGGTAGTCAATGCTGGTGGTATACATATAGAAGTATAAGCTTCTTGTTTAAGAAGAACAAGTCTGGTCCTTTTATGCTCGCCTTTCAAGTGGCTAGAATCTTTAGTTTTGCATAAGATATCAAATGTTTTGTTTTAGAACCAAGTGTGATAAGACCTTGGTAGTAGCTTGGTTGTTCTCTGCATATCCAGGTAGGTTGATGTAGTTTATTATATAAACTCGAACTATCCGATGCGATGTCCTAGGTTTAAGATCACCCTAGCTGAAAGTTACTTCTCAGGCAGAGTGCGTACATCATACCCATCACAATTGTCTCCAGTACACTCTGGAACTACAACGGCATAAGGTAAATGTAATGTAAGCTCAGAGTAAGCGGAAGCTCGATGGAATGTGAGGAAGGACTATCTGCGTGAGATGTCAGAGGTATGCGGGCTTCCTTTCACGGAGACTGCAAGATTACAAAAAGAAGCAATACTTATAGAAAACAACAAAGACAACTGAAAAAAAACTCATAATTCACCATGGTCAACTCCATGGTATGCTCCTGCGGTGCTAATCATACATGCTTGAAACGCTCGCTGGTAATCATACAAAAGAAAAAGGAAAAAAAAGGAGAAAAGGAAAACAAGCAAAGGAACAAAGAAAAGCACTAAATATTGAAAATATTTGCCCGGCTTTAGCCGGGCGGGAAACATGATTTTACCCTCACCAGGGCCTCACATGGCCCGGCGGCGGCGGCGCTTGCTGGTTTGTGCGGAGGACGGCGCACGTGAGATGGCGGGGGAGGAAGGGGGACTTCACGGCGGGGTTAGAAGTAGATGCTTTAACCCCAGAGGCCTCAGTCTTGGTCGCCGGCTTCAAGGTCAGCCGTAGCCGCTGCACCTTAGGCTTGTCACCTTCGGTGGCAGCGGGGGCGACGGCGGCAGCCGGGCCCGAAGACTTTACCTTGGTTGTAGTGGTCGGGGGAGAAGTAGAAGAGGCGGGAGAAGTGGAAGAGGGGACAGTGGGAGCAGGGGCAGTCTGGCGACGGCGACGCTGTGACTTGCGTGCGCCGGTTTCAGCAGTAGCGGTGGGGACTGGCGAGGCGGGCTTATCGGTGGCATCTGCGGCCGCGGTCTGACGGCGCTTTCGGGTGCGGGGTTTCTTGGTCTCAGGGGCTGGCACAGGGGTCCGAGCAAGAGCCCGCGCCTTTTCCTCCTCCACGTTTTCAGTGACGAATGGGGCTGTCGCATCAAATGGGAGATTACGGTCCCCCATGAGTGGAGCGAAGCTGTGGGCGGCATCAGCTTCGGCTTGCTGGCTGGTTCTGGCGCGCACCGGGGGGAAAGGAAGACCCTCGTAGCCGTAAGTATGAGGTGGATAATATGGGTGGCCTTTACCAGGGATCAGAGCAACTTCTTCACCACTGGAGTTGACATAGCCAGTTTGAATCCAGCCATCGCTGTCGACCTTGATGTCAGACCGCCTTTTATAGCTTAGGATGCTTGAGCCGTTGGTGACTGCATCGTTGGTGGCTGTGCCGTTGGTGATTGTGCTGTTGGTGACTTCGCCGTTGGTGACTCTGGCGGGAGGAGTAGGAGGGGTGGAAGAAGAAACAGCGATTGCAGACGGTGGGGTGTCTTGGTCTATCATTTCGACGTCGAGATCGACATCACTTGGCGAGGTGGCCTTGGTGGTGGGCACGTCGACGCCATATTTTTCTTCCTCTTGGCGACGGAAGTATTCAATTCGTTGCTGCTCCAAGAAGGTAGGGCAATTGAAAGGGAGCGTAAAGTCAGGGCTTAAAGATTGAATAGTCAAGTCATATAGTATCTTGCTCGTGACTTTCACGTCAATATCACAACCAATCAAGGCAGCATTCTTCCGCATGTTCAAGTTGGACATTCTCTTTGACTTCCTGGTTTTTTCTCATTGGTTGCTTCGAAACATTGTTCTTCGCAACCTTGGTAGGCACAGGGACAGTGGGGACAGCAGAGGGAGCAGGGGCAGGAGTTTCCACGGTCGGGGTGGACACTGTCATGTTCTTACGGCGAGGTTTCCTCTTAGTTGATTCAAAAGATTCAAGGGCCCTCATGGTAGGCTTACGAACCCGGGATGAGTTCCGCATGTCGGAGGCACTGGTAGGGCTCGAGGGACCGTCAGCTGTTTCTTCGGATTCAACACTGTCCATGTACTGGTCAACCGTCCAGCTAGCGCTGCCAGTGCTCTCTGGAAAATCAATGTCCGAGACTTCTTGCTTGGGTGTTTCAAGTGCAGTTGTTCTTCTCGTCCGTCGACTACCCGGGTTGGTGGGCGGGGCTTCTAGGGTTGGCGTGTAAACGTTTGACAGACCCGACGGACGAGACTGAAAGGTCCTTCGACGTGAGGAAGGTGTTTCAGGAGATTTTCCACGTGGACTAGGACTTTGAACGGACGGATTACTTGGAACCGGTGTGTTGGGAGTGTAAAAACGAATGTTGATAGAGGTGTCTTGGGGTGAGGTCGATGAAAGGTCCAACGTTTTGGCAGGTTGCACGTTCTCATTCGTACTTTTTGACGGGGGAGGTACTCGGGGCGAGCGCCGAGAAGGTGTCAATGTAGGCGCTTTATTGATGCGCGCCAACATCGACTTACGTTGGCCCGTCTTGGGAGGCATCGTGACTTATAGCTAAATGGCCCGGAAGTTGTCAGTTATAATCTATCCTTGCAAATACAGCAGGCGGCAAATAGATCAAATGAGCTGTACAAATAGAAGACTAGATAATACCTCCAATAACAGGCGACTAGGGTAAGGGAATAAGGATATATGGGGTCATCAGGTGAAGTGCAGTGTCGACGTCAGAAGACCGCAGTGCGCGGAAGGGGAGAAGTTGGGAATTAGGGCCCAACTTATAAGCGCAGTACTCACGGGATTAAAGGTACAACCATCCGTAGTTATTTTCTAAAGAGTGCACAAACAAGCTGTAAGGACTAGGCGGACGTTGAAGTTGTATTTGTGGTGGACGAGGCGAAATAAAGTGATGGAAGATGTTGAGGTCAAGCCGAAAAGAAATTAGGGCTACGATTGATCGGCGCTTATCGTCTTCACTTGTCCGCCTTATTCTGCAACTCCTCCATCCTCCATCATCTCCCTGAGCTCTCTACAGCTGTTTGCTGTTATTTCTGTTTTCTTTTAGTTATTCTTTCACAATGCATCTATGGCACGCCACCGTTCCATTCTGCCTCTTCGCTGCAGCTGCCTTGCCTGGCGCTGCTGCCACAGCTTGGGGCTTTACTGATGCCACCGTGGCCGTTCAAGCAAAAGGTGCTGGTGTCAATGGAGGGTTTAAGGAACAGTATGCATTTTGACACAAATACAAGGTACATGATACTAATCAATATATTCAAAATAGATTTACTGCATCCAAGCCGCTCTCCAAGCCCATCTCCCTTTTCGGTGCCGATACCCTACGCGTCACCTTGACAGCTCAAGAGGACAGCTCTGCAAAGCGGCCAGACCAGGCTTTCCTTTTGCTTAAGGATGCCCAGACTGGATTGGATATCTCTTACCCTTTCAGTGTCAAGGATAATGGCAAGTCAAGAGTGGAATTGGTAAGCAACCTCCGCAAACGACTTTCCGCGGCGCAGCTAACGAATGCTCTTCCAGACCCAGAAAGAACTGCCGATTCAATTTCTTTCCCTGTCCGGTCCAGTTGATGCGCATATCGTCATTGGTGGGTTCGGAAGCTCCGTTGCCTACGACAGCTCTGTGTTCAAGTTGTCGATTGATCATAACCCCGAAGAGGCCGTGCCGACCGTTGAGACTGAGCGATACGGCAAGAAGCCTGAGATCCACCATATCTTCAAGGATTCTGCGTCTAGCCCACCAATTGTCATCACCCTGACATTTGTTGCCATGGTTGGCGCTGCTATTCCTGCTCTTGCTGGTTTGGTAAGTTGATCTCATTGCTGTGCAAACGACGTTGCTTACAGATTGTCTCTAGTGGCTCTTCCTCGGCGCCAACATTAACCACCTTCCTACCGCATTGAAATCCGCCCCTCTCTCGCACGCCGTCTTCCTCGGATCTTTGATCGCATTTGAGGGGATCTTCTTCCTCTACTACACATCGTGGAACTTGTTCAAGATCCTCCCCGCGATGGCTGTTGTCGGTGCGGTCGCCTTTGTCAGTGGTAGCCGTGCGCTGGGTGAAGTGCAAGGCCGGCGCCTTGCTGGTCTTCGGTAAACTCCCGGAACATATATCTATCCGCCGTGTTCGTAGTTGTACTCTCACGGTGGTCCCAAACTGCCGTGTGTTCTTAGGTTCCGGTGGCATTGTATCTTAACTGGTGGTACCCAGTATGCCTTTACAAAAATAACAGGTTTTCCACTGAGAGTTTACGAAAGTTCCACTGATCTTCAAATGTGATCATCTCCCTACATATTGTCTGTATTGGTTACGGGTTGGGTTGGAGCTCCCCAGATACGCAGCAGCGCCAACATATACTTCCTATCAACTTCATTTTAGCATCCAGCTTCAGCTTCATATTTTAGATGTATTGGACAAGTATGTGTTGCTATACATCAGTCAATCTCGATAGATAATCTATACTACCAAGGGAGTTGTTTGTTGACTAGTATGTATTTTTGACGTCACAAGGTAGGGCAAGGACTACCTTACTTACCGCTTTATTTACCGCCTACCAAAGATGACATGCATATACACTTCTGCCTCAGAGATCAGGCCCTTATTTCAACTCACACTGTACGTAAAGAGTGCTTGTTCAGTATCCATAAGAATTTCTATCATCTTTAGATATTTTAACACCTTGCAAAAGTATTAGTTCGTGAGACTCATATACTCTGGAGCCCGAAAAGTCTTGACCGTTCAGTTGGCAAAAGACCCGAACGTCCAGATCGAATGCCAAGTCGACTTCGGGACCTCCGCTCAAAGCTCCGCAAAAAACGCCTTCAACCAACACTTTCGAATTCCACATCTCATCATCCTCAATGGGTTCTGCTGCATCAAAGCCCGTTAAGTCGGCAGCTGGCGCAGCCTCACGGCGCCAATACCCCAAGCAGCCAGCTCCTCCACCGAGGGGCCCGCGCAAAGCTCCGAAAGAACCCAAAGCAGCGTCTGTACCTTCGCCTCCTACCACGTCCAAGCCTAAGCCCCAGGCTAGTCCCTCGACTCCTCGCGCACCTACAGCTCCCTCTCAAGGTCCAACATACCACTCAAAGGAGCAAGCATCCAGCGTGAAGTCTGGTGGTACGTAACACTCGCCAGCGATTCTTCTAAGTCTCTTCCATGCAACAAACGCAAGATCCGGAAGGAAACAATTACTAATGACTTTCCAGCCATCGACATGGACGGTCGAGACCCCGACTTCGCCGCTTCCCTCCGATCAATAGGGCCCGTCAACCCATCACCTACATTCTCAAACTCAAGCACCTTTAACCGCCCCGGCTCAATGCAAACTGTCTTTCCGCATGCTTCGAACCCGGCACTGCTAGTTGTCACTGCTAGACAACGTCTCATGGAGGCCGCGGAAAAAGAAGCTGAACACTTCGGTCATGCGGGTCACCCCGGGAGATCGTTCCTGGATGCCCTGACTATCCAACAGGTGTTGACGATGCGTGATAAGCAGGGTATGCGTCGTGGTGATATTGAACGGTTCCTCGGGTTGAAGAAGGGTGTCTTGGAGCGGCTAGGGAAGGATGAGATTGTGTCGCGTATTACGTGATCTTCATCCTCTGCCCAGGTGCCCAGGTGAGCTCTGTTGTTTAGCGGTTTTTCCCTCAAAATATCATTCGGTGTGTTTGGTGCATTTTTTATTATTGGTTGGCGTCTTCCTATTTTGTGCACATTTTGTATAGTACCTTGATTCGGTCATCCCTACTCATGATAATATCAAATGCTTTGGTCAGAGTCGCTACGAGTTTCTCCTTCGGCCTTTTCATCTTTTGGCTCAATGACAGATAACTACAAAATTCCGAGGGAACTCAAGACTTGGAAAAAAAAGTCCAGACAGCTTGAAGCATGGTCCTCAAGTGTTCCGCCACAACGGTCATAATTGACAGTAAATCAATTAGCCGCCCAAATCGCTAAGATCTGCCAGGTCACCATCCAATCTTCGGTATTGAAGATACATCCGTCCGGAAATGTTGTATTAGATGGCTTCCATGCCTCATGCCACTGGCTATCATGTCGGTCACGGAATCATCGGCCACAGACATGTCGGATGCTTAGGTGATTCAAGACGCTCGCTTTCACTCGCTGCGAGCGGTATTAAACTGTCTTGCTGGTGAAAAGGAAACAATGGAGCAGTTTGGAATAGCACATCGGCTCATGCGGGGGTTCAGTCGTCTATCACATCTGCATCTTTTGCAGGCAAATCCAGGACCACACCGATTCTAGGAATCCAGCCCGACAAGTTCCACCTTGGCGTACTGACCCGTGCTGTAAATTGAGCAGTTTGCTCTGTTGGGTCATGAATTCAGCTTTCAAATAAAATATGTCTGAATGTTATGAGTATAGATGAAATTATATTCACCAACTGACAGAACAGGCAATCTTTTTGAGTTGGAACCTTAAGTTGTGATTTCCAGAGAAAAGTGGGGCCCAGGGGTGATGATTCGGTGCCGACAACCAATCACACAACATAGAGACAAGATGACAGCCCTTTAGGTGGAGGAGTCAGTGATCTAAATCACGCCCTATGCTATGACTGATGTTGATGAACTCCCACATACTTATAATGTGTTCTTTTCTCTTTCGTACATACTTTAAAAAGGATCATTGAACATACTTGCCCCTAGATCTTCTCTCATTGAAAGTACAATGTATCTCCGTGCCGTCCACGCAGAGGGACAACTCCCCGTCCTCCAGCAATTCATCCGCGATAACCCACTGGGCATCCTAACAACGGCAATCAAATCCCCAATCTACTCCTTTATCCAATCAAGTCATATCCCCTTCGTTCTCGATGTACCTCCCTCAACCGGGAACGATGACACAATCCCGACCGGCATCCTGCGCGGCCACATGGCGAAGCAAAACCCACAAGCAAAAGCCCTGATGGAAGCTCTCGCCGAACAAAATGCAGCGGGAAATAACAAACTCGAGCTCACGGACGAAGTGTTGGTCCTCTTCAACGGCCCACACCACCACTACGTGACGCCCAAATTCTACACAGAAACCAAACCGGTTTCCGGCAAGGTCGTCCCGACGTGGAACTACTCCGCCGTGCAGGCCTACGGCAAGATCACTGTGTACTGCAATTCCAAGGCAGAGGAAACGTGTGCATACTTGCAGAAACAGATTCAAGATCTGACGCGGCAGTCTGAGGAGGGTATTATGGGGTATACTGGGGGTGATAAGAAGAGCGCCTGGAATGTCTCCGATGCACCGGTCAATTACGTGGAGCTTTTGAAGAAGAATATCATCGGCATCGAGATCCGGGTTGAGCGGTTGCAGGGGAAGTTTAAGATGAGTCAGGAAATGGACAAGGGGGATCGGGAGGGGGTTGTGAAGGGGTTCGAGGAGTTGGGGTCGGAGGTTGGGAGGGGCATTGCTGATTGTGTGAAGGAGCGTTCTGCCTTGAAGGATCAGCAGAAGTAATTGAACTTGGGGGCTAGTTATTGGAGAAGATATCTGGTTTTGCACATACACTTGACGTGATGTGATTGATGAGGAATGAGAATCATGCATAGATGATAGAGAACCTTTGCAGAAATGTGTTAAATTCAAATATTGAAGCTTTCAAGACGTAGTTTGTATGTTGTACTTTGTAGGCTAGTACGGTTCTGGTGTTGTTCAACCTGTTTCAGTTTTAGAATTTTAATGTGTCTACCTAATTACGCATACGACCCGTGGACCCTTACCACCTTAGTGTTGGGGCCTGGGGGCCATGTATCGACACTAAAATCAATACGAGGGAGTACTCGGAGTCTGCGAGTCGAATGAGGTGATCACACATGTCAAGATCAACAGTCAAGATCAACATACGAGGTATTCCATACGAGTTGGCATATTAAAGATACGCGTCTGACGTACTCCGTGTAGGTCTCCTATAAAGTCTCCTGCGAGGTCTACTGCCAAGCATATTTAGGCAAAGGCCTGTGCATAAAGTTTTTAACCACATCCCTATGTTAGTTATGGGAAAATACATTGTACGTGTCTATTGTACAGAGTACATATGATTGGTAGATGTACAGAATTACAAAGTGCGATTGTTTTATGTCCTCCCCACAGATCTCAGAGACACGGGATCTTCAAGACCCGTGGATCTTTTATAATAATAGAAGGGGGCCAAGTAGCCTGGAAGTGGGGGCAGAAATGGGAAATCGGTGCAAGGTTGACTTCTATTTCCCCAGATTTTACGCAAGTACACCGGTGAACGGTCATATTTCCCCTTTCAAAGAGTACATGTGTAACTTTGGACCCTTGGAACCTTCCGAGATTGGAACGCCCTCGGGAGGTCTGAGATGGTCCATGGTTCGTTGCAATTGGATTAATTTTTTATTGTATGGTGTATTGTGTGGTGTATTGTATTATTAGTTTTATGTTTCACCGAAGTAGCGAATCATTTTGGAATAGTGTGATGCAGGGTCCACCTAGTGGCTGCACAAACATGGACAAACTTGGACAAACTTGGACATAACGAACCTGTACAGCCGCTATGTCTCTCATTCAGGCCCACTTGGGCAATTTGAAGCACTGTGAGTGGTTGATATGATGGAATTTTAATATAGGAAAAGTGGTTTCAGGAACGTAATAAGAAGAAAAGAGAAAGAATTAAAAAAGAAAAAAAGAGAAAAAAAGAGAAACTAAGCATTTGGAGTAAATTGGAGCCTCAGGTTAAGCCAAGTCGCGTGCACAATTTCCTATCGCCTAATTGGCCTTTTTTCTGTTATTTCGTGATATCTAAGAATAAATCGTGGACCCTTTCTTCCCTTTCTTCCCGAGCTCTCTTTCTTCTTTCCTGGGCTCTTGTTTACAATTTCAACATTCCTCGAGTTAACCTCCTGATTTCCTGGCCAACTGCGCGATTCTATTGTACAAATGAAATGATTCCAACATGTCCATATTCGCCTTCTTACCACCTTTGACGCCTTTCCTTTTCTCTGCTCTCGTCGTGAGTGGCCTCGCCTCAAAGGCCTTACATATTGCGCTCCATATTCAGTCCTTACCGTTCCTGTACTTCGTCCTCTATTCACCCACCCTCATTCTACGAGATGTGTTGGTTATCATATTCGGGCGGGTCTTGTTACGTTTCCAAGCGCCAGATAGTCGATGGCAATGGCTCTCGACTGGGTTGGGAGGGGCACTGTCGTATGTTTACCCCCAAATACCGAACACTGAAATGGAGGACAAAGGAAACTTCGCGTAACATAATCTAACACTAGTACAGCCTAATCACATGGGGTGCTTCCTCCATCCAGTTCGGATTCTTTATGCAAACCGGTGCCGAGGTCGCCTGGGCAGCTGGTGGTAGCTTCCTGAGCGATCCGGCGGCAATGAAAATTCTCCTTAGCGGTATCTCAACTGTATCCGCTGCAGCCACCATGCTCGGACTAATGTCGTGGTTGCTTCATTCGCATTTGTACAACATCACTGGTCTTGGCTTGCAGGCAATCCGAGACCTGGCAGTGGGGGGATACAAATCGCGTTATACGTTGATTTCCGCCCCTAGCAAATCGTGCATGGCCTCGATAGACATCCGATCCTTCCGTCGCATTATTCCCGCAGTCGCCATCTGCGTGTCGCTCATTTTCTTGGAACTAACTAGGCCCGCTATACCGTACGACCATTTATCTGGAGCTCTGCCGCTGACATTGCTCGACGCTTTCCAAAAAAAGACAGCGACGGTGGAGGGATGTCGCGAGCCCGCCATGCCATTCCCTTTATTCACGGGAGATGATGGCGTCTCCGGTCCTCAGTTCCAACCGGATTCGACATTTGTGGAACAATGGTCACGAGCCACATGGCTCCCCGAAAACCCACCCCCAGGATTTAGCCGCTGGGATCTCAGCCCGAGTGATCGTGCAGAGAAGGACAATCAATATTCTTTTGTGTGTGCCGGTGATGAGGGCGCATTTTACAATCCGAAAAGTGACCCGCTCATGGTTACAAACCTGGATGGTGAAATTTATGAGCCCCTACAAAAGGCTTTCAAGGAGCACTCCGTTGAGGTCAACCATGTAGTGCTATTAACCCTCGAAAGTGGCCGCAAGGAACTTTTCCCCACCCAGCAGGGCACCCCTTTGTTCGATGGCCTTCTCGCGTCTCATAAGAAGCAGAACATCAATGAGGCAATCGATCGTCTAGTCAACATGACCCCGGTCGCTCAACAGTTGACCGGCGAGTACGCAACCGATAGTAAGGGGAAGAAGCTCGACTTGAGCTATTCTCCATGGCATACCCCACCCCAAGAAGGTATGGGTGGGCTTAATGTCCGTGGTGCCGTAACGGGTAGTTCCTTGACATTCAAGAGTGTTTTGGGAAGTCACTGTGGTGTGAATCCTTTGCCAGTGGATCTTCTGGAGGAGTCTATGCTTGAAATTTATCAGCCCTGCTTGCCACAAATTTTCGATCTGCTCAATCAAGGGAAGTCGCAGTCGGGGAAGCACCTCCAGAACTCTTCTTCTGAGGACAAATCCGCGGCTCTGAAGAACCCCTGGAAGTCTGTATTCATGCAGTCAATTACCGATGACTACGACCGTCAGGACTTGCTGAACAAGAACATGGGCTTTAAGCACAAGGTTGTTAAGAGTACTATGCAGTCCCCCCACGCGGAACACAGAGCTCAGGGCGAAGAGATCAACTACTTCGGATTTGCGGAGACTGAGCTCCGACCCTACGTGATGGACCTCTTCGAGGAGGCTGCAAACAACAAGACCCGGATGTTCCTTTCGCATGTCACCAGCACAACCCACCACCCTTGGAGCACGCCAGACGACTTTGAGAAAGAATCATACATGAGCGACCAGGGAAACATCAACCACGACCTGATGAACAACTACCTGAATTCCGCCCGGTTCGTCGATATCTGGCTCGGCGACATCATGAACATGCTCGACCAGACCGGCATTGCCAACGAGACTCTAGTCGTCGTCGTTGGAGACCATGGCCAAGCCTTCGGCGAAGATAACAAGGACATGACCGGCACATATGAGAATGGCCACATTAGCAACTTCCGCGTACCCTTGGTTTTCCACCACCCGCACATGCCTCGGGTGGACATCACCGCCAATGCCACCGCCCTCTCTATTGTCCCCACCATCCTGGATCTCCTCGTCCAGTCCAACTCCCTGGACGAGCGCGACTCCGAGATCGCAAATTCCCTCCTCCCTGAATACCAAGGCCAGTCTCTCATACGTCCTTTCCTCTCTTCCGCGGATGAACCACCCCACCGCCGTGACCACCACAACCTTCCCCCACCAGATGAGCAGCCAGAGCACGAGCGAGAAGCCACTCAGCTCGAAGCTCGGTCCCACTCAGAGAGCCCAGCCAAACGCATCGTTTGGAACATGGGACTAATCAACGCCGGTGGCTCGATGCTCTCCGTCATGGCAGCCGATGTCCCATACCGTCTCATCCTTCCCCTGAAGGAAGGTTTCGAGTATACATTCACCCACCTAGGCGAAGACCCCGGTGAAGCCCATCCCACCAAGGCGTGGACTCTTGAAACCCTCATCAAAGAGGTTAAGCCTAAATTTGGCCAAAATTCCGCTGATTGGCTCAATGATGCTGAGCTAGTTGGAAAGTGGTGGGTGGGTGAACAAAAACGCATTTGGGGTTACCGTGAAGCCTAGTCATATGCTAGCTCCGCGGCATCATCAAAAAAACAAGTCAAAAGTCAGATAAACCGGACCTTGGTGATTGTTCTGGTTTACTTCGCATTGCATTTCTTCCCTTTTTCTTCTGGCCCTGGGCCCGTTTTACATCTCATGATATCTCCCACAATTGTTTTGGAGCTGGCGTTACAACGGAGTTGTTTCTAATCACGTATTTATGCGTGAATGCTTGAGCTCCCTCATTTCCTTGAAGATATTTCCCCCATTGTGGCTGGACAGCCCTTTTCTTTTCATATCTCATGTGTATCTATATGGCATTGGATGGCACTGTTTTTGCTTTTTTCCTTTCTGTCCCTTGATATTAGTCAACCCTGGATTTCGGCAACTGTACTTGTATAGAAACTGGAAGCGAACAAAACATTGTACATAGCACCGAAGGATCCCTCGGTAGTTTGGGGTGGCATCTTGTCCAAGCGGCAATATCGTGCATGGGGGCCAGGTATTTTTACCTCATATATATAATCTAATCCATTATTTGACTTCATTCAGTCTCCCTAGAACATTCTTGTTGTGTTCTAGCCTTAGGAATATAAGACCAGACCGGTTATTACTGACGGTTTGACGTTCTGATTTGCTTTCCCTGCTTGATTAGGATCATCGCGATCTACCTTGAACGACTGCAGATCCTTATCATGAACCTAGGCTTAACCTACATATGTACCGGATAATGCCTGGCACTCGAGACCTTTCCCTTTCCGTTTTAGTGCTCACCTCTTGCCGCTTTTCGATCACTGGGTAAAACTGAGCACGTCCCTGAGTATTCTGACTTGATGAAAAAAGGGACCCTTGGCGGGTGGAGGGTCTGGACCTTAGACCCTCCGGCCAGGTCAAACGGGTGGTATCCGTGTGGTGCTTTGAACTGTTCCTCTGCCGAACCCCGCTACTGAACCGCGATCACCTGGTGCTCAAGGCGTACCTCCTCCCCTCTACCGCCCTCGACACATGTGGTCGACAGCTACCAAGGATGTTTGGGTGAGAACCGGTTATCTACACCGAGAGTCATGGCATATAGCCAACAACAAGGACGAAGCATTGTTTAAAAGAAAGAAGAAGACATCGCAATACTGGAAATCAAGTCCAACTGTGCACAGATCACATTGCCATACTAGCTCTCTTGAGCGCTGTAATAATAGCATCTATCAACGCGTGAAAAATGATCACTTCACTCCAGTCCGACTATCTTAAGGGAATCCTTCCAGAGACGATCCTCCTCCTCAGGGTTATATGTTTGCTTCACCCATCCGGCGCCGAAGGTTTGGCCATCGTCCTCACCACGGTCCGCTTCCTTGCAGTCCTCGAGATACTTGCCACCCTTTGCCTCCCACTCCTTACCCACAGCCGCCCACACCGTCGTAGCCGCTCCCTGCTGGGAAGACTTTAAGATCTTTAGAATGTAGGGGTTGGTCATAATAGCCTCTAAGAAGTCCGGAGGCATATTACGGGATATAGCAGTGTTGATCGCGCCGGGGTGGAGACTGGTAGCATGTAGTCCCTAGGAACCATATAACCGCTCAATGGTGTTGGCCAAATATACCGCAGCAAGCTTAGCGTTATTATACGCAGTTTCGTGGTTATATTCGCTCTTTTCGAAGTTGTAGTTGTCGCTACTAAGGAGAGTCCCAGCTCGGTAGGCAGATGAAGCCACGACCACAACTCGCGAATTGAGCTCGGGAGTCACACTAGCTAGCAAAGCTTCCTTTTGAAGCTGGAAGAGGAGAAAGAACCCTATATAGTTACCAGAGAATTGCGCCTCAATGCTATCTTCGGTGAGCGCACGGTTCTGGATGCCCATAACACCCGCGCCGTTGATAAGAATGTTGACCTGGCCCTTAGACGCGGCGAGGATTTCTTTAGCCCCAGCACGAATACTCGCAAATGAGTCTAGATCTAAGTCGATCAGCGAGACTCGGCCGGGTTCTAGGATCCCGGCGAGGTTCTTCTCGGCCTTAGATCGGTTGCGGGCTGTGAGGAATAGAGTAGCCCCGGTGGTCTTCAAGGCACGAGCTGTCTCGAGACCAATGCCTGATGTGGCTCCAGTGATGACAATAACCTTGCCGGCCAGCTTTCCTTCGGCACCCTCATCTTTGATGATTTGAAGGGCGGTTGGTCGTGCATCTCCGGCGCCTTGAGGGTCGAGATGCGCGGCGTGTCGAGGTTTGATTGTGAATCTGGTCCATCGGCCGCTAAGTCACTAGAGATCCAAAGAGAGACTGACCTAAGTCCAGCGTTTGACGCCATATTTGACCATCAGATGTTTGGTTAATGGGGTCGAAACATTCACCATATGACTTCGGTAGTCTTCTTCGCTCATGCCTGGTTTGCGATAACCACATATTGTCAGGCAGAGGTACTTGTTCTCATGGGAGCCAGAGAGCTCAGGAATTTCAGGCTCATCGATTGATACCATTGTTGCGAGACGTCAAATTGGTGAATCCAGAAGAGGTTTAGGCTAGTGTGGGATTCCTCGTTGAATAAGTCTAAAGAAATGAGGCTGGGGAACCACCGGGCCACTCGGGGCAGGCCCGAAAAGTGCACGGCAGGACAAAAGATTCCTCGTTGAATAAGTCTAAAGAAATGAGGCTGGGGAACCACCGGGCCACTCGGGGCAGGCCCGAAAAGTGCACGGCAGGACAAAGAATCGGCCAGACCAGATTCTGACAAAGAGAAAGAAAAATGCACAGACCACATACTCACATTCACAATATCTACCTTTTCCTCTTTTTTTTTTTGCTGTGGTTCCTACCGGGAATTCATAGTGTGGGGGTTTCGTCAGCAAGATCCCTGGGTTCGGGTATAAATAAGCCATTGGAGACGTGGCCGAGCCTTGGGAGTATGCAGAGTGTACACCGGTACGATAGAATCCAAGGCTTAAGAGAATTTCGGTATAGAAATGAAATATCACGAGAGCAGAAGAAAAAAAGTGGAAACCTCGGAATCTCCCCATTGAGTAAGGAGCTTGGGAATGGAAGATTCTGATGGTCACAAGGTGTGTCCTTGACTTATTTATGAGTATTATACTTCGTATTGGTGCAGGGTTATAGTCAGATAAGCTATATGGCCTTAGTCCTATCTGAGCATTGGAGGTCTGGACTCTTTTGGATTTCAATGAAGTCAAGTCCTAATTTTAGTTTCTGTACTTTCCCCGGATTATCCAGATTGAGCCATTCGAGTTGAACCATGGAACAACACACTGTACTCGTATTTTGATTTTCACTTGACTACCTAGGTATATCCTAAAATCATATCTGACGCATTCAATTTTAGCTCCTGGATTTTAGAAGAAAAAAAAATTTATTCGGACCTTAGTACAGGAATTGACCAATGAATTCATCTTCGCCCGGGCCGCCACCTTGAAGCCGGGGCGATCGGACAGGAACAGATATCACAAGTCATATGTACTAACCTGATTGGTAGGGATTCAGTCATGGATCTGCAAAGAGCCACCTGACCCCAGATAGTAGTACTTTGAGGCTTGGAAGATCTCTAGAAGACCTGGCTCGAGGCTTGGTAGTCCGTGTACGATGTACGTGTAGTTCTTTCAAAGGGGTTGGAGGTCACCTGGATGAATTTCTCTTTTTTTTAAGCAATGAATAAATTTAATGTTGAGGGTCAAGAATTAGAGTGGCGTTGGGGTTCCCCGGGTTCCCAGTCTCCAGACGGCTTTCCCAAACAAGACATCCGATCCGGCCATCCCTTAACTTCCGAACGGCCACACTATCGTCGAACTATCGTGGATTTCATCATGTCTGGTGACTGGTACTGCCCCTAGATGAATTATCCCTGATTTAGTCGATATTGTTCTTATAAAGTACGTATGAGGCAAATCAGAACAAGGATTCTAACAAGATATGATAACACAAGAGTGTCAAATTCCTTTACTTGAAAGACCAATTGATATAATACCAAGTACTATACTACGTATAAGATTATTCTATGTTTTCAATCTATTTGCAGGGTTGCGTATGCCTTGCCACAGCCGTTTAGCCTGCATTCCAGGAGGTCTGGAATTAATCCGCTCTGCAGTACCCTTGGTCCAAGTCTGGATTTCCTTTTTGGGCTGTCATTTAGTTTCTTTCTGCTCACGAGGCACCTCTGGGGCGCTTTGGTCTTGGTTCGGCCTTATTTAAAGAGAGTTCATTCTCTGGCCCATGGTTCCTCAACTGAATCGTCTTCATTCTTCTTTTTCACATACAAACAATCAGTCTAATACTCTTTGACGACTATATTGATATCATCATTACCCCTGCTTAATATCTAGTATATCACATTGCAATGTCTGTCTCCATCGAAACCACTACAGTTCCTGCTGCTCCTATGACTGCTCAGCCCGTCTTGATGGGCCACAAGTCCAGAATGCCAGAGTTCAGTCTCACTGGAAAGGTGGTGCTGGTCTCAGGTGCTGCACGGGGTCTGGGATTGGTCCAAGCAGAGGCACTCCTGGAAGCCGGAGCGAAGGTATACGCACTCGACCGTTTGGAGGAGCCGGTAAGTTTCTACATTCCTCGGATCTAGTCCATACAATCACAAGATCCCTCCTCTATATCAGCACTAGGCTAACAATCACTCGGTCACCAGGCCCCCGAGTTCGAGCTGATCCAGCAACACGCAAAGGAGCTTGGCACAGTGTTGCACTACCGTCGTATTGATGTGCGTGACACAGAACTTCTCAACAGTGTCATCGAGACCATCGCCAATGAAGAGGGCCGTATGGATGGCCTCGTTGCCGCAGCAGGTATCCAGCAGGAGACCCCAGCGCTCGAGTACTCAGCCAAAGATAGCAACACTATGTTCGAGATTAACGTCACGGGAGTGTTTATGACCTCCCAGGCTGTGGCTAAACAAATGATTCGCTTTGGGAATGGAGGTAGTATCGCTATGATTGCCTCTATGAGCGGTACCGTTGCCAATCGCGTACGTTCCCACTCCCCTCTTTTCGTCCTACCCTTACTATTTCCACCCCGTTCTGCCTTTATATTTTCGGTATAGGCCTAGTGTCTCCCTGCCCGGACTTTCTTTATTTCTGTTTGTGGATTATTTCCCCGCTTTTATGTCACATCCCGTTCTTCTAGTTGGCCTACGGAGTACAAGGATCTAACATTATTTTCTTACAGGGTCTTATTTGCCCCGCATATAACGCTAGCAAGGCTGCTGTCCTCCAGCTTGCCCGCAACCTCGCTTCCGAATGGGGCACCTACAACATCCGCGTTAACACCATTTCCCCTGGTTACATTGTTACCTCTATGGTTGAGAAGCTCTTCATCGAGTTTCCTGAACGTCGCGATCAGTGGCCGAAAGAGAACATGCTTGGCCGTCTCTCCCGACCGGAAGAATACCGTGGCGCTGCTGTCTTCTTGCTTAGCGATGCTAGCAGCTTCATGACTGGAAGCGACCTGCGCATGGACGGTGGCCACGCCGCGTGGTAGATTGATTATGGCTTTGTTTCGATTTTGCCAGTTTCAATCACTGCGTGTGACCATCTTTCTTTTGGTCTCTCATTGCATGGCGTTCTGCGTCGTCTTCTTTTGGGTTATTGGGCGGGAATAGCGCAGCGTGGGCTTTGATATTTGGGGGAATTTGAATTTGATCGTTGTCTTTTTCTAGATAGCGATAATTGGCCTAGCAGATTTTGTGTGCTATCATGACGTTAGACTACAAGTCGATCGCTCGAATACTAATTGTTATAAATTGTTATAAATTGATACAATTTTCATCTCTATTCTAGAGTTTAGCTGCATGTAAATCTTGCCCCACTATAAGATAGATCGACATTCGAATCTCATTGTTGTACAATAATATATATTAACTGTCATGCGTAGCCTTGCCCAGATGTATATATTTCATGTTTAAGCGTCGTCTCCCAATCGGCACCAAGAACCCGAATCTCAACACTTCCCCCTCACCGACAAAATAACCGCGTACATCCATCCAGTCGGAATGTACCACATAGCCACACCAGAGCACCTGATCTCCCAACAAGGCTGATCAACAAACTTAAGGTTCAATCCCAAGATCAAAGGTTGGGGATACACTTGAAAAAGAATGTCGTTGCTAAATCTAGTAGCCCGCAGATCACAGAGTATCGCGTGATAAGTACGTGGCCATCGTAATCGTCATCAACATAGTCTCAAACAACTCAGATCTCAATGTAATATTCATCTCAGCCGCTAATAACCATGGAAACCCATTCGCGGCTGACATCAAGTCTGGGGAAGATGCGGAGAACCGGGACCAATCGGAGTTTGGTCGAGCCGAATATTAACTGTTTGAGGTGAATGCAGGTGGGTATATTTGCTTACTGGTTGGATGCCTTAATTACCTGTTGGGCACTACACTCCGGCCTTATCCTCGTGTATTTGTAACAAGCAGTCACTTGAGCTGGCACGTGTTGGTCTTCTGGAAGCATGCATGAAATACGGACAGTTTCGGAGTTGATCCCTGATTCTTTTCTAATGACAGTTTAGCCCAGATAGGTAAGTAGTCTCAAAGGTGATTGCTGGGCCAAGTTCCCGAAAGGCAGAAGAAATGGTTTTTATATTGAAATATTATGTATAATTGGGCCGTTGGATCCGTCACGACTACACTCTAGACCAAGGCAAATGAGCACACTCTAGAGGAATTGCCACCATGGCTTGGCATTCTAGTTTTGTCCTTTGTTTCCTATCCTTCAATATAAGATATCTCATTGGTTGGTTGGCATGACATGCATTGCCCTCTACCATCCCTGGAAGGAACTTAAGTCATGGTGCTTTGCACTGGAGAGAATCTTCTGATGAGTTCACTGTGCTTTTTAGTAATATAGACCTTCCAAGGCCGTTAGTAAACCTCAGATAATACACCTCTTTGATATAATATGCTACGTTCAGAAGTTCGCCTTACAATCTTTGACCTTAGGTTTCCTTTCTCGATGTTGCTTCAAAGGCAGTCACCCATGAACATGGACCTAGTATTATCAAACAGTATTAGAGAAGGATAATTTGAAGTAAATGGTATTACTCTATACCAAACTGCCAGGATACATAATGGGATATCGATATCTTAGGCCATGTCAAAAGCATATTCCAAAGCATGTACCCACCTTTTAACAACTGAACTAAGATGCTTGACAAAGGCTACCCATTTCCTACTGAACTTTCTACTTATCTGAAGTTACTTACATTTCAATCCTGCTGGGCCACAAGTGATGCTCCTTGTTTCTTCTTAATTGCCCAATAGAGATTTGTATGATTAATTCGATATCTGGGCCCAGAATGGTTCGTACTTCCTGATTGCGATATCGGAGATCTTTGCCGTCATCACCTCAATGGAGTATGCCTACTCCAAGGCGCCTCGCAATATGCGTTCTCTCATTCAAGCGATCAATATGTTCACCAAAGCCATCTCCGCTGCCATCGCCGAGGCTTTGATAACACTTTCCAGGGACCCTCTGTTAATATGGAACTACGCCGTCTTCGCTATCTTGACCTTTGTCGGTGGAACCTTGTTCGCTATCCAGTTCTGGGGTCTGGATAAGGAGGAGGACGAGTTGAACAACTTGCCCGAAGGTCATGTGCAGGTTAGTGAGACCACGGAGGGACAGGCAGAGTTTGAACATGTCGAGATTGGCCCTAGTCGTGGCTGAGATTGTGGGTGCTACAGAAAGTTTACCTTGATTTAGCTTGGGTCCGTTTGAAATGGTGTGTTCTTTTTCCTCCAAAAAGGTCAAGTCCAACACTTTCCTCACCTTTCAATGAATTCAACTGATTCTCTTCACTTTGCTACAGACTGAGCCCTATTTGTTCGTTATTTGCTACAATCGAGCAGAGTTGCAATACGAGTGATATATACGAACCAATCACAATCTCTTTCTGACTTCTCTTTTATACCAGATCCACCTCAGGCCCTAAGTCCTCCCCGTTTTACATGAGCCACATCCAACTGTGGAGTGATTGGAAATAGGTCCAATTTTAGGCATTCCAATGTCTCTAAGCCCTATGGGTACTACGGGGTACTATGGGTACTACGGAGTACTTGGAACTCCAATAACGACGGTTGAAATGTGGATGCCTACTTTGCCCACAGTGATCGTATTCGTATCACATGATAACCTCAGAATCAGCCCCTGTCCAGCCCATGTTATTGACGGTGTACGGAGTACTACTCCGGACTGTATTTTGACCTGAACGAATGAAAAATGAGTATTCCTTCTTTTTATATTTTATATTTAATATATTGTAACTCAAGGCGGAGTTTTTCAGCATCTTTGACATCACTTCACTCCACTCAGTAACGATGATTCGCAAACCCTACGAACATACCAAAAGAACTACCAGCATAACTACCTTGGGACATTGAGGAGGGGGAGGTGGCTTGGCTAAGCTTCCGGCGTGCCCGGTTCATAAGGGTTCCTTCCCCCTCAGTACATAAGTATCTTCCCCCTAGAACATGTAAATCTATTCCTTTTTCGTCTCTGCAAGTCTCTGCAATTAACCGTCGGTCACAATTGTGAAGCCGTCATGAAGACTCCTACACTGATCTGGATTGCTCTGGCTTTGCCCGGTAAGTGCTTTTCCTTTATGTTCGTTCTTGGCTTAATTGGACCTCTACACGCGTCTACAAAAAATAATATTTTCACCGCCCTAATCACCATCTTCTCACAGGTGCAATTGCTGTTCCCAGCGAGCTCAATTCCGATGATGTCGCATTCGCAGGTGTGCAACGAGCACTCCCCAATGCGCCCGACGGGTACACCCCGACATCTGTCAGCTGTCCAGCGAGCCGACCGACAGTTCGCAGCGCAGCGCAGCTGTCCCCAAACGAGACATCATGGCTAGAAATCCGCCGAGACAAGACGCTATCGGCAATGAAGGATTTCTTCGGGCATGTGAAAGTCGGCGATTATGACGTGGTTGACTACCTCGACAAACATTCTGGGAACTCGTCAAGTCTGCCCAATATCGGTATTGCCGTTTCGGGCGGTGGATGGCGTGCATTGATGAACGGTGCCGGTGCCGTCAAGGCTTTCGATAGCCGGACATACAATGCGTCGACGACTGGGCACTTGGGTGGTCTGCTGCAGTCTGCTACCTATATCTCTGGTCTGAGTGGAGGCAGTTGGTTGCTGGGTTCAATCTATGTCAATAACTTCACTACTATCGACAAGCTGCAGACGCACACGGATGGTTCTGTCTGGCAGTTCGGGAACTCGATCATCGAGGGCCCTGATACTGGTGGTATCCAGCTTTTGGATTCTGCTGGCTATTACAAGGACCTTGCTGAAGCTGTCGAGGGGAAGGAGAAAGCTGGCTTTGATACTACTCTCACTGATATGTGGTATGTTATCCCTGTTTATAGGGATGCATGTATGTTTGCTAACTTGGGTACAGGGGCCGCGCACTCTCCTATCAAATGTTCAATGCTAGCAGTGGTGGACTCAACTATACCTGGTCTTCCATTGCCGACACCCGTGAATTCCAGGATGGAAATTACCCCATGCCGTTTGTTGTTGCAGATGGCCGTAACCCCGGTGAGCGGCTCGTTGGCAGCAACTCGACTGTCTATGAGTTCAACCCGTGGGAGTTCGGCACTTTTGACCCTACTATCTTTGGTTTCGTTCCGCTCAAGTACCTGGGCTCTAAGTTCGAAAGTGGTTCGCTTCCGAGCAACGAGAGCTGCATCAGTGGTTTCGACAGTGCTGGCTTTGTGATCGGAACCTCGTCCACACTCTTCAACCAGTTCCTTCTCCGAATCAATACCACTTCGCTCCCCACCTTCGTGAAGGACGTTTTCACCGACATCTTGAAAAAGTTTGACAAAGATCAGAAAGACATCGCTGCGTACGATCCCAACCCCTTCTACAAATACAACGAGCACTCGTCGCCTTACGCCTCGCAGAAATTACTGGACGTCGTCGATGGCGGCGAGGATGGACAGAATGTCCCTCTGCACCCTCTTATCCAGACCGAGCGCCATGTCGATGTCATCTTCGCTGTCGACTCCTCAGCCGACACTGACTATTTCTGGCCAAACGGCAGCTCCCTGGTTGCGACCTACGAGCGCAGCCTGAACAGCAGCGGTATCGCCAACGGCACTGCCTTCCCTGCGGTTCCAGACCAGAACACCTTCATCAACCTGGGTCTCAGCACCCGCCCTTCGTTCTTTGGCTGTGATAGTTCTAACCAGACTGGACCTTCGCCTATCATCGTGTACATCCCCAATGCTCCTTACTCCTACCACTCCAACGTCTCAACCTTCCAACTCAGCACCGACGACACTGAGCGTGACAATATCATTCTCAATGGCTACGAGGTTGCTACCATGGGTAACAGCACCGTCGACGGCAACTGGACATCCTGTGTTGGCTGTGCTATCCTCAGTCGCTCGTTCGAGCGCACGGGTACCACTCTCCCGGATATCTGCAACCAGTGTTTCGACCGGTACTGCTGGAACGGCACTGTGAACTCCACCAGGCCGTCCTCCTATGATCCAACTTATTACTTGTCTAAGTCTGAGAGTATGGCCTCGATAAGTTTGCCCACCATGCTATCCATGGCTGTCGCAGCCAGTCTGGCCATGCTCGTCCTGGTATAACCAGACATCATGAGTTATTTTTTTTTTCTTCTCGCTGCCATGTTGCAGCTACTCGCATTCCGAACGCGGGTTTTCACCATTTGATTCTTTCTTCAAGCATGGGTGATGTGCCATCGAGCCATCCTCGTGTCATTTACGTTTTCCTAGTATTTGCCTAGTTTTCTTTGGATTCCATGGGATCCAATTCAATAGTAATGCATACGTATGTCCGTATCAGAATATTGCACTTCAGTGCAGCATTATCCCTTCCATTTCTCAATTCGATCGCTCGCAGATAAATCGTTGGAAGTATATGTCCCTCAAATCATGATGGCCTGCTCCTCTTTCGCTCAAATTTGTGCTAGAGTATAAGATAAGAAGGCCGAAGTATTCATTACTGGCTCATTGATTAATTCTGCATCATTCTACCTGCACGTTGGTACATAGTTACGACTCCCTAGACTTGCTAGTATGAAGGTAATACGTAAATACTTTCCGCTGAATTTCTTAAATCGCCGCTCACCAAGTGGCAAGCTATGAAGTATAGGGTATTCCAGAGTAGTATATCGCCAAGGGAAGATTTAGATGGGGTTAGAAGTCATTTAAAGCTTTAGATAGAATGTCGGTATCTGGTAGAAATATATACCCGATGACATACAGATTATGGTGGAAGTTCGAACTCTTGATTAGTTTATAGTACCATTCGGAACATAATTTCACACAGTGCTATTATGTTTTGATTTTCACTTGTCCTTGAATTCATCCGATGTAACATCCTGATGTCCTTGACGTGTTTTGTTTGAATGTATATGTCACGTGCCAATGTTGCTATGGGAACACCACAACAAGCAACCTCGGATCAGCCACCACCTCCACAGTGGGTTATTTGCTTTGCCTTGCTTCCTCGTTCATGCACCTAATTCGACAACTCTCGGTAACCTGCGACCCTACGACATCGACCTTACGACATCGGGCCGATACCACATTTTACCGCCAAAACCCGCCATGACCGTCGCGTGCCAATACTAACTGCGACCATCAACGACAACACGATATCAATATGGCGCGCGCTGCAGTAATCCCACAATCCCCTGCGAAACGGGTGGCACGAACCTCGACTAAGTCCACAGCCGCTGCCGATGCAAAGAAGAAAGCCCCTCGAAGAGCAGCACCGGCACCACGGACTGCGACCCCGGCTCTCGATGCTGAGTCTGATGATGAGCTTGGGTTTATCACAAGCAAACCCACGAAACCCACCGCACGTCCTCCTGGTCGCCCAACCGTCAAACCAAAAGTGACTCCAACTGTGACTGCGCGAGGAAGGAAGGCTTCCGAGTCTCTTGCCGACAAGCCAAAACCCCAAAATAACGCCGCCGAAAATCAGCTAAGGCAACAAACTGAGGCACCAAAGAAGCGTGTCGGAAGACCGAGAAAAAGCCCCTTGCCCACAGAAGCTGCTGAAACCAAGCCCGAGGCTGCACCGAAAACCAGGGGACGACCAAGGTCGGCAACAGCAGCGAAGGCCCCTCCGGCCCAAACGGTAGCTACGAGCAGGCGGACACGTGCGGCAATTGACACAGCGAATGATACCAAATCGAACCAAATTAAGATAGCGACAAACTCGACAACTATGCGCTCGAACCTTTTACGTGGACCTGCCAAAAAGAAGACAGTGAAATTCCAGGATGTCTCAGATTCCGAAGCTGAGGAGCCCGAGGTTCCAGCTGCCGGCCGTCGACGAGTAGCGACCAAGGGCACGGACGATGGCAAGGCTGGCCTCAGAGCGACCCCAGTCCGCAAGCCCGTGACAACCGGCACTCGCGGAAGGAAGCCAGCTGCAGCCAAGAAAGAAACGACCAAACCATTATCTCCCAAGAAGGCCAAGCAGGTGGCCAGATCTCTATCAGCATATGCAAGCTCCGACGGAGAAGATGATGAATTGAACACCATCAAGGACGACACCAAGGATCCGGTCAGACTTGTTGTACATTCGCCAGTCAAGCATAGCTTGGAGACCACTGGACTGAGCTCTCCTGTACGAAGGATCAACTTTACCCCCAAGAAGGCGTCCAGCTTCATGGACGAGAATGGCGAACCGAAACTACCAACCCCCAAACACGGATCAGACGGCGTCGGACTTAGCTCCCCAGTCAGGAAAATCAACTTTACGCCGAACCGAAGCCAGAACACAGTCGCAGATAATGGTCACCTCGCTCTTCCACCTGGCAATTCAGTCATTTTTAGTGATTCTATGATCATGTCTAGCCCCGCGAGACGACCAGCACCATCATCTCCCTTCCAATTTTCCATGAGAGAGACCCCGAATCGTGGAGGCTCCCTCTTCGGTGGTAGTGTGAATCCGATTTCGGCGCCTGATTTCACACCGGGACGCACTTCTCCATTGAAGATGTCACCCAAGAAGGGTTATTTGGGTGCTTCTTTCTCGCAATCACCATCCAAGGATTCTGCATCAGCAGCACCTGCTCGAACACCCTTGTTCCAAAGCCCCGCAAAGAGAATAGCTTCTCCATTCAAAAACTCGATCTTCTCTGCTCATGCATCTGTGGCCCCCTCTAACCCCATCGACAATGATGGAACCCCTTCTAAGACAGTCGAATTTTCACAGTCCACCACCCCAGGATCCTCGCCAAGGGATGGCCTGCCTGACCAGGCGGCATTTGAAAAAGACACTGAAATGGTCGAGGATGTGGCTCGAGACATTTTTGGCATTGAGTTATCTTCTGATGGAAAGGCATCATCGGTTTCTCCTATCCAGGAGGGTATTGCCACCCCGGAAGTTGCCCGAGACCCATTCAATGATGAAAACACCGACTCTCTATCCGCGGAGGTGGAGGTGGAGGGAGATTCAGACTTGGAAGAGGATGAAAGTGAATATCCTCAAGATCAACTCCAGTCCGAGTACGAAGAGCCTGAAACGATCTGCTTCGATGCTATGGAAGAGGCCAACATGGCAGCGGAGAACCTTTATGATGAGGAGCCCGAGGAAGACTCAGCCCCCGGAGCCAGCGAACAAGTTGAAGACCAGGTTCAATTCGACCGCGAAGAAGCCGATACGATTTGCTTTGACGCCATGGAAGATGCCCAATTGACAGCCCATGATCTACATAACCAACAAGTTCAGGAAGCGTCAGACCTAGAAGAAAGTGAATTTGAGTACGAGGAACTGGACACAGTTTGCTTCGACACTATGGAAGACGCTCAATTTGCAGCGGATGATCTTCATGATCAACAAGTCCAGGAAGTCCCAGAGCTAGAAGAGGATGAAGATCTCCATGACGAGAGCGAGTTTGAATACGAAGAAGCCGATACGGTTTGCTTCGACGCTATGGAAGATGCCCAATTGGCACCTCATGATCTACATGACCAACAAGTTCAGGAAGCGTCAGGCCTAGAAGAAAGTGAATTTGAGTACGAGGAACTGGACACAGTTTGCTTCGACACTATGGAAGACGCTCAATTCGGAGCGGATGATCTTCATGATCAACAAGTCCAGCAAGTCTCAGAGCTAGAAGAGGACGAAGATCTCCATGACGAGAGCGAGTTTGAATACGAAGAAGCCGATACGGTTTGCTTCGACACTATGGAAGATGCACAACGCGCAGAGAATGACCTGTATGACGAACAAGGTCAGGCGGCAGGCTCAGACATGGAGGACACCGATTCTCCCGAAGATGAGCTGGCGGTACTGGAGCGGGAGATCGAGGAAGAGTCCCAAGATGTACAAGAGGCCACTCAACAAGCCGAGGAAGAGGGACAAGTTATGAGCGAGCAGAGCGACATGGAAGACACAGAGTCTATCCTGGAGTTTGCAACAATGTCGCCGAAGCCTGCTTCGCTATATGAGAACAACCATGCCGAGGATATTGCAACCCCGGTCCAAAGGACGCAATCCATTGCTTTACCACAATCAAGTCCCACGGGCGGTGAATCTACTCCATTGGCCTTGAATTGCCCAGCCAACTCAGAGAATGATCTTGACTCCACCCTCGATGCCAAGAATGCCAATAATGTCATCATTGACGCGCCCCTGCATGAAGAAAATAGTTGGACGCCAAACACCCAGGTTGATAGCCCTGCGTCAATGGCACCCAGTCTCTTTAACACACCAAGCGTTATTGACCAGTATCAATCCCCTGCTGAGGGTAGCTTAGGTTTGACGCCATTGGCACAAAAGTTTGGCCGTTGGGAACAAAATACCCCTTCCCAAGCTAGATCACTCCGACCGCGTCGCCGTGGAGTTTTCTCGTTAGTAGGCCCCTTGGACCGTACCAACACGGAAACTCCGACAAAGCCTGAGAGTGTGTCATATCCCAATTTGCCAAAGAGTCCTTTGGCAAATACTCCCTCTTTGTTTGCTCAATTGCCCCTTCAGCCTCAAAGTGCTTGCATAAGCCCTGGGTATGAACAGAATCCACGGCCATCTTCCATCTATGAAGATCACCAAATAATTGAATCGCCAAAGAAAAGCACGGATATCTTCGAGGATCCTGACTCAGAAACTATTGAACTAGAGCACAGTTCTACCGCCGAAGTCCCGCAAGACCAGGGCCAAGAGTCCCATCTACTCGATGACAAAGAGAACTGCGGTCCAATTCTTCCATCAACCCCAATGAAGGCCCAATTCCAACCTGACGATTTACACACCATTCACACGGTGTCAAAGGTGCCTTTGAAAGCCGAAGGCGACGTGTCACCTCTCAAGCTGTCCCGTAAGAGAGGTCTGTCCCTCTCGAGCACATCTCCCACTCGATCTTCTCCGCGTGTTCGCAAGCCAACCTTTATGGCTCTCAATGACACTGCACCGATTCTGTCTCCGTCTCGGAAATCTCCACGGGTGAGTAGAAGTCCAACACCAAAACGCCGTTCTATCACGGGTAGACGCAGCAGTGTCAAAGCACCAATGATGGCTGCGCCCGGTACTCCCGTCGCAACCGCCAGTCCTGCCAAGAAGGCACGTCGTAGCATCAGCACTGAGCAGAAGGCTCTGCATGGGGCAGTTGTGCATGTGGATGTTCATACCACCGAGGGTGAGGATGCCTCTGGTATATTCGTGGAACTTTTGCAGCAAATGGGCGCCCGATGTGTGAAGTCCTGGTCTTGGAATCCTCATTCCAGTCTCTCGCCGGTTGATGGTGCAGAGCCCAAGGACCTGAGAGTTGGCATCACCCATGTTGTGTACAAGGATGGTGGCCTGCGGACTATGGAGAAAGTCAAGAAGGCAGCAGGTCTTGTCAAGTGTGTTGGAGTCGGTTGGGTCCTTGAGTAAGTTTATCTCCTGTGCATCTTTACGTGACTTTTCTGACTGTTATATCTAGTTGTGAACGGGAAAACCAATGGCTCGATGAAACTCCGTATGCGGTTGACAGCTCTATCATTCCCCGCGGAGGCGCCAAGCGCCGCAAGAGTATGGAGCCTCGTGCACTGAGCAATGTCAACGGAACGCTCGTTCGCATTTCTGAATCCCCCGCGCCATCTGCTGGCGGACGTCGCAGTGGTGTCAATGCAGGTGCCGTTGAGGGTTTCCGCAAGATCACACCTCCGACCCACCAGCCGATGCCGTCTACGCCCCCACAGCAATCTTCTGCTGATAGCTACCAATTCCCTGCTACCCCAGGATACAACTTTGCCAACCTTGATGCCATTGGCATGTCGCCCGCTACACCCGGATTCCTTGGAAATCGCTCCAAGCTTGTCCAGCAATCTTGCCCGCCAAAGCAGAGCAACCGAGGTCTCTTCCCGAGTGCTAAGCCTGCGAGCATTATGCTCGAGGAGGGACAAGACGAGGAATCTAGGAGACAGCGCCGATTCCGCATGGAGGCTGCCAGGCGCAAGAGTCTTGTTTACAAGCCTGCTGTCGCTAGCCCTCTTGTTCCTTGATTTTATTCTTTGCATTATTCGTGTTTTGTAGATTCATACCCGGTCACTGTAAATATGGGGACTCTCTTTATTTGGGCGTTTCTTGAATTTTGCCCCACGACGGCGAGCTGCATAGGTTGGATTGTTGTGCAAGGTTATTGGTCGTTACTTTTTGTTTGGAATCTCAGTTAAACCAATTCAATACGAGGTGCTTTGAATACACACTCATGTCCATGTTGAACTTGCAAAATATAGTCTTTTTATTCAGAAACCCAGTCCTAATACCCGAAATATTTTCGTTGTCACGTTCCAACTATATCGTGTCCAATCAACCAAAGCGATGATATCACTCCTCCGACTCTTCACGGTAGAATCCAGCAACCAAGAAAGCGAGCTCCAAAGCCTGCTTCTCGTTCAATCGTGGATCACAGAATGTCGTGTACCGCTCCCCAAGCCCATCCTCCGTCAGCCCGGCAGCACCGCCAACACACTCAGTAACAGCCTCTCCAGTAAGTTCAAGATGCATACCACCAAGGAATGACCCAGCAGCGCGATGAATTTCCAACGCCTGCTTCAATTCAGACAGAATATCCGTGAAATGGCGGGTCTTCACACCGGAAGGTGTGCTCTGCGTATTGCCATGCATAGGGTCACATTGCCAGACAGGGATATGACCAGAGGCCTGCACAGCGGCAATATGGCCAGGGAGGAAACTAGCGATTTTCGAAGCGCCGTACCGCGAGATAAGTGTCACTTTCCCGACCTCACGATCCGGGTTAACAACATTCAGCAGCTGCACTAGCTCATCCGGCGCCATGGAAGGCCCGATCTTGATTCCGACGGGGTTAGCGATACCGCGGAAGAACTCGACATGCGCACCGCCGAGTTGGCGTGTGCGGTCGCCGATCCAGAGGAAGTGGCTGGATGTTGCGTAGTAGCCTGTTTCGGGAGACGTGCTGCTGCTGTTGCTGCTGCTGTTTGCGTTCGCTGGGTGGCGAAGGAGTCTGGTTAGGCTCTGCTCGTATTCTAGGGAGAGTCCTTCGTGACTGGTGAAGATGTCGGCTGTCTCGAAGCCGCGGTCCTTGTCGATTCCGACTGTGTGCATGAAGCGTAGGGCATCTTTTACCGCGCCTACAGTTTTGGCGTATTGCTCTTTGATCGAGGGCGTGATTACATGGCCTAATCCCCAGTCTAGTGGGGAGTGCAGGTCTGCCAGGCCTGATGAGAGCGAGGCACGGAGATAATTCAGAGTTGCGGCGGAGTGGAAGTAGGCTGAGACTAGACGTGATGGGTCTGGTTGGCGGGATGCAGGGTCTGCGGCGAAGCCATTGATGTTGTCACCGCGGAAAGAGGGCATTTCCACTCCATTGATGACCTCTGTTGAACTTGAGCGAGGCCTAAGTTTGTTATTAGATTTGTGGTTATGGATTAATGGATGAGGAACTTACTTTGCAAACTGGCCTGCGATCCGAGCAATACGGATGACGGGCTTATTGGCACCTATTGGTGGATTAGTTGCCAGCTTATTTGCTTTTTGTGGGGGTCTGACATACCCCAGATGAGAACCAGACTCATTTGCAACAAGAGCTTCACCTTGGCTTCAATCATTTCTTGGGTGCAGTAGTCGAAGAGCTCCGCACAGTCACCTAGTCAAAAGGGTTAGTCCTTATGTTTCGGGGGAATATTTCCCTGTGCAACATACCACCCTGTAGAACGAATGCTTTGCCCAAAGCGACATTTCGTAGATTTTTCTTGAGATTGATAATCTGCAGAATAGGTCAATATGGTAGGGAAGATCCAGTCTAAACAAAAGACATACCTCTTGTGTGGTCACGAGTGGAGGAAGCTTCTGTAGTTTTTGCAGTGAGACTTTCAGTCCTTGAAGATCCTCATAGATGACATCTTGCTTGATGGGCTTTTGTGTCCAAGCTAGATATAGTTAGTGATACTGGTTCAAATGTGAAAAGAGATTTTACAGATATTTAGCTCTTACAACTAGGGCTCCATTCGGCCATGATGGGCAATTGATCCCGAAAGGTGGTGGGATGATATGAGATAAGTGTCTTCCGTTTGACCAGCAGTAACAAACAAATGCAATGAGGGATGGGTCGGAATAGGCTGTGTCGGTGGATAAGCGATAATTTCTTAAAATTTGCAACTGAGGACTGATGAGAAAGAAAATATATCAAGGGCACATAACAAACGAAAGCTAACTTGACGGTGTGAGACGCTTATTCACGGAATCGGATGACTCACTTTGATGCCTGATATTGAAGGCACCATATTTGTTTCACATTCCTGTGACTAGTAGTTTAACTATGTAACTATACGTTAGGAGGTTGCGGCTGAGAGTTCCATACAGCCTTTTCCAAGACTAGAGGATATCAATTGACTGGAAATAAGGGAACATCATTCAAAGTATAGCACAGATAATAGGATAGCCTCACCATGTAACAACCTCCTGACCTCTTACCTCTGACCTCCATTCCTCAAGTCATCAAGTGGTACCCCCGATGTACAGTTGCGGACGTGGAAGGTGCCATGGCCCAGATAACTGGCTCTCTTCTTCTTTTGGAATTTGTGGGATTCTGAAAGGCCATGGATCCGAGGCTTATAATGCGAATGAGTGTTCTCGAATTTGACCTATATGATACATCGAGTGACGGAGTCTGCTGCTTTGTAAACAGCAGGAAGTTCTCACTGTGGACTTGATAACTAGTCATATTTGACAGCACTGGCAACGATGAATAGAGCCTTGTAGTTAGTATCATCTTGAGTGCCTCAAAATGGGGTCTCTGATAGTTTCAGGCATTTCTTTGTCTGGTGAAGCTTGCACCTTGAACCTTGCCTGTCGTCTGTCTGAACTAGGGGGGTCTTCTTCCAAACACCACACAGTCTGCAGGGCTTTGTGACATCACATCTGCAGCATATCATTGACTTTGAAAAGAGGCGAAATAGCTATAGCAGAGCCGTGTTTACCGTGGCTGCTGCAATGGGATTAGTACAAAATAGAACGTAATGTTCGTAAAAATTTGATTTTGGACAATATGAGCCGGATCAATTACGTACAACATAGAGGGGAGATATCCTGGCTAGACTTACTGGATTTTTCTAGCATAAGCACTAGCCGATAGGTATCTACCACACCACACCACATACCCACTGAGAGATTAACGGTAGGGATGTGAAACAAGCCTCAAAGTGAAATTCTAAAAGCACCCTGTGGCGACGTTAGCTGTAACATAGGTATACATGTAGACGTAGTCCTCTGTAGAGCCTTGGGTATTGACGAATGTAATGTCTAGGCCATAATCTGCAGTATTTGGTAACACCTGGGGGCAACAGGCCTTTTTATATTTGTCGCATACTTTCCGTGTCGAGATGCAGATTTGATGCAGATTTCTCACTACCCCAGACTTGGCATAGAAAACAGACCCTTTAGGATCTAAATTTGGAAAAGAAGAGGACGGGCCACGGAGACAGAGAAAAGGGGGCAGAGTAGATCGAACAGAGCAGAAGCTGACGGAGACGAGAAATTAATCCAAGCCACAGCGCCTGAAATCGGGAACGATACAGGCAACTTTCGTATTGAAGAGTCTAACCGAGCCGACCGAAAGGGGCCTGCCGACTGTGATTGGCCAGGACTCGGCACTAACCGTAGAATGGTCGTTTTGGGTTAGCGTTATCGGTTTATGTTTTGCCTGATTTGTACTAGCGTGGCCCTAAATGACCCTAAATGGCCTTGACGGAAGTAAAAAACGTGGGCCAGGTCTCAAGGTTCCAAGGTTGGAAAGAGCCCCATGAGAGCAATGCCAAAAGGGTATTTAAACCTTCTGCCCGCCTTGCTTTTCCTTTTTCTATTCAATCCCTTTCCTCCCCACATTCTTTTAACCATGCAGTACAAGATCCTTGCCACTCTTTTCCTCGCCGCCACGGCCCTGGCTGCCCCTGCGGATACTACTGCCACATCCTCAAGCACTGAGACCACCGACACCGACAGTGATGATTACTACAGTGATGATTACTACGATCTCCCGGATATACCCAGCTCCATCATGACTGTTCTGGCAACAGCCGTCCCGGCCTCCTGGTACAACGATATCATGGATCCCGCTTCCCGCTCCTCTATCGTCAGCGAAGCTGCGGCTGGCACCTACCCTGCTTGGTACAACGCGTTGCCTAACAGCGTCAAGGCCTGGGCCACTTCCAACTTCGACGACCAGACCGCTGCTGCCACGGCAACCGCTGATAGCAGCGCTACTCAGACCGAGGCTGCTGATAGCAGCGCTGTCGAGACTGGCTCCACCACCGCTGCCAGCCAGGCCTCTTCCAATGCTGCCGAGACCACTTCGGCTTCCATTACCTCCTCGGGCTCCAGCTCTGACTCCACTTCCTCCTCGGCCTTCATCTCCGACTCCAGCTCCAGCTCTACATCAGCCTCTCCCTCTTCTTCGCAGTCTACTGGTGGTGCCCCTGCTCCTACTGGAGGTATTGCCATAAGTGTTGCTGGCGCAGCTGGTATTTTGGCCCTGGCTCTTGCCCTGTAGAGAACTGCTGCATGATTGATTTTCCTGATGGTTTATAATAAACTTTAACTCCCTGTGCATGTAACTCTGTGTATAATAACCATTTCATTATATATACAGCATAGGATAAATTATAGTCTACATACCCTATAAGTAATGGTTGCCGATTATTACAAGACACAAACCAGCAAATACGCCCCTGGCTTCACGGTTTACACAGACAGAGTTCGACTCTTACAGCCTTTATTCAATTCCAAGTATCGCCGAGATTCTTGCGACATAACCCTCGCACGGTAAACCGCTCGTTTGGCTTGCAGGTTGTGTCTAAGCTGAGATGTTAGCATATCCAAAGTCAATATAGGGTAGGTAGTGATAAACCCAAGAACCACACCACGCAGCCCACCAAACATTGTAAACATTCATAATTCATTCCAAAATCATTGGAAGGGTGCAGCCAACAAATTACGACCCTTATGGGCTATTAGTAGCCAGGTTAGTATGTTCAAAATGAAAAGCAGGTGGGAGTAATGCAATCCGACAAACCATGCCATCGATATCATCAATCGGGAATCCGATCTTTGATGGATTCCAGTATCATGAGAAGACGATTGTAGACTGTTCTGTCCTCATCCGGACGATTGATGAGTTTCCATGACAGCATATTCAGCCTGAAGTCTAGATTAAGACAGTCGCGGACGAAATCGACGACGAAGTAAGTCAGATGATGCCCTCGCACCGTCCGACAGCCTGGAACATGTTCAAACATGACTTGTCCCGTGCTTCGGATATTGTCCACCTCAATTGGAAGCCGGCCTAACTGGTCAATGGTCGTTTGGCGATATTCGGGAGAGGAACTGCGCCAGGCTAGTCTGTCCAACACGTTCAAGATGCTAGCTTGAAAGTGCCGCCATGCATCGTGATAAGCTTGTTCCCAGATCGATATGTCCGTGGGAGGGTTCCTCGTAGGTTGAGACATCATGAAGGGCAGTGGCTATGGTAGACCTGCGCTTTGGTATGTAGCTGTCAGTAAATCAATGTCTCCAAAGGGATCAAGGTGATCAGAAGATACAGTAAGGATGTAACCATCAGATGAAAGATAGATGAGAAGATAACTCGACCCGGTGGTGGTTAGAGGGAAGCTATTTACTCCCTTGCAATCGAAAATGACTTGGTCGAATATGCCGAGAGTTAATAATGGAAGATATGAATGCGTTTGTGCGTGATATTGTTTTACAGGGTTGCGTGCCCTGGGAAACGACCGGGGACATGACAAAGGGTTAATTATCAGATGGAATCTGAAAGAGGCACAAAGGTCGTTGTTTTTAAGGCATTTGTCCTTTTGTCTATTTATCCTAGCTAGCAATTTTGGAGGTACGTCAAGGCAACTTGTACACCAACAAAGCAAGTCAAGGATATGGGTTCTGCAGAGGATCTCCTCGGTTTATTTTAGTCTGAATGAGCTCGGGATGAAACTATTTTTCAGTATTAACTGAAACATTACTCTTTGCCTGCTCCTCGATCTCCACAGGCCAATTGTATGAAAAACACACTGCAACGTGCCATGTCTCTCTCTTACAGGTAGAGGGTTTCTTCTTCGAGCTTCATAAGATAAATGAAACCATGTAAAGAGGCCGCGGGAAGATGGCTAAGATGATGATAAAATCGAATTTACAAAGCACCAGAAATAGGTATATGTAAGCGGCATAGAAAACCTTCCTATATGTAACGAGGGATATAGAGATGAGATGGATGCATATTCAAGTTATATGGAGAGTCAAATATAATATTGGGGAGGTTGATATAATCCGTTTGAGTGTGACTGGAAATACTTCAGCACTTTCAGAAAACCAGTGCCACGCCATCACCGGCGAATTTGGTCCAAATATAGTCTCTAGGTACACCGGCCTGAACCCTTGGCTGTCTTCTCATGCCGAGGTTCTTTTGAGGCTTCTGAAGTGGAGCCTCAAAGTGGAGATTGCAAGTTGTGGAGTCAACCCGAAGGATGGTGTAGCTGCAAATATTTAGTTCTAAAGCATCTAGAAACACAAGATGTTACCAAGTCTAACTTGAATAAGACAAGACGTTGAGAGAGAAAGAAAGGTCCAAATAATTTCTTGGCACGGATGAATAAACAATTATGTCAGCACTTATCTGTTGGAACCTGGGGCTTATCAGTGACGTCGTGTTGTCCACACATAGCTCGAGTCGAGATCAACTTCAACTCCCAACACCCGTTGAACAAAGAAAACATGTCCGATCCAATCCCCTCCGCAACTGCTGACCCAGACATTGTCGAAAAACCCCTTTCCTCAAACGCCGAAGATCGCAAAGCCGCTGCCGCTCTCTCCTCCCTCCACACAAATGAAATCGCAACGGAGGGTGCCCCCATCGGAGCACCGGTTAACGCAAACCAAGAGGCTCTGGGAAGGGCCATGAGTCGACTGGAGATAGCTGCTGGACAAGGCTCCGACAACAGGACAACGGTTGAGGTACTGAAGACTGATGAGGTGGTGAAAAGGAAGGCAGTCAAGGTTGCTCCGGCGGATGTCACACTACTGGTATGTTTGCCGATCTACCTCGGTGCTCGTCTCTGTGCGGCTTTATTAATATGGCTGTAGGTTGACCAGTTGGATTTAAATAAGATGAAGGCCACGGAATTGCTCAAGGCCCATGACGGGGATGCCATCAAGGCAATGAAAGCATTCATTGCCCCATCTATTTAGATGTGACTACTTGAATGATTTACTGTTAGCGTTTCATGATTTAATGAGTTGAGTTGGAACGAAGCACATGAGAACGAAAAAACCATTTCTATGTATCAAGACTCGCTCTTGATGCTCGGGATCTGGGTATCACGTCCAAGGAGCGTAGGTACACAATGATTGTCATCAGCCAAAGATAATCACTATTCATCTTCCTCTACCTCACCTTTCTTGCGTTCAATTCCCTTGCCCTCGTAAATACTCCACAGCATAGCCCAACCAAGCAAAGACTCAGCAGCCAGTGCCCACCAGACCGCCCCAATCATGTTATTCTCGAGACCCAGACCCAGCCCCCCAGCCACCTAGGAAAGGACCCAGGGTACGACCTGCACTGGATATACTCTGTGCCACTCCATGTACTGTGCCTAGGATAGACGGGTCCCCGTGGCGGTCTTGGCCATGGTTCTGAGTTTGCAGAGTAACCCCCATCAACAGAGATCCCGGCTCGGGAAGCTGTCACGCGAGCGTGGGGTAGATGCCGACCGGGGGGGAAGAACACTGCCGTTTTGCGTGATCCTACCTTAACACGGATTTGAATCCGTACAGCAGCCTGAGTCACTCTTGTAAGCTACAGAGAGGAGAGTTGGAGTGGGAAAAGAGCTATGACACCATTTCACCCCACATTTGCGTGGGGTTGATGCGATGGAGTCGGGAAGTTGCCGAGTTAACCGTATACATATAATAATGGACTCTGTAAGATATCCAGGAAGGACCGCTAAAATATATTCATACGGCTGTATACGCAGTCGACTATTCTTCTTCTCTATGAGGATCTCAGAATAGTTCTGTTCTAGGTAGTTTTGAAATCGGGGTACAAATGGCTGTGTATAGCCCCATAATACCGGAAAACAACAGGGGAGCTCCAGGCTAATCTCATAGACAACTCGCAAAGTGGACTCGAAAAAAAAAAAAAAAAAAAAAAAAAATGGTTAAAAAGCTACCAAGAAGCTATCTTCCTAATTTCGTTGTCAGAAAGAATACTGACTTATATAAATAACTATCATTTTAAACGCCATTTGAACGGAATTTTTGACATCGAGACTTTTTTTTTTTGGTATGATTTAAAACAGCTTTTTTTAGACGACTTCTCCAATGTCTTTTTAAGATGTCTTTTAAGATGTCTCAATAACTAACTTAGTTACGTAGTACGTACATACTCTGCAAAAAGAAGAAAAGAAAAAAAGAAGAATGCACTGGCCGGGATTCGAACCCGGGCTGTTGCTTGGTCCGAAAATTTCCTAAATAGGAAGGTGGGAAAGCAAAGTGTTAACCTCTCCACCACCAGTGCCTTTGATATATTAATAACTACAAATTCAATTTCACTAGACTCTCAGTAAAGGTATTCCTAGTCCTTCGTAGACTTAAACAAAAATGTAAATTGTTGGCGGAACGAGAACAAGGAGCGGTAGAAAGACTATATTGACTGGCTAACGGAAGACTGGGGGAAGAAGAAGAGAGAGAGAGAGACAGAGAGAGGAAAGAGGTATTCGAACATGCAGGCACTACTAGCCTGACAAACCAGGCAGCCACATAGTCTCCAGCAAAACTAAGAGTATGGACTAACTAACTATACCCTTTTAAGCGAGGAACACTTAGGAATAGGAACCTAACTTGAGCATCGTACCACTTAACCATCGGTGCGTTATTAACAGAGAATCTACGTGGTTGAGATTGGAGAAATAACACTGTAGGATTCTCTGCTTGCAGTTGGACGGAGAGGAGAAGGAGAGAAGGAGAGAAGGAGAGAAAGAGAGACAACATGCACAAAGAGGATCTATCCCAAGTGGGGCCTGGGCCTCAGGCACCCAGGCACACAACAGTTATTCTACTCATTATGGGCTCATCTTCACCTGATTCTATATAAAAGATAAGCGCAAACCATAGATGGGCTGTAAATCTAGGGTAAACTATCTCTTCCTACTTTATAAGGACTATAATGAGAGAATAACCTATATAAAAATATATATGGGTGTAAGTAGTTTGGTTCAAACACAAAGAATGAGGGCGTTGTATCTTAAAATGTACTAACAAATAACAACAATTCCAAAGCAAGAACATTATGATATCAACAAGGCGATCGTGCATATTGTTTTTGATACACTTAAACATCACATTGTTTCTCAAGCTTATTGACTGAGCCTTGGGTTGTCCAAGTGTCAGTTCGATGATGCTCCTTTGTGGTCCAGTTCTCGAGGGGGACAGCTTCGACACGATGCATATCGTTCACGAACTCGTTATTGGACCTGTTGATAGGTTCAGTACTGGAGCGCTTGGTCCCGCTGTACTTGCCAGGCGGTGTATCTTTATTTCCCCGACGGAAAGGTGGCTTCCATGAACGAGGGAATGTGAATGAAGGACGGGATTGTGAGTTGTTGGAATCGTAGCCGCTACTATCATTATTTGGGTTGTCGGGGTTTCCAGGTCGCTGGGCTCGGTTGCTGTTGTATTGAAATGCTTTGACGCCAAACAACTTGCGCAGTAGTGGCCACCAGCACATGAGGTTGGCAACATAGATTGCTGTGCTGGCTTCACGGATGTACCAGATTTGGTATGTGGTTGTGAGTGGGGAGGCAAAATTGAAATATTTGTTTAGGATAGCAGCGATGATCGTGAACAAGCCTAGACTCATGACGCCGACGAGGACGACCTTTCTGCGCCGTTTGAGTTGAGCTTTGATAAGGAGGGGAATTGGAATGGCGAACATGACGGCATCAGAGGAGATATTGAAGACGGCTTGGGTTATCGAGTAGTACTGGTATGTCGCACACTGCATATTATCCACCGGCATGGCCCAGTACTGTGAGAACGGTCGGCAGTAAACTGCATAGTAGGTGAGCATTATGACGACAAATCCGACCGCAATGTACACAGCAAGGATCTTGATATAGAAGTTTGATTTCAGATTCTGCGTGATTCGCCAATAGAGCATCAGCATGCATGTCTTGACACCCCAGGTTGAGATTAACATGCATTGCTCCAGCCCAATGACAATTTTGCTTCCATAGATCCGATCGCTGACTTGCTTTGGGTCCGCTAGCACCCGGTCATAGTCCTTGGGGTCCATGAGGTTCGTTGCGTAGCGGGCCGATATTTGAATCAAGACTAGCAGGGTGGTATAGATTGCCTTTTGGGGAGCCAGCGGGTCAGTCAAAAGAAATGAATCGATTTTCCGACGACACTTACGAAGGTTGCTGCCATCACATAGTCGTCCACTAGATGGCCACTCGTTAGCAGAATCAAAAAGGTAGAGCCTAGAAGTCTTACCAAACAACCGTTTGTATGATCCATTGGCAATTATACGAGCCGCACTTTGCTGCAATTAGCATTGCTCTAATTCTGGACGTACATTTCAGACCTACACTCTTCCAATATAAATAACAAGCCCTATAGACCAGAAGACTATGGCTTCTGTAAAGAGCTGGGTTGGAGTGGGCGACACATTCCCCATCTTGACAGATAGTGCGACCTTCGGCCTAAACCGGACCTCAAATTTCCAGGACGGTATAGAACGAGTCTGCCATGTATGAGAAACAGCAATTTATCGAAGGTTTCTGATGAGGAGCATCAGTGACACGTTTGAATTGTTCTCATAGCTTGTTTACCGAGTGCCCGGGTAAATCTATTAATGATGTATTCGGAACAAGTTACTGCGCTGAGGAGATCGGTCATTTCATCTAGTCGGTGAAAGTGGTTAAGGTCCCGGGAATGGGATTTAAAGCTGTCAACCGAGACAGGGCCATAGCGTCATGCGTCTTGGCTCGTGAGATGTCAGTGCTGGCTGATAAGCAAGGAGGAATGGGGTGCAAACGCAAGGGATTGCTTCCCTCAAACTGCCAATCCAGTCGATGACAGCCGGCTTTGGAATGTACAAAGTAGGCACGGAGTACGGAATAAACATGGGTGAATAAGTTTTACGTTTCACATTCCTCCTTTGTGTCTTATGGGTTTTCCTTCCGCTGGCCAAAACAAGATGCTAATAAAATCAGCTTGTGTCACTAAGTCTTCCAATAAAATGCGCAATATTGTGTGTGCAAAAGGACGCAGCTGTGCGTGATATCTCTAACAGGATACTTTAAGCGAGACTGGTGTAACCCAATGTTAATGTCATCCTTGATCGCCGTTCAGTTAATATTCTTATTTTTTTTTTAGGCCATAAAATTTCCCACATATGCACGTTGCTGATAGCTTTGTGATCTCCATGCCTCGAGCACAAACAAACCCGTTGATGGGTCATATTTCATAGTGGATGCGTAGGAGACCTGTGGCCAATATTATTGGGGGGTTCGGAACTTTGATCTGCATGGCAAGATTCAATAGCTCCTGGGCACAGTGATCCTTCATCAAAATAGCTTACGCGATATGCGAGCTAAATAAAGGGTTAGTATTGTCTCACGCTAGGTCAATCGTTGACCGAAGATCATGCCTGATATAAATATTCTTCAACCTTCTGCATTTTATCCCTAGAAAACCTTAATCCTCAATGCCTTCCATAGGTTTGGTCATTATAGGTAGAAGCCTAAAAGCCGCCGCTACCGCTAGTACATACAAAGATGGGGCCTTACACTTACCTCAACTCTACTCAATTGTGCCCTTTTGTATGAATATAACTACCAAATGCTCCATAGTATTTCTATAGAGGTGCTAGAGTGATAACATTTACTACTCTCCAATCAGCCCATTTACTCAGCACTTTGGGGAGTTCCAGCACAATGGAGAAATATCGACAAGTAGGATGAGCGCTACTAGTTATTACTACTCGAAAATCTCGACAAATCTAAATATTGAATCAAATGCCCTTTTCAGCAAAAGTCCTAGATAATGTGAGAGGAGGCCATCTGTTTGACAGCTCTCGAGATGGAGTGACCTTGAAGCGGATTGCAGCACTTGACGAGGAAGAATATTAATTAAACACGGCATTGTAATTTCGAGGTTTAATATACTCCACTTGTTGAATGCAATATCAGCCCAGGTGAAACTGGCCACGTGAAAAGCCGTAAATGCCAAATTCCACTGGAGTAGGGAGGGATTGAACATGACACATATAACGGCTGTACCTTCATCCTGAATGACGACGTGGTGGTTTCATAATACAAAAATATATGGAATGGCCAATCATAAGCTTGTTAGTGTGAGAAATATTTGAGATTTTGAGATATCAAGCTACACGAGGCAAGATATCACACACGAGTAGCCGACTGCTAATATAGTCTTATCGTATCCTTTTTAGTAGTCCTTTTTGCAGTCATTAATGGTATATTTGGACGCTCCTTACCTTGATAACTCATTATCTTTCACGTCCACCGACAGGGTCTCTTCTACTTTTGATGAACCAGGCACTGATTCGAGCGGAGTCGGTCACTACTGAGGAGTGTCGCGTCAAATGCCGGAAGCCCAGCTATAACTACTTACAGTTCACCAGTGAACCTTTTACGCTACAAGTCCAGAACATATTGTTGATGAAGTTGCAACTGGTTGTTCAGTATTGATCATATGCGTGAAACTATCGAGTAGGGCCGGTGTTGGTGTGACAAAGATCTTATGCTATCTAGAGGCTGTAGGTGGTGTCAATCCTTACCGTGATATTGGCCAGGATACCGTAAAGAAGCCGAATTATGATTTTTACTGCCTTCGTATACATCTTAAGAGACATTTTAAAAGACGTCGACAAGCTATCTCAAGAAGTTCGCTTGAAAGTCATACCAATGATATCCTCTAAGGATTCTGTTTGTAGTGTCACTTTGAGTTTGTAAGGGTACGAGACTTCCAGTTCTTACACCAGTCTTGGATATCTTGAATTGCCGCGGTCCATTCATAGGCGGGGTATATCTCTTCAATGGTCTTGCCTATATCGCGTGTGTGTAGTTTGCAAAGATATTCCCATCGAACCTTATCAGAGAAGTTTTTCTTGGTAGGCACTTCGGTGCCTTCGTACTCGTCTGCTTCTTTATACGGGATGTATCGGTGACGCTTATGGGTAGCTTATGTCTTAATGATATCCAGGGAAAGGATTTTATGGGCCCGAGTGAAGAGCAGAGACCTGGTCATTCATATAGCCGATTTGCTGTAAGGTTATTGGTGTTGGTGGTGCCGGTCCGATATTCTCCTGGGGGCATACTGAGCCAACCATGTCTTACAGGCTTCGTGTTGTTCGCGTGCAACCGGCCCGATGGAGGTCTTGGAATCCTCGAATTCAAGGTCATGCTTAACCTTGTAATATACTCACAAGGCCGATGTGACACTACACCCAGGGTATCGGCAGTAGAGCTCCCCTCTGAAAACCAGAGGGGAGCTGGGGAGCATCTTTCTCTGTGAGCTGAAGGTATGGCTTTATGCCATTAATCGGGACGGATGGTTGGGCACTCAGCGAAAGCTTATTTACGCGAGTACCCCTCTTGGCACGCTTCCTTTTCTCTGGTCGTTTTGTTTCCGGGTTCTTCTCACAGGCTTTCTGGTGCCTGTTTCTGCTATCCTCCCGAACAAAGGTCGCCTCACAATAGCCACATTTGAATTGAGGTAGGACGAAGTCCACCGGGAGTACCTCCCGGTGGTCATGGTACTGATGGACCTGCAACCTCGGCAATAGGATCAATGATGAAGTGGAAGGAAGAGAAAGTTGGAAGGTGCTAGGGGAGGTTTATATATTGGATTAAAAATTACGCATAACATTGTAATACAATAATTACCAAGTCTTATAGTGCTCAGTGTTTTCAAAACTGTTTTAGGGGGTATTTGGTGCCCGAATGCCTTATTTTGCACCGCTCTCCACACCGCTCTATACAACGTATTGTAACTTTTTACACAATATGAAGCTTCAACGTTTTCATCTCATAGAAATGGACGATATATCTCATTTGTACGCTGATAAAAAGCTTCATTTTTGAGATTTACAAACCGCCCAAGAACGTTGAGATATCTACATTTGTATGAGATCAAAAGCTTCATTTTGATACTTGCAAACCGTCCGAGAAAGTGGAGATATCTACATTTGTATGAGATGAAAAGCTTCATTTTTGACACTTGTACGGGCGACTAAATATGCCACCGGTTATAACGTCTCCGCCGTTTTATCACCGCCTTTTGAAACATATAGTTACGCTAATTTCAATTTGTAAACATCAGTCCTCTACAGTATAATCAATTCAATTTAGATTCAATTTAGATTCAATTCAGATCCAATTCAGATTCAATTCAACTTCAATTTACTCTAGTAGAAATCTGTTACAACCTGCCCCTGGTATATATCCCCCCCCAACAAGCTCAGGCCCACGTCTCGCACCAGTCGAAAAATGTTTTCCCGAGAAAAGAAGTGAGAATTTGTGCTGTTCGTTCAAGCAGCAAAGCACAACAGAGCAGTCTTTGCCCTCTGCCTATTCTGTATTCATATACACGGAGTATTTATGATGTAAATGATCGACCACGCGATACCATGTGGCCATCAAGGGGTATGGCGATTTTATGCATGGTGCAGACCAATTACATGTTGCGCCCCAGACCCTTGACAGCGCTGAAATGTAGAATATATTCAGCAAAGCAACAACTAAATCAGCAAAAAGATTTCAAGTGTTACCCTAAATGTTGAATGAAATTCGCCCCAAGCTACGGAATACTCTGTAAGTTGTATGTGATGATCGACGCCCTAGATGCCGCATTCGCCGCGAACCTCCCTTGCTTAGCGATGTATCAACTCGGTTCGATTTGGGAAGGTCATAAGAGAAACAATTTATACGGGTCCAATCAACAGCAATATTGTAATACATTTAGATGATTCACTCCTTAAAGGTACACAGCATTGGCCCTTTTCTAACGCAAATAGTGATACTATTGCCAATACCACCCCTAGCTCCATGTTTAATCCACGGTGACCAAGGAAACATGACCATTCCTTCGAAGAAAACGGTAGATAAGTCATACTCGTATAAATGCTTGGACCTTGTGTAATACATGTGGTAGCCATGAGGGCTAATGCCCTCAAATCTTACATTCCTGTTGCGACACGCCTGATTGTTCCTGTGCGCCCTGTATGCTCTGTCAAACCTAGTGGGGTGATGTACCTTCTTTTTTTTTCTCTTTATCTTGTTACTGCCATGCCTCGATCCTTTTGTTGAATATCCTCTCTAACACCGCACGGCGCACGGCAAAATGGTGGTGTTCCCAAGTCCGACCTCCGCGGACACTGAAAAATGCCCGAAAGGCCAAGCCGCAATGGACGAAGTACGGCTGGAATCTGCACTTGGACATAAACAAGAGCTGTCGCGGAACTTCGGACTGTGGAGTTTGACCAGTTTGGGGATTGTTATTGCAAAGTAAGACCCTTGTAGTAAATCAGAAATTTCACTGATCCCACATCAATAAACTAACGGAACCAAGTTCTTGGGCTTCAACAGGAGGTACAATCGTCGCTGCGCTCCAAAATGGCGGTCCGATGGCTGTTCTATACGGACTAATTCTAGTCAGCGTCTTTTATACGACCATCTCAGCCTCTCTAGCCGAACTCGCCTCCTCTATGCCTTCTGCCGGAGGAGTATACTATTGGTCATCAGTATTAAGCCGGAGTCGAGGTCGCACAGTGGGGTTTTTCACTGGGTATCTGAATGCTTGCGCGTGGCTGTTGTCAGCGTCATCGATGAGCTCCATGTTGGGGAATGAGGGCGTTGCTATGTATCTGTTGAGATATCCGAATGTGAAGTGGCATTCCTGGCAAGTATTCATTGTATTCCAGCTCGTCAATTGGATGTGTTGTGCCATTGTATGCCTCGGAAATCGGTTCATTCCCCTCCTCAACCGCATTGCCCTTACTCTGTCAATGTGTGGTCTCGTTACGACTGTGGTGGTTCTCACAGTAATGCCAAAGAAGCATGCGAGCAGCGCTCAGGTGTGGACTGAGTACCACAACAACACAGGCGGATGGTCAGACGGAGTCTGTTTTATGACCGGTCTGTTAAATGCTGCATTTGCGGTTGGGGTGCCAGACTGTATTAGCCATTTATCAGAAGAAGGTATGTCGGAAACAGGACGAAAGGAAAGTACCAACTAACAACATGTTCTAGTCCCTGAACCCGAGATCAAGGTCCCGCAAGGCATAATGTTGCAGATGCTCACAGCTTTCGTCACATCATTTGTGTACCTGATCGCCCTCTTCTACTCCATCCAAGATCTAGACGCCGTCTTTACAAGTAATACCGGCTTTTTCCCAACCGCGGAGATCTACCGGCAAGCAACAGGGTCTAACGCAGGCGCTATTGGTCTGATTGCAGTATTATTTCTTGCAACCTTCCCAACTCTTATCGGGACCTTCGTGACAGGCGGTCGAATGTGGTGGAGTCTAGCGCGCGACGATGCAACGCCCTTTTCGAACTATTTCGCTCAAGTGCACCCAACACTGAACTGCCCCGTGCGTGCCACAGTTGCTATGAGCGCGCTCGTTACTTGTCTCGGGTGTATCTATATCGGTAGCACGACGGCATTCCAGGCGCTCATCTCGTCATTCATTGTACTAAGCTCGCTGTCCTACTTCGGAGCCATCTTTCCGCATGTTTTGTCTGGTCGGGGGAACATGGTCCCTGGACCGTTTTATATGGGACAGAAACTTGGGATGGCAGTTAATATTGTTTCTTTGTTGTATATTTTGGTTACTGTTATCTTCTTCTGCTTCCCCTTGGTGTTACCGGCCACAGTTCAAAATATGAACTATACCAGTGTGATCGTTGTTGGCTTGATGGTTCTCACTGCCTTCTGGTGGGCGTTCCGCGGCAGACACCAATACCATGGCCCGCAGTATAGCTTTGAGGCCGCTGAGCGGTTGGCTACGTTCCAAGAGGGCAAGGAGGGTCGTCGATCCTTTATTGATCTTGTGGTATCGCCTGTTGGTATTGAACATGGGAATGTTTCACGGTGAACAGGAAACGGGCCCCCAAAACAATGAAAATGGGCGAGAATTGTAACTATTGTTACTGATTGATGACATAACTATAATCTTCTCATAGCATGTGTATCTATACCTTGAATTAATTTTGGGTGAATATAATAGGGATTTGTGTACCAATTCACAATGGGTCAAACAAGGCGAGGTTACAGATCAAATATGGCCGTACGATTAGCGAACCTTTAATTTGAAATTGGAATAGGCGTCTTAAAGTCATAACTATCATGCATAGGAATCACTAGTAGGAGACAAGATATCCTCTCGTCTTCATAGTCGCGACTTAATGCTCTGACCACCTTCCCAGGCCTCTCCAGCTTCAAGTGTTTGCCAACCAGACACTGAGCCAGCCTCCACACAGATCATGTTCTTGTAAGCTTCGTCTGGGCCGAAATCGGCCATGCCCTTGGCCTTCTCAATCCAAGGGTTCCAGACCACAACATCAGTCAAACCTTCCCGAGTGATCGAGAACAAAGATTGGTTATCCTTCGCAGAGGCAACGACAATTGGAACGGCGGGATCAAGTTGTTTGTAAATGCGATCGGTTTCTTGGGTGATCGCCAATGCGGGGGACGATTCAGTGTGAGAAGTCGCTTGGAGCGTCTTATCAATGTAGGTTTTGGATTCGAGGCCTTTCACACGGACGTCGGAGATATCCTATTCATCAAATTCCAAATCAGCGGGGGATCGGGGAAGATAACCCTGGGAAGTTTTATCATACCGCAATGTTCAGATAGGTGTGCATCAGCACCTGGAAATCAAAGTTCTGCTGGCCCTCATTGCGAACCTGCAGAGCCGTCTCCAGTGAGTCCGTGGTGAGTGTAACACTGTAGACCAAACCGAACTCGTATGGCCATGCGGCGCGGAACTCATCGGTCAGCATAGAGTGCGATAGGCCGAAATCCAACTTCACGGTAAGATCGGTTTGGTCGCTATCCCTTCCGGGCGCTTCCGAAGAGGACTTGCCCAAGAACTCCCAGTTGGAGTTGCGAGCGAAGCCATGTTGTGGCAGGGTTGAGGTAGCGTGGTTTTGGGGCGGGGGACCAAAGACCTGGATAATAAGCAGGGCGGTTAGCTAGTAGCTCAAGCAGAGAAATCATGACGTTCACATACGGGGAACACGAGCGGAATACCACCACGGATAGGCTTGGAACCATCCAGATGAGACTTCTCGCTTATGAACAGCTGCTCCTGGCCGCCTGTCTTCCACGAGGTCACAGTGGCGCCATACAGATGCACAGTCACTGACTGGCCAGTGGGCAACGAAGCTTCGATGATGTTGTCCTTGATGGAGAGGGTGGGTTGGGGAAGAGAGGCTCCCACTCCAATTGCCGAGGGTTTGTTTGATCGGTCCATGGTGTAAGGAAATGGAAAAAATAGAATTGTGTGTTTGAAAGGTGAAAGGGAGAAGAGAGATGCTTGGATGTTTCATGTTGAAGCGCGGGGGGGATCTTATCGGCCCCGCCTGTTTTGTTTGGGCAACTTGATGTATGACATTTCTCATATTTATATTTCAATAACAAGCCAACTAATCTCAGGAATAACCTAGATATTCTATTTATTTATCTATTAAGCATTAACCCACATGATTCACTATGTAAAATACTAGAAAATCTTCAACCCCCAGTCAACGCTCACGCCGCCTAGACAAGATAAAAAAGACGGATGCATAAGAATACACGAGCCCACAAAGAATTATCAGACCAGTACAGTGATTATGGCCCGTGGAGGTCTGCCACTTTCAAAAGCTCTCTGGCAATTGGAATGGCGATGAGTGTGCCTAGTATACTGACCAAGAAATAGGTTGTACCAGAACGCGCGCCAAAATCTTCAGTTTCAAGAGGCTTGCGCAACACAAGCAGGGGAGATACTGGTTGCAGTGCCGCTCCAGAATCCAAAAGGGACAGTAAATTCCAAGATAGCAGCCTGATTCGACTCCGATGGAAGCCATGGGGCGAAAGTAAACACCTAACAGATGAACGGAATATCCAGGAATGAACCACCCAATGATGAACGCGAATAGTACGCAACAGAATCTCAGACTGTAACCTGAAATGCCTGTTTCCTTTTGCATGAAGGGTCTTCACGCTGATATAGATGCTAAGTCTTTATGACATATTGAGCGTCAACATTAATAGTCTCTCGCGCTCTGGAATAAGACTTTGTTGGTATAATATAGTGGAATAAGAGAAAAAGAGTAGTGGACTCCTACAGTCAGTGGACATAAGTTTTTGCACCCCCTATAGCCCCACCTAGGCGCCAGGGGTGCAAAAACTTATGTCCAGTCACTATATTTCCTGTAAATGTTCATGCCTTGATGCCTAGCTATGGCCTGGTTATTGACCGCTCCTTACTATACAATGTACTGTAAATCATTCTACGACGGACAAATCCCTGAATTTAATGCCTGAATGTCTTGTTTTAGACCGCTTTCAGGCCTGTAACCAACTCGGCATGGAATAACCAGGCACCATAACCCATAAAAATGAGGCTTTTGATCCCCATACAAACGGCGACATCTCCATGTTTTTAGATGGTTTGCAAGTGCCAAAAATGAAGGTTTTCATCTACACACGAATGGCAGTATCTCCATATTTTTGGACGTTTTACAAGTGTCAAAAATGAAGTTTTTGATCCCATACAAAGTGAGATGAGATATCTCCACTGACACTTACAAACCACCCAAGAAAGTCGAGATATCTGAATTTGTATGCTGATGAAAAGCTTCATTTTTGACACTTGCAAACCACCAAAATCAGGCTACTTTGATTATTAAGGAAGTGTCGTGGTAATTCAGGTATTTTAATTCTTCTGCCGGTATTAATTCAGGCCGCCAGGCCAAAGGAAGGCATCAAGGCATGAACATTTACCGGAAATAGGGTTTTGGCAGTTGGCGCCTATACCGCTTCGTAGAAGGTTTTAATATCAGTACCCGTACTATAAAAAGGCTCCGGCTCCGGCTTAGTATTCATCGTCGCGCTAATTCAAAGGAAAAGCAAGAGATTCAGCTCTAGTTAATCAACCAAATCCTATAAGAAGAGATTGAAATTAGTGATATTAAAGTAGAGGGAGGGAAAGAGAAGGGGGGATAATATAGTAGGAAGGCTTCAATACCGAGAAATAATGGAATTTAATATATTATGGTAGTAGCCTTAGGCCTATTCGCGGAACATCTATCCACGGAAAAATTGTACGAACGGTACGAATCGATGAAGCAGGGAAACCAATCAATCCAAGAATACGCTACAAACGTACAACAGGTTATCTCCGACCTAAATTAGAATATTCCGGATCCGATGCTTGTTCGTGAAGTCTATAACTAAAATGAAGCTTTTGGCCTCCATACAAAGTGAGATAGATGTCTCAACATTCTTGGACGGTTTGCACGTGCCAAAAATGAAGCTTTTCATCTCATAGAAATTCAGATATCTCCGTGTTTTTGGTGGTTTGCAAGTGTCATGGAGATATCTCACTTTGTATGGAGATCAAAAGCTTCATTTTTGACACTTGCAAACCCCATAAAACATATAGATATCTGAATTAGTACGCTGATGAAAGGCTTCATTTTTGAGAGTTGTAAGCTCCAGCAAAATCAGACTACATTGATTATTGAGGGAAGTGTCATTAGGTAGTAATTCAGGCATTTTAATTCTTCTGTCAGTCTTAATTCAGACCGCCAGGCCAAAGCTAGGCATCAAGGCATGAGAATTTACCGGGAATAAGGGTTTGGCAGTTGGCGCCTATACCGCTACGTATAAAGAGTTTTTTAAGTGACATGCCTAGGAGTATTATCGTATGTAACAATCGATCTTACTCCCTTCTTAGACGAAAGAAGCCTTCTATCATAATACGTAATATAGGTTCACTATATAGGTATGGGGACTTCTAAAAGTAAATTGAAATGAATTTGAAGTGAATTTGAAATGAATCTAAAGTGAATCTAAAGTGAATTCGAAGTGAATTGTATTATATTATATTATCCATGGATATTATATTATTACCTATATATTTTAATTTAATAACTTTCTCTTCCTTCTACTTTATTATTAATCCTATTATTTTTATTGCCCTAGTGTTTAAGAGGCATCCGATTGTAAATAATGATTTAGGGACAAGTGGCCTAGTAGTTCCAATTTTAGCAAAACCAACTCCACCGTCTTTCAGCTCTACAGTCCTGGAAGGAACTCGTCAAACTTCCTCTCCCTCTAAATCCGCTAAAGTGACAAGCAGATCATATTCTCTACCACCTCCCTCACTATCTTCTCCTCCACTTCACTCACTCTCTCCTCCTCCTCCTCCTCCGCTTCACTTACTTCTCCTCCACCACCTCCCTCACTCTCTTCTCCTCCACTTCACTCACTTGCTTCTCCTCCACCACCTCCCTCACTCTCTTCTCCTCCACTTCACTCACTTGCTTCTCCTCCACCACCTCCCTTACTCTCTTCTCCTCCACTTCACTCACCCCTCTCCTCCTCCTCCTCCTCCTCCTCCTCCTCCTCCTCCTCCTCCGCTTCACTTACTTACTTCTCCTCCACCACCTCCCTCACTCTCTTCTCCTCCACTTTACTCACTTGCTTCTCCTCCACTTCCCTCACTTGCTTCTCCTCCACTTCACTCACTCTCTTCTCCTCTACTTCCCTCACTTGCCTCTCCTCCACCACCTCCCTCACTCTCTTCTCCACCGCTTCCCTCACTTGCTTCCCCTCCACCACCTCACTCACTCTCTTCTGACACCTTCCGATATAGAGAGCCTATCACCCGACCATGTATAGGACCCAGTGGAGGGGAATATCTAGACCCAGGGCCTGTTCCTAGGCACTCTTCCCCCGAATCGGCGTTTCACCGTCGATATGGAGGCAAGAGGCCATCCGAACCCTATGGAACGAGAACCAAGCCCTACGGAAAAGAATTCAGGCTGAAGAGAAGCTCTTACAACTTGCACCGCCAGCTGTGGCCAAGCAGGTTGAAAAGTTGGG